CTCGTCCATTGGGCGCTCCCGCCAGCGGCTTCGGGAGTCTTATTGTCATCTTGCTTCGTTATGAGCTCACTCATACTAGCGTTAGTGTTGCTGCTTGTTGATTCTTTTTAGTTTTATGTTGAATCCACACGATTACAGTACTCGTATCTATCGTGGGAAGTCTTAAAACGTTAAAACGCTGTTAACTAGATAAAACTAAAAAGAATGAGACTGTCATGCCCCAGTTATGCTAAAAATCTCCTGTGGTCCCGGGCCACCAACATTACTGGTTCTCATCGCTCATTCATACACAATACATATATGAATATTCATCTTATCGCCACCAGTCCTAAGTGATTTGCGCTTATGGCGCCACCCCAGCCACCACTGCCTTGTGTCCGTAGAAACAATATGGTTCGCTGATTATCTGTTGCGACTCATGAATATGCCCTCGCTCCTGGTTCTGTCCGTTGCCTCAACACAGATGGTATCGAAATCTCTTACGCTTCTGATGTACGGTATCTGTCGTACCGTACTACTAGACCAGCGTGCAACCACCAAGCACAACGGAGAACAGCGATTCTGTTCATGCTTCCAGTCTTGCCTCGAGTTGGTGAAAGAGAATTGAGAGTTCCTGTTGGCTGTGCTGTACTCCTATTGGTAAACGAAACAACTTGGTTACAGTGCCAGTAACGTACGAACTGCCGGAACAGGATACTCGCTACTGTAACGAATCTTTGAAGCTTACGGGCACCCTTTTGAAAGAATAAATCAAATCTTATAGAGCAACGGATATTTTGTTCAATTCCAGTTGGATGGTTTCATTCGTATCGAAAACCAGAAGCATTTCAACATTTATCTCGGTGGTTCTGACTACTAAGAAAGGAATTGGAATTGCGTGTGTCGGCTCGGATCAATCAATAGTGACAAAAAAGCACCAGAATGTTCGAGGAGTCACGATGGAGTGTAGCTCGGTGCTATCCTTTCAGGGGTTTTGACTGCAGGATTCCAATCGGTTTCTTATGGTTCCTGTTCCATCCGCTTTAATCGGTGATTTAGGCTTCTTCTGCAACCCCTTCGGCTTTTGGGACCGGGTAGATCATGAAATCCCAGGCAGCTGCCACGTCGTTGCGGGTCAATCCGGAGGCCTTTATCGCCTGCTCTTCGATTCGCGTCATGATCGATATGGAATCCATCGATTGGTCCCCCGTGTACCGAGCAGAAAAGTGGTTGAGAATCAACCGCTTGGCCCCGACGCGCTTGCAGAAATCACCGGCCATGTTGGGGGTGGAATGGCCGTGAAAGATGGTGTCCTTGGTCACGGAGGAGAAGGTCGCGTCCTTGTGCTCGAGGGCCGGTAGAAACGTGTTTGTGGCCTCGTGGACCACCACGTCGGCGTTTTGGGCCAGTCGTTCCATGCTCCGGGCGCTGTTGGTGTCTCCGAGTACGACGACCTTCCGTCCCGGCCTGGCCGGCTCGACGGCATCTTCCTGCGTGACGACGGTGCCGTCGGGAAAGGTGAAGGACCCGCCCTTGGGAAGATCCTTGATCACCGCCATGGCCTTCATCGGGTGGCGGAACCCGGCTTCCTTGAGGGCCGGGATGTTGCGCTGGCAAATGGGCTTGACKAGCTCGTCTCTGAGACGCCCCGGACGGTTGGGTTCCTGGACCACGTAGCCGACGCAAGGAATGCCGTGGGACATGGGGGCCGCATAAACTCTGACACCGTCACCACCACCGGATTCGACTTCCCATACGGGCGCCCCATCACTCGACAAAGGGTGGTCGTAGATCGGATAAATGTCGCGTCCACCTTCCACTTCTCCGTACAGCTCGGAGGGCTTTATCGTCCCTCCGGTTTCACAGTGGGTCAACCAATCCGAGGAGGGAGGGTATTCGCTCCGTCGATGGTTTGCGGCTCCCCAGTAATAGTCACTGCTTCCCGTGTTTTGGTTTCCCTTTTGTCGCTCGTACCAAACGCTCTTGTTGAAAAAGTACCGTTCCCATTTTCGGCTGTATCCCCATTCGGGAGCCATCGACACGTCTTTGAGCTCATGGACCCTGTATTTGGGGCAGATCCTCGAGACGCTATATCGGAGAGCAGATCGCAACCACAGGCGTAGCCCCTCCGGACCGTAGATATCGACCGGTGCCTTCGTGCCCTTCCCCTCGGAGTCCTGGCCCATGAGGCACAGAAGGCCCGGCAATCCAAAGGAGTGGTCCCCGTGAGCATGAGACAGAAAGATCTTTGTGATCTTGCTTGGGCGGACCGACGAAGTCTTTTGGATCTGGAGCTGTGTCGTTTGTTATAACACAGCAAAGCACAGCACAACGCATTACATTACAACATAGCACAATACAATACCACACAATACAATTGTTGGTTGCGCGAATATGGCAAGGCAAATAGTGAGGGGGAAAAACCATAGCATCGATTCGAGACGATGTCGAATCACGCTTTTCGTGTCCAGTAGCGACGTGTGCGTCGATACTTTTTCGCTTCGTCGCAATTCCTTTCCTTTCCTTACCTGCGTGCTTTCTCCGCAATCAAAGAGCCAGGTTCCGAGGTTCGACTGGGAGTTTTGGGCGACATCAAAGTTTTTGCCACTCTGTTTGGTGTTGCCTTTGCTTGGCTTTCTCGCATCGACCCTGACGTTGGCCGATTGCGTCTGTTGCTTGGCGAGGGAATGCAGTCGAAGGGCCGTGCAGGAGACCCCTCGTGTAATGCTCGGGGTGCACGACGCCGTCCCAACAAAAATGAGGTCCATGTCTCCAGAGAGGGCCGGCTTTGTGTAGGTGTCATCGTCGGTTTCGGATTCCCCATCGTCACTCTTGCCGTCTTGGTCGTCGTTTTGGTCCTTGTTGTTCTTGTCGCGTTTCGAAGTGATGGCTTTCGCTGCATGTTGCAGCATGGGGTGGTACTTTTGTCGGATGTCCTGTTCGCCAAGGAGGGTGTTGTTTCCTTCCGAAAGGTACTTCAGGGGAGGGTATTGTTCGTGTACCCGATCGTAGATCACTTGCAGCGGCGATTTTGGCAATGGCAGTGATTCTTCGTCGGCAACAGCGTTGTGGCTTGCAGTACCAGTATCTTGTTGTTTGTTTGCTGTTGTTGTTGTTGTTGCCGCATCTTGTCGCGCCCCGCTTTTTTTGGAGGGCATTCCCAGAGGTTTGCGTCGCGTCTTGGGCTGTGTTTGCTGCTCTTTGGGTTGGTCGCTGATGATTTGTGATTTCTCTTTCGCCGCCGCTGTTGTGGTTTGTTGTTCCCTGCTTCCCGCCTGAACCAAAAAATCCACCAGATCCTGCTTGCGCTTGAGCCTCGAAAACAATCCTCGTTCGTTCAAACCAGAATCCTTGATCAATTCTTTCAGATCAACTACCTTCATTGATTCGAGCTCGGCCCGACTGGGTAAGACTGTTTTTGGTGGGGTCACCGTTGACAACTTCAGGAAGGATGTGGAAAGAAACCTCGGGCGCCCGATGCTTTGCTTCCATCTAGAATAGGAAATGGATTCAATTCCAGGAGAAGGGCAAAATGCACGGACCAGCAGGGGGTCAACGGTTTGAAACAAAGCAATAGTGACCAACACTAAAAAAAGGCTCGGGGAAAGCAAGATGTGTTGTTTCCGCGCTCTGGTTCGTATCCTTCTCGTGGTAGTGGTCATTCGTATTGTGTGGTTCGCGCCGGTGTTTACGAGAATGTTGTTTTCGGTGACAAGTCGTTTGCTATCGTTGTTGCACTCGCCCTCTTCGGCGTTGCTGTGGAAAACCAATGTGGCATTTGCTGCTGCCATTGGAACCAGGAACCGCCTCCGTTTTCTTCGTTTCTGTTGCATTGCCGCGTTGCTTTTGTTTTTGCTCGTGTTCCAGCGAGTGGCCAAATTGTCAGAATCTTCCCCACTATCCGAATTCAATCTTGCTGGGCTGTATCTGTATGCACACTGCAAAGCACTACGGCGAGGAATGGAGATATGCCGTCTAAGCTAAGCAAAGGGATGTCAGCAGGCAGGTAGGGGCGGAAGAGCCTATCGAAATAATACTGCGGTAGTACTTTTTGTATTGGCAGGGAGATTATCCTATTGTCGTAGTATGATGTGATTACTATTATTCTTGCGAAAGGTTCAGTAATGAGGACATCGAAGCGCTGGGTGTCGATCGTCAGGTGAGACTACTGGTTCATGCGTTTCGGCTAGGCCTTTTGCTTCACGCACACATCATGGCAACACAGAACAGAAATTCACATCTCTCCCATCAAAACATTTGTCATCGAAACAAAAATTCCATCACCTTGTTGATTATGTACCGCACTCTACATACCGTGCTGAAACGAGCGATGAATGCTATGGTTCACAACGTTTTGATAGCTTGCATTAAATAGGACGCAGTGCAGACACCGACGTTCGAATCATTCTCATACCGTACCCTACGTATGGAACAGTACCACAAAAAACAAAAAATAGCACTTCCTCCGTCCAGAAATGACCGTCCCCTAACCAACTTACTAGTAGTAGTAATGAAACAAGCTCAATCTTTGGTCAATTTGAATGGTTCTTTTTCTATTCTATTGATCTTGTTTAAAACTATTCAAATATGTTATGCCTTTTCATGTTGCAGCAGCACTACTAAAGTCATAAACCTTGAAACAGGAAATTTTATAATTTCATTTTGGGTTGACTTCTTGTTGTTCTTCTTTCTTCTTCTTCTTGCTGTTAGTACAGATAGGTTGTTGTTCAAAGAAGGGTTTCAACAGTCATTTTGATAAGCTGTTAATTGTTCCACATGCTGATAGCCACAGTAAAGTAATATTGAATGCTATACTTTGGATCAACCTTACTTGATTTCATAGTGCTCATTTTTATTGTTTGAAACAAGAGGAGGAGGTGCACCGCTGTACTATTGTCAAAATTGTGTTTGCTTTGTCAATAATGATATGTGTAATTTTGTTTGTGAAAATATTTTTAGTAATCATTATGAGCATTCTCAATTTCATATATGGTACTGACTCTATGTGTTGTACACAGTCATATTTTATTGGGGTTTAATGAAACTACTATTTGATAAATACTAGTAAGGGGACTTTCAAAAATGCTGAACAGCAAAATTGGAGTCACCACTGGACAGTCATTGTTGGACAGAGGAAGTAGTACAAAATTGAGATGCAATATACTTGCTGTAGTATGCTAATAGGACTGAAAGTGGAACATCCCTTTCTCAGGTTTGTTTGGCACCTGTCCTCCCTAGTAGTAGTAGTACTAGTATTTAGTAAGTACTGCAATCATAGCAGAAAAGCAGAGGCATTCCTTGCTGAGCATATCTCCTGTTATTGATGGAAGAAAGGAAGTGACTCATGCCAAGAATCAATTGACTTGTCTGCTTGGAGCTTTTCTTCTATGTGAGTTCTTCTTCTTCTGGTTGGACTGGTGGTCTGTTGTTGTGGGGACATGGTGCCAGCATGATAATCTTGCCACCAGCCACAACCAGCAGCGACAACAACCAATTTCTTGTGCTGCTTTTCATGATGACAACAAGAAAAAATACTGATCCTGTGAACAACAGATGGCATTGTCATCCTCTGACCATTGTTAGCAGAGAACATATTTCCTTCTTTACTATTACTAGTATGAATAGTACTTGATAACAACTGCTGACCAGCAAAGAAGAATATCCCCCCATCCTACCACTTCTTGCCATAATTATATCAATTGAAAACTGAAGGTGGTTCTGCCAATGTTGGCCCCTATTTTCTAGTAGCACTAGTAATACTACAAAACAAGGTGGACAAGGGTGGAGTGGAAATCATGCTATGAAAGGACTGCTGCTGCTGTGCAGATGAGCACCAAGAAGTTGTGGAGGAAAATGTTGTTGATGTTTTGTTGTTGCTGTAGGGGACAGCAGCACAAAGAACCTTTATTGTTGACAAAATAGTCAATTTAAAGAAGGCACTCATAATTTGTGTTACCACTAGTAGTAGTTGTTGTACTAGTATAATTTTTGTATTAACATCTACATATTTTTCAGAATTCTTGACCTTGGGAATATGTCTCCTTTTCTAATGATGATTCTACTACTAGTATTCCACTACAGCTAACTTTGATGTTTTTTGAATCTCCTCCTCCTGGCAATCAACAATACCACAAGGCATTGATGCACTCTACTAGTACAAAAGTATCTATGCAATATTCTTGAAGATGGCCATATAGTGCCTCAGGTTAAATATAATATTAAGATTTTTCAGCCTCTAGAATCATTCCCAAACCCATTGATGAGTTACTGGTAGGATGCATTTTCTTCACTTCCTCTCTTCTGGTGCACAAAGAGCACAATAGTACTTCCTCTTTGTTCCTTTATAACTGTTTCTTCAATGATGCTGGGCTTTTTGTTGATACTGCTGAAGAAACAATTCCCACAGTTACAGATTTACTAAGAAGAATCTGCTCATTCTAGTAGTATGAGGAACAAAAAATCCAAGGCATCTACTTTGGCTTAGACATTTACTTCATCATACTATTCAGCTTTCCAATCCATTTTTATTCCTTTTGTCATCAATGCAATACCAAGATGAATTTAAAAAAATCTTCTTCTCCCATATTTGTACACCTTTCCTCATTCCTACTACTACTACTATGGTGTTGTACTAAATGTGCAACAAGAAGGATAATGTATAGAGTACTAGTACTACTAGTACTGGTACTGCTACATGGAACCACAAGTGAAGTTCCTTAGTCTTTCAGTGATTTTTTATTGCTTCATGTATTTATACCTTGAAAAGTTGCCTTTGAAACACAATTATGGCCTTTTGGTTGGAGTCCTGATGAAGATATTCCAAATCATCTTGCTCAAGATTAAATGAGTCAGAGGAAAGGTCATGATCTATGATTTCTTTAATGTTATCCAAATAAAAATCTGAGTTGGTGACATTAGAAACAGGATCCACCAATTCCGCCCAATAAGATGGAAACCACCAGAATTCTTTGCATCCCCACTGGGAAAAGAGCTGTCATATCTGGAGGGACCACTGCTACTACCATCACCAGGATGAGGGCCACTACTACTTTGATGTGATGTTCTTTGGGGGTTGGGAAGTTTTTCTTTGTTCTCTGTATTTCAATCTTGTTTGGTGTATGATTACACTGCAATGAAGTATTTTGTACACAGGTTGTTCAATTCCAATCCATGTAATCTGATCTGGTGCACCACAAACATAAAAATGATAATTCTATCATGAAATTCTTGCATTCAGAAGTAGTAAGAATTGGTGTCTTTTAGTTTTTATTTCCTGTCAGATCAATATTTCAGCTTATTTATGAAATGAATAATGAAATGTATACTACTTTTAGTTGAATCATTTTCAAGAACTAAAGGAATACCAAAGTAAAATAAAGGAATATTGACTTCTAGTTGTACTAGTACTAGTAGTTGCAGGCAACAAAATAGTAAGTACTGATGCAATCTTGTACTAGTAGTAGCATCATACAGTACCAGAATATTCAGTATTTTACATTTGTGACTAGTAGTACTACTAGAGTTGTTGTGAACCATCCTTCTTCTTTGTCATTGAGAGCAGGTTATCTTTTTTAGTGCCATAAATGCAATGTCACTCCCCCAAAATGATATGTTTTTGTTTTTGAGGAATAAGTGGTGGTGGTGAATTTGCTCTCCTTTTTGTCATTTGTGAATTGCTTGTTCATTGATTTGCTGATTGAACAAAGATATGCTTTCAACTGCTCCTTTGTTGATGCACATGAAGAGAGAGAGAGAGAAAGAGAGAGAACAACAAGCTCCACAGTATGTTCCTCTGCAAACAGAAGTTTTCCTTCAGTGTTCAAAATGTTTGTCCTTGATACTAACTCAATCCTACTACCAACTCAAGCCTAACACTACTAGAAGTACTACTATTGTTACAAGTAAGAATATTGTAAATAGATGACAATCACAAGTGGACCATAGTAAGCTGACTTTGATTGGAGATGGAAGGAACCGGGATGAAAGCAATTAGTAGTACTAGCAGTACCACATTTTGAACTTCACTTGTTGATGTTCTCTGAGGAGGGACAAAAATTCCCTAAGATCTGCTGTCATAATACAGAATGGATACCAGTATACTAGCAATATGCAAGGGGAAAAGGAGAAAACAAAATTTTGGTATTGTATTCCTATCTCACAACCAGCAAACACAGCACCAGCAGGATGAGGAAATAAAAGCAATTGAAAGCAACAGCTGCTGATCAAGCATTTGGAGTACTACTACTACTAGTAGTACTAGTAGTACTAGGAATACCAGCAGGAGGAGTCCAGTAGTGAATCCCTGTACTAGCAATAGTTGTATGTCATAGTATGTAGTACTAATAGAAGCAAAGTGTTTTCTACTACTATTATTGGAAGCACCAAAAGCCAACAGGAGGTAGTTCTACTACTAGTACTAGTAGTATCTACAAGAACCAGAGATGATGATTTCTTGTTGTTGGATAACTAGTACTCTACAACTAGTACTGCCAGTCTGGTAGCAGGTACCTGTAGCCATGATTCTTTTTTCTTGAGAAGCCAGTAGCTTTTTGTACGGCAACAAGGTAGTATAAGAAAAGCAAGCAGGAATACTAGTGGCAGTATTAATGCAACCACTATGATCTAGGTTGTCATATCGCAATACTGGTAGGACTAGCTAGAACAGTAGTACTGTACGACGTTGCTACAAGGCACATGCCTCCTCCTGGACGGTAGTTTCAACCAAAATCGCCAGTAAAGCAGTCCGAGCCAGCATGATAAATCAGGCCGCGGAGTGCAATAGCAACTACAGTACGATCTAGGAACGCATACGGGATACGCTTGGTGTTTGTGTTCTTTTGGTTTCGTTGGATGTCTTATGTTTCTGTTGTTTGTAAATGCATGATTTTTATGTTTTTAGTTGGTTTGGAAGACAGGACTGCGGGCCGTTCTTCCTTCGTTCGATCCCTATTTTTCCAGTTTCGTTTGCACGGTACAGTGCAAGATTGATTTTGTTGCTTTCCCTCCTGTGCAACGTGCTTGCCTAGCTAGAGCCAATGGTTCTAGCTGCTTTTCGATTGGAATTAGTTTCGTTACTCAAATGACTTCGCTTCAATCCATTCACTTCGGATCGTCCCTTGAATCACAAATCGATTCCATGCATCGCAACAATACCATTTGAAGAAATTCCATTTTTTCCATTGATCCCTCTAGAACAGAAGGTTGCTGACCAGGTTGTAGCACGAAAAAGCTAGCATCCCCTTTTGCCACGGTGGCATCGAGTGCTGAATGTTCGAAAAGAGCTGGGCAACGGAAAAAATCCCCGTCGAGTGATCGACTCCGATCTGCATGGCCATGCGGTACAGATAAAACAAAGACCCCATCGTGCGCATGCTCACCAGTTTCTGGAAAAAGGTTTTTGGAGGGGACCCCAGGGCGGACGGTGGAGTCAGCGGCAGGTGCGGTGTTTCCGAATACGAGTACGGAATGTCACCGTCGTCACCGATGTTGCTGCTGCTGCTGCTGCTACCGAGGAGTTGCTCCACCTCTTCGGCAAACGAGTGCCCGCGTTCCCTCCCCTCTGCAGAATCCTTGAAGCCGAGGTTGTAAAATTCTTCCAGCACGTCCCGGTTCACGGAAGCGTAGGACGCCGAAAGGTCACGGCCGGACCGGGACCCGACGCCTCCCGTTGTCCCGCTACGGGGTGCCGGGGCCGGACTCCGCGACAACACCGATTGCAGTGTCCACAGCACAAGCAAGCCCACGAGACCGGCAGCCACCGGATCGCTGAGCCTCCCGCGCAAAAAGGGAAACTGTCTCGAGAGGACCGCGTTGGACCTCGAGGGCAGGTTCTGAAGGACCACCCTCCATGGCTTTCGGTGGCGAAGGACGTCGTCGGCCAGGATGCAGCCAACCATGACGAGGCAGGCCGACAGCATGATCACTCTGGTCAATCCCAGAAGGTACACGAGGCCCACCACGACACACAGCAGTGCCCCGGCAGCGTGCTCCGGTTTCGTCCCGGCCGGAAGGGGCAGCCCCCGGCAAAGAGTGTCGGCCTGCTGGTAGTATTCCGAGAGCTTTCTTTTGACCCTGGGATCCGTTTTGAGCTGCTGGAACATTGCTCGGTAGGTCTCCAGCCCCGAAGCCTTGGTGAGGTTGGCCGGCTTGAGCGCCATGACGGTGGCGTTGGGAGAATTCCCGGGATCGACCGACGCCATCCGCACCATGTATCGTTCCCGATCGCGGTTGAAGGCAGTGCAGAATCCCAGCAGACCGTTCAGGTCGTCCCTGGCCGTCCCGACAATCTTGACGACGGTGGGAGCGGAAGATTCGGAGGGTCTTCCGTATTCGTCCGTGTTCAGAAAGCCCGAGGGATCTCTTGGGTTGCCGTTGCCGTTGCCATTGTTGCTGCTTGTGCTCTGGGCCTGCCGGGGATCGCCGCCACCGCCGCTGCTGGAGCTGCCAGCCGAATGAGAAGACATGGTGATGGATGGAAAATGGAAAACGGAATGCAGAAAGATGTCACTCCGAGCGTAATTATTGCTCTTCCTTGAACGAATGCACTGCTATTCTACTGTGTTTGTGTTGTCTATGAGTCCCAGTACGAGTAAGCAGAAGTGCTGTAATTGCTGTTCCTGTCGCAGTGTGCACTGTCTACTTCGCAGAAACTCCGCAGCAGTATCCGATACGGTACGGAGATGGATTGTTTGCGGCGACAAGGATTTTGAACAGAGTTTCCAATTACGTGTTCTTGTGCCTTCTTTTGAATTACATACGAGTACGTACCGTAGCGTAGGAGTTGTACGAATAGAAGTATTTATATTTACAAGAAGTTACAGTATTATTGTTTTCAATTCAGTTCTGCAACGGGTAAGTTTTTTAATGCAATCGAACAACAACAAACAAACGACATCACATCAACGATTCAAAAATTTGCTACTCGTACTCGATCTACCTACAGTACGTTTCTACGCAGCCTAGTACCTGTTCCATATTGAGCGATGACACCATGCGAATAGAACGCTATGGTAAGCAGCTGTTGGAACCCATCAGAGATGATGTTTGTGTCGTGCGGACAGGTTCTACAAGCCATCCTGTACCAGTACAAACGATTACCAGTACGTATGTACCGTTCAGTCCCACGCACGTACTTTCTCGTATCGTGAAGCCACACAATAGTACGAGTACCGTATCGTATCGTATCGTAACGTATTGTACTGTACTGAACCGATTCACTCAGTTTCATAGAATGAGAAGAAAAACGACCTGTCTGTCCGTTCTCAGGTCCCAAGGAATCTAAGAGATTCCTTGATCCTCATACCGGTAGAAGATGGTAATTTCCAAGAAAACTTGGTCCATGCGACAAAAGTATGATCGTACCCATTAATCGATACGAAACAAACCTACTACTTGTACCTATACGAGTACGTACTACGTACCGTACTCGTATCGTACGTAGGATTCTACCATACGTACCGTACGATCTCGAAAATAGAACCCGTTTTCACGGTTTTAATGTTTCACTGTATCGTCACGGGATTCGATTTCAGCGATCACAAAATCTTCGTTCATACGGTACGGTACTTGGTACAGTACGAAACCACGATTCACTATTCACTACTGTATTCAGCATTTATTATTTTCTTTGATTGCATGGTGTCGTACGGTATCGTACTATTTGTACTAAGAGAATACACAAGTACAAAGAATTCGATGCGACGGAGTTGTCTCTGTTTTGAAAACGTGTTGACCGGGTGATCAAAATCAAACGAATGGAAACAGAAACCCCACAACTCGAACAAAAAGCGAGTTACCGGTTCGTTCCCGTCGCTTTCTCTCCCCTTCGTTTCTGCTTCCTCGGCATTGGTTTTTCGTACACCAGTACCGGATTCTACTGCGAAACACAACGTTCTTGTACCGCGGCTTCCATCGGTTGCCCGTTTTCCCGTGCTTGCCAGGGGACAAATATTCTTTGTGACCGATGCCCGTGGCTTCTTCATTACAGCGTGCGAAAAATTCTGGAAAGGACCATAATAGTCGCAACAATCCGATACGAAACGCATTTCTCATTCGATCGCGTCGCATTCCTTCCTCGTCGCTCCTATTTCTGTGAACCACAAACAATCTACCATGGGTACGTGAATGCTAAAATCAAGATCCGGGAATCCACCCTCTGTCGTTGTCTTGCGTTTCGCTCTGCATTCCTGGAAGACTTACGTGGCGCGGCACGAACACAACCGTCCTAACACTTTGCATCCCTTCGTTGTCACAACAAAGCGAAAGCATCCGAGAAGCGAACACAAAAGAAGATCTCGGGCACCTCCAAATCGGTATCTTCCAAGCACCAATCGGCCGCAAAGGGTGGTGTCGGTGCCGTCAAACCCAAGCAAGCCATCATTCTCGAGACGATTGCCAAGCTACACGCCATTGGCATGGAAGCACCCAGCCGCAAGAACGTTCAGGCCTTTTCCGGGAACACAAAAACCAAGGCGGGGTTTGAGAAGAACCTGGGACAGCTCAAGAAGGGCGGGTACCTTACCTACGGGCCGGGGAGCACCCTGATCCTTTCCGAGAAGGGATCCTCGCTGTTTTCGCTCTCTTCGTCGGCCTCGTCGGCCCTGACCAACGAGTCAATCCACGAGGACATGAAGGAGATGCTGAGCCCCAAGGCCCGTCTTATCTTTGACGCTTTGCTGGATGGAGAGAGACACGATCGCAAGGTGGTTGCGCTGGAGCTTGGTTACGATATGAGCAAGCTGTCGGGCTATCAGAAGGACATTAGCAAGATGAAAACCCTTGGCTTTTTGGAATATCCCACCAAAACCGAGATTCGGCTTTCCGACACGTGCTTCCCGTTAGGCCGTCCATAATGGCGATAGATAGCTAGTGTCTTATTTTCTCTCGAAGGACTTGTTGAATGTGAGAATAGAACCACAAAATACTTTGGCTCGATAAATGTGATAAATAAGTACAGTAGAAAATTTAGAATTGTGAGTTAGAAACAAGGAGTTGCATGATTTAATCTGATAATTATTTGTCGATCTGTCGAAAAGCAGACATCAGCAGCCACCATTCTTCGGGTGACGGAGCCGTAGATATTAAGAACATATTGCACTGCAGCATGTTTCTGCAACAGTTTCTACCGCCCTGCCACAACGTCATCGTCTCATCGGAAGAAGACAAGAAAAAGTTTGTTCCAATACCTTCCTGAAGATCCAAAAAGCGACAATTTACAATTGCGGTTGTTAAATTTTAACAGTTGTGATTTACATTTAGGACAGATTCATGTTTATTTCGATGCTCATTCGTTCTTTTTTGTTTTTTAAAATCGATTGTTAAATGAATGTAGTTTGATAATTCCAATTACAGTAATTTTAATTAGAGAGTAATGTGCAGAAAACATTTATTATGCTTTACTTGAGTCATGAAGTATCATAAGCAGAGGTTTCTCACACGATGGTTTACGTTCGTATATTTAATATATGGGGTTGGGGTTTAATAGATTGTTGGTCCCAACGCATATATAATGCACGTTTGAAAAAGAAGAATATAGCAAAAAATATTCTTAAGGTTGTCTTTATTGATAGCATACAGATTACAGCTGAAATGGTATTTTTATGTAAATAATACGAAGTAATTAATAAAACATTGTTTAATAGTTTCGAATTTGTACGGTAGCCAATAGAAGCCAATCACAATAAGTGTAAATAGGACGACCATAATAGCCTCACGGTTTGTGATACCGTCAATAGTACGGGAAGAGCGGCGAGAGCAATAGTACTTTACACAACAAATACCACTGCTGCTTTTTACGAAGTACTAATTTACTAACAGCATTTGCTACATTTCGGAGGTGGCGAAAGAAATTGCCATCAATTCATCTGGCTCAGCAATAAGCAATCCTTGAACAAATGTTGATTTGATGTACAGTTGAGTTGGCAATACTATTCCATTCCGTCAAATAATTCCGTCCTACCAATTATCCTAGAAAACGGAGTTGGATTGCATGCATATGCACCATGTCCGTCAATCCTCGACTTCTGGATAAAACAAAGACTTCGTTGGTCCTTCAACAACAAGGCCTGCATCGGCCTTCGATTCCCAAAGTAAGTGAAAACAGCACCCTCGGTGCCAGTGTCGGAGCTACTAGCTACGCTTCGAAGAACACAATCACCGACAACCCCTCTGCAATGGACCACCATTCCCAATGCACAACTCCGTACCAAACAACGTTGGGTGAAGTGACAGGCCTAGCAGGAGTTCTCGACCCGACGCTTTTATCTACGGCACAGAAGCTTCGGCTACAGCAGCTATTGCAACACAATATACAGCAACAACAGTTGCTGCAGCTTCAAAAGCTTCAAGCGCAACAGCTTCAAGTACAACAGCTTCAGGCACAAAAGCTTCAGGCGCAACAGCTTCAAGTACAACAGCTTCAAGCACAAAAGCTGCAACAGCATTTGCTAAACCTTCACCAGCCGCAGCAACAACGGCATCGACCACTACTAGAAACTGCGATTGCAACCACAACCACAGCTCCATCCGATGATGATGTTTGTTTGCCGCCACTGAAACTCACTGATCTCAAGCCCTCTATACTGGTAATCTTCAAGCGCCTGATCAAGGAACACGCCACAGAATACTCATCACATGCGACGACACATTCCAAAAAGACCGCAGCGGAGAAACTGACGAAATCGTCCGAGGAAACGAAGAACAACATCAGCAGCAAAGACGAAGTCGTCGATCAGATCTATTGCTCCTTGTCGGGATTCTGCCAGCCTTATCCGAATCTAATGGTGGATTTCCCATCGAGGGAGCGCATGTCCGAGCTGATCCGGTCCTCGCTCGAGTTTACGCTCGAGTTGAGGGCATCGCAGTCATCATCTTCCTTAGCTGCCGCCAAAAGCAAGCTTACCAAAAAGAAGAAAAGCGACACGCATGAGAACCACACACAGGACGGCGCAACAACACTAGCCTCCAGCCCCCTACCGCCATCGATGTCGGTAAGGCAGAAGGATGCCATTGTGCTTGCGGCTGCCTCCGCCACAAGGACAAAGGAATTGGCTGGAGCAAACACCGCCAAACATTCGGGTGGGCCGAATACGCCTTTAATGGACCCGGGATCCGTGGACCGTGAGAATATCGGTGGGGGAGCCGTTCTGCTCTCCCCCTCTGGAATTCAAGTTGCTCCCGAAGCGATGGCACCGCTCAAAAACGATGCGCTTTCGGTGGCGCACCAAGTAGCGATAGTAGCGGCACACCAGCAACAACTTGCGGCACAGCTATGGAAGCAGCACCGACAGCAGCAGCAACAGGAACAGCAGAATCGAGAAGTGTGCAACAAGGCTCTTGGCAGGGCCTTGGGTGTCCCAAAACCCAACACCAACGGCCTAACTTGCTTCCACGAGGATGTGTTGGCCGCCACATACAAATCCTCGGCTGGTGGCTTGTCCGAATCTAATTACCAGGCGCAAGCCCTATGCAATGCAATGGGATTKCCACCGATCTCGACTTCCTCTGCCTCGTTGGAGCATCTCCATATTGCGAAGCTAAAAAGTTCCGTAGTCAATGATTCGAACAAAAATTTATCGCTGTCGGGATCAGGCATAACAGCAACAAACCCTACACCCATGACAGAGGAAGACTTTTGCCGAATCATCCACGGCTTAAAAGCTTCCTTGCCGTCATTCTCGCAGAATGTCGCTGCTCGTCCCACCGCAACAAATCATGCCGGAGTTGTACCATCGGAGTTGAATCGAACGATAACGCATGGTACTCTCTTGGATCGATCGGGGGCCTGCAGTCCGGGACTGATGGCGACGGCTCGCGAACTCGAGCTTGCTAGGATATCATTGGCATTAGCAACAGCTGCGGGAATCGCTACCAACTCCACAGCGGCTTCTTCCGCCGAGCAACAGACTACTTTGGCCCGTGTTGCTCAAAGCAGCGTTGGTCCCATCACGAGCGGCCCGTTGGAGGCTGCCACGGAAGGCATTATCAACTCGAACGCTTTGGTCGCCGATGATCGTTCCACCGATCTCGCGGGAATGATGGCGACGGCCCGCCAACTTCGGCTAGCCACAATATCACTGGCAGAAGCAACAGCTGCAGGAATCGCTACCAATCCCACGTTGACATCTTCCGTTGAGCCACAAAGTACTTTGGCCCAACCTGTTCGCAACAGATTTGGCCCCATCAGGAGCAGCCCATCAGAAAGTGGTGTAGTAGGCATTCCAAACCCGAATGTATTGGAATCTGGAACTACAGTTTTAACCCCAGTGTGTCGGTTTTCTTTCCCTATTGTTGTCTTTCAGGAAGTGGATCGACGCTTTTTGAGGGAATTTGAATGTGCCCTCCGGCAACAATTGGTCATCTTCGAGGCAGAGATGGCAGATGTTGAAGCCTATCGGCGTAACACTATCAAATATACTGACAATGACAATGGAGTTAGTGGCGAAAGAAGACCGAAGTCGATACGAATCAGTCAGATTGGGATTCGCTGTCGCCATTGTGCCACGAAGGGCGGCAAAAGCAACACCCAACGTGCATTCTGGTATCCAACATCGCTGAACGAAGTGGATACCTACAGTGAAAAAATTTACGAAGAACACTTTCGGTCCAATTGTTCTGCAATTCATTCTGTAAATCTCCTAAAGGACCTGAAGATGTTGGAAGACAAGAAGAACGACGTTTCGTCGCGCAAAAGAATTAAAAATCCCTTTGGAGACAAGTATTGGTCTGTGATGTTGTCAAACATGGGAATTTACGAGGATAAGGTCAATGTCATGCTTCGAGTCAACCGTGGCAAAAAGAATGGAGTTACCGATAGTGCATCCGCTGTCGTCACTTCGCCAGTTCCATCGAATAACATTACTGCTCGCGATATCAAACGCGAACAGAAAAAGAAAAGAGCAGTAAGCGAAGAATCCAATGCACCACGAAGAAATATTAGTGGGAAAGCACCTGCTGTAATTGAAAGTTCTGACGGCGAACAAGAAGAAATAAACAAGGGGAGAAATTCCATTGCAAAGAAGAGAAATTTATCTAGGCATAATGAAGGTCATCGAAGCTCACTAAACAGCTCAGCAGATGAATCTTCATCCTGCGCGAAGGAGGAAAACACTACCAAAAAAACACGTTCCGATGGCAATTCAAAATCTTCTTCTGTCACTGCCAAGGTCGCCCGAGTATCGAAACACGCATCGAAGCGAAAATTCAATCCGTCAGTGGGCACATCGGAGGATGATTCGAATGCAAACAGTAAGAGCAAGAAACCAAAAACAAAGGGCGCATCACCAAAACAATCATTAGTATCATCCAAGGTCTCTCCCTGCTATGGTTCGAAAATTGCATCGTCGGAAACTGATGGAAATGTTCACCATAAAGTCGCGAAGGGTTCTCACCGAAAGAAAATGGCTGAACAACGAGTCAAATTGCCGAATCGTAGAACAAAGTTGGTGCCTCACAGCGAAACACCGAATCGAAAAGAAAGGGCCGTGCCAAAAATAAAACAACCAAACCCAAAAGAAAAAACCGCGCCGAAAAGGAAACCTTCCACCGTAGAACAGAAGGTTCTTCCGAAGCGAAAAGTGGAGCAACGCAGAGCAAAAACTGTGACAAGAATTGAACCCCTCTCCGGGAGAAAACACAGGCCACTCGAATCGAAACGGACCCCAAAATCCGGAAACAATGCGGCAACACGAAAGTCCACCGCCCCCCAACGGGAAGAGGACAGGCCGCAATCGCCGCTCCTTGCGGTGACAACGAACGACAAACTCGACGAGTCCTTTGAAAAAGCCCTTCCAAAGTCCGTCCAGCTAGCTCTTGCACGGCTTGCCCCGTATAACGGTCCTGGAAGGGAAACCGACGGCGATAACGCATTTATTCTAAGCAATGCTCTTTCGGCACCGTCGTCCTCGAAACGACGGAGGAGGTCTAGGCGCTTGAAGGGCTAATTTTTATCGTGTCCCTTGATAAAAGTTGAAACAATTTAGAGCAAACAATAGAGTGATATTTCATTGAAGATCAAACAATTCTGCGGTCGTGATGAAATAAACGAAATGCCAAGATTAGCTATTGATTGGAATGGTCGTTTCGAACTATCTCTGACATCTCATTGTGCTGATTGATGCCAAGGACCCACGTCGATTTGTCAATTGTTGTGCAGCACAATTAGGAGCAACGGCATGCCATTTGAGACCCAGCATTGCCACCACCCGAGGGACCTTGGTGGGGTTGGAAGAAGATGAGGACGTCGTCGTGCTGCTGGGGATTTTTGGTGTGACGAAACAATCAAATAACTTCCAGAATCATGACATGAAAATGATGCACGAGGAACAAGTGCTGTTGCGTGCCTAGCCAGAAATCACGTCGCTGAATTTGTTCCTAGCACGCAATATATAACAGAGTTCTTGATTTACTCCCAGTGCTACTACTAGTACTAGTGCCATGAGTTTCATAGCCACTACAGTACTACTTTCTTGAAACCGTTTTGTTAGTAGTAGGGAGAGCGCAGGTGGTGGTACTAGTTGTGCTGTTGATGAACACTGTCTCTACTACTAGTAGTAGTAGTAGGAAAAGAAGGGAAGTCTTAAGTAGAAGTAAAGGTACTACTAGTAGTAGTATTCTAAGAGTACTACCAGGTCTAGCCTACTACTAGTACTAGGACTACTAGTAGTTATTGGTAATTTTGGTAGTATCACTATAAGAGACTCTTAAAGAACCTTTGTTTCAGAACATCAATAAGCAACAAGAACAAGACACCAGCAATGATGGTATTACTAGTATGAGTTCTTGTAGTAGTACAAATCTATCATTTCTTCAAAAGTAGAAAAGGCCCTCAAGCAGGATTGGATGATTGATGGCGATAAGATTCTTGAGAAATTAGAAAACAGAAGCAAGAAGAGCAACCAAGAAGAATATTACTTCAAGCAGCATCCAATAATTGATGGTGATTAATATGATCGAGAAAATAGGCAGCACCGGTAGATCCGAGCTGGAACACAATCCTTCTTGTTCAATCCGAGTTTTCTTGAATTTACTAAGCAATGACAAGAACTTCAAATTGAAGTTTAGTAACCAGCCATTCGTGTTCTTTGTCGTCGCCGTACTCGATTGATCTAAAACGCGCACTAGCTAATCATCTCCGGTGGAGAATCCTGTGGAGAAGATTCCATCAGCACCGCATTGAAGTTAGTATTCATCCTCCGACGAAAAAGTTGAACCCTTCCCCGAGAAGCAAAACAAAAAGTATCAATCGCGACTGGTGGAGAAGATTCTTGCAAGTTTTTTTTTGCAGTTTTTCGTAGTTCTGCCTAGTACGTACGTACCCTACCTAGTGCTAGTACCGTTTTCGATTTCCGACAAAAAAATATGTTTGCGGTGGCAGTTGTCAGAATGTGTTTTTGCTTGCGCGCGACCAAGGTGTGACGTTTGGACGATTCCTGCTTCCGGGAGGAAAAACCCCTGCCCTTTGCCTACCCAACAAGATCGATTGGGCGGCTGTACACCGTTTGAACGAAGAAAACAAAAAGAACACTTCGCTTTCGTTTTAGAATAATGTAACACCCGTAGTGGGGTGATTGATGGTTCTCAGAGCGATGGACGACGGGATTAAACTCAAGGTAGGATTTAGGAATGGAGTACCGGCCGGTACGGGCAAGGAAACAAAAAGCCGAACCATTGGTTTGATTTTCGTTTCGAACGTCAGAAAGGACGAAGGTTCCTACGGTACAAGTACGAGCAGCAATAGGAAACAACAGACTTAACCTTGATTTTTGAAACGTTCCGAAGAATCAGAATTTTCCGCAGTCGGTAGGAGTGAGCACAAAAAAGATTTGTCGCATCGCACATCGCACATCGAATTACCACAAACAATACGGTATCACACGACACCATACCAAGCCAACACAGCCACGATGCATCCAACAGAAGACCTAGCGACCGATGGATCCGCCTCCTTCGAGCGGTTCACGTGCCTGCCCTGCAACAGCTTCGGCCCTCGGCGCCAAAGGGGTTCCTTCGATTCCTCGGACCACCCCCGCGCCGGAGAGGTGTCGATGGAAATGATCCTGTCCCTGTGCGACGAATCCTCCTCGTCAACGCCAATGTCCTTGTCGCCGTCGTTGGCGCCATCGGTGTCCCTGTCCCTGTCGTCGTGGTCGCTGGACGAAAGCGAACCCGATTCGGACTGGGGGACCGAACACTTTCTCGGCGACGGCGGTCACCTCCAAAACCACGCAAGAGCACCCCGTGTCCAATCGCCGATCACCAGGGCACTCGGCAGGATCGAGTGCAAGTCCAACAAGAAGACCAACAAGTGCAGGTTTTTCTACTCCAAAAAGGGCTGCAGGAGGGGTGCCAGCTGCAGGTTCGAGCACTGATCGAGGGAAGGAATCGGGAGGAACCAATTGATTCGATTCGATTCGCTTGCCGGTTTGTCCGATTGCACGACGCGGGGTCTGTGCAGAATGGATGTCGGGCGACAAAACATGTTTCTTTGGAGCTTTCTTGTACTACTAGAATATTTATGTTGTAACAGTAACAATGCAATAAAAACTCATTCGTTTTCAAAGAACTGTGCTAAATGAACTGCTGTAGAAAACAGAAAGCATTATTGCTTTGCACCCGGCAACCGACTAGCGAATCGCCTCTCCGCCGATTGCTTCATCCATGTCCCGACACCACACACCACACACCGGTTGCAGTGTACCCAACGACGGTCCAGAGGAACTCTGCAAGTGGGCATCTCTCCCGTGTGTGCTTCTCTGCGAGCTGCTGTCGGGCACTGCAATCCACGATCCACTCCACTCGGGTTTGGCGTGTCGCGGTAGCTCTGTTCCGTTCTGTTCTGTTCTTCGATGCCTGCCACACCATAGAGCAGCGGAATGTGCCGTAGAACACGATGCCCAGCACCAGCCCGTTGGTTTCAATGGTTCGGCCCCGGCCCACGCGGTTCCGGATATGCCGCTGGTGGTGGTGTGGCACGCAGCGCAACGCAACGCAAACCACGCCGCGGTTCCGCGACGGGTTGTGTTCTGGACGAGACACCGCCACTGGATCGAGGCCCCGTCTGCTCGTTCTCGCCGAGCGGTTCCGGTTCCTAGCTGCGACGAGGAGGAGGCACGGACGCATCCGTGCACGAACGGACCGTTCCGTCGGGGAGGTCCCTTTGTTTCGCGGTGTTCGTTGATCCGAGCAAGGCCGGGCCGGGCCGAGCCAGGGCAGGTATTGTTCGCATCGCATCACATCGCATCTAGTGGCGTGTCAGCGGATGTTGTTTCAAGCACGGCACGGCTCTTGCGCAAGACAAGACAAACCGCCAGCGGCCTTGGGTTCCCGGCGGGAAACCAACCACCACCACCACCACCACCGAGAGTGGATCGAAAGCGGGACGGCACACCTCGCACTGGTGGGCAACGCAACACGACGCAACGCAACGCAAGGGATTGCACCCGCTGTGGCCGATCGGCTCCTTGTGCCGCCACACGGTTCCTCCATCGAGCATGCGACTCGCTGGTGCGATGCGAGTCGCCGAGTCGCCCTCTGTACCAGTGTTACCAGCATCATCATCATCATCAKCAGCAGCAGCAGCAGGATCCTCCGCATCCGCGACTGGGCAACTCGTATCGCATCAACAAGCAAATCGCATCGCAGGAGTGTAGAGCGTCCTCCGCATCAGCAAATCGTATCGCAACAGTGAGCAGCGTCCTCCGTATCCGCGGACGCCGCATCAGCGAGCATCCTCTGTATCAACACCAACAGCATGCTCCTTATCCAACGTTTGCGTTCTCGGTATCGGCAGCTCCTCCGTATTGCATCAGCTTCCTCCGTAACCTCGCTCGCATGGATTCATATACTTATACGCTGCTGCTCGGTGCTCTCTAGCCAAAGCTCTCGAGTTTGTTGAAGGTGCTTGCAGTAACAACATCACTTCGGTCTCGGGCCAAAGCTCTCGGCCTCGCTGATGTCACTAGTGTACAAAATTCCCCCACGATAACAACACGGACCTCAAAGAATACCGGTACATTTCTCATTTTAGGTTCACGCGCGGACCGTGCGACGCCAAAGATACCATCATGCCGTAATTTGTGTTTTGTGTGTTGTGCTCCCAAGAAGATAGATACGGTATGGTAGTACTCGTACCGTAGAGCATTGGTTGGATTTTTGGATTTTGTGTTACCGAATCGGTATTCGTGAACAATACGTACTACCGGTACCGGCACCGTGCGATTCGGCAACGAACGGCGTCTCATTGCACCAAAGTGTTCAAACGCAATCCGCGGCGGGAGTGGACGAAACCGACGGATTCCCAAACGCGCCAAAAGAAGCCCGGCAGGCAGAACCAAGAAACAAACGAACCATAAATAAATAACCTGCTGCACCACCAGCCGCAACCATGGATGTCATTGTCGGTGTCACCCACGAAGAAAGACGACGACTACTGGTCCCCTAGGCCGAAACCCTGGGATGCGGTGCTTCGAGGCTGGGTTGGCGTCCCACCGTGCACCCCCGCCGTGGTGCTGGGTTGTCTATAGTGCCGGTCTCATCGAGGCAGTCCGTTTGTTGCCTTTGGAAGCGTTTCGGTGGTACAAGTCGTGGTGGTGGTTCTTCGTTCCACTGACTCGTGACTGAACCCGTTCGGGTGTTTCATAATGTGGCACGCACGAGGTCGAGGCAAGAAGGCGGGAGCTCTAAGTAGGCGCTGTGATTGATTGTTTTATTAAGTGGAGCTATGGAATGCTATTTACTTTTTTGGCTGATGTCCATCCATCGTTCTTGCCATATATTAAGACCTCAACGCGTTCGGTTTGAGTGAGTGCGTGACGTCGAGTCGGATTGATAGTAAGAATTTGAATGGTTAATTCTATTATTATCGTCCATCTCTGACTGGTACAGTGAAATATGTCTCTAGCAATGACACTAATAGCAAAAGCCGTTTGGCTTATGTATCCTACCGATCACAACTTTCAAAGAACCTCGCGTACACCGAACAAGTATCAAATTTTTGTCATTGAGGTTGGGGAAAGCGGAAGGGACGGCGAAGCCATAGCTCGATATCAGAAGAAAAAGTATCGATCGCGCGTTCTTTGGTTTTCGACGAGTGCGTCATTTCAATCCTTCGTTCTTTTGGTTTTAGTGATACTAATGATAGTATTGGTTACATATAGTTCTTCAATCCACGATTCCCGCAAGCTCCCCAATTATACCGCAACTTGAAGATCGTTTGTCTCTGCGATAATTCTGGTTGACTAAGTGTGGAAGGTACCCCCAACGGTTTTTGAACTGCCTCCTCCAAATATTATCTGGTAATGCATCCATCGCCGCTTTGGACGGAACAGGATTCATATCGTGACATATTGTCATTCTTCTGACGGTTATGTGTCGCGTCTCCGGCTTGACTTCTTTTTGTTGTTCGGAGATCTCGGCACTCGACTCAATACCGTTCTTGTTGTTCTTGTTGTCCTCTCGAACGAAATAACAAAGACCCCCCTAACAGCCCTTGCCATGTAGGGCATGGTAGAGAAGGGTACAGTGCCGCATCCGCACGGGGCAGTGAAGGAAACCAATATTACTACTACGAATAATACTAAATCACAACCATAAATCATATCATTAATTGTTTGCCTTCCCTTGGGACGCACTATGTGCAACAGCGACACACCACGTTTGCACTCGCACTCGGTTGATGCAAACATGCCTTTGGCGAATTGACCAAACAGACAGCAACACCAACAGCACAAACCAAACCAACAGCGGCAAAACAAAGCAAAGCAAAGCAAGAACGAACAAACGAACAAAAGAATCCCGAATCAAACAAGAAGCAAGCAAACAAACAAGCAACATCCAAGCACCATGGCGGAAGGGCAACAACCGTTGCCACCCAAGCGGCAAACAACGCCAAGATTCTGCGTCGTGGTCCCGAGGAAGCGCCTCTCGCCGTCCCTCGGTGCCCTGGCGGCCCTGTTGTTGCTCTCGGTGTTTTTCCAAGCGTCCTCCTCGGAGACGACGGTGCTTGCCCCGAAGCGAGAAGGACCCGCAGCTGCGGCAAACGCAAACGCAAACGCGAAAGCTACATCCGCAGCCGCGGGGTCTCCCGTGCACCACCGGTCGTTCCGGCGCGGCTTGCGGCAGGACACGGAGTGCATCCTGTACCTGGGGCTCCTGGAGCGCGAGCCGGGGGCAGGCATCCGTGGTGGAGGGAAGGCCGGCAGCACCTCCCACGAGGCGGTGTGGTCCTGCGAGCTGCCCATGGAAGCGGTCGGGGGGGAAGGCAGCACCGTCCCCGGAATGGGGGGAACCACTGGGGGGTTTGGCAGCAGCAGCAGCATGGGCACCATGCTGGTGGCCATCGAGGGCCTCCGCCCCGGCTTTTTCGAGGAAGGGGGGGCCGTCTCCGGTGCCACGATCCTGAGGATCAGCGAGGGCTGCTACCTGGAGGGAACAAGAACGAGCCCGGGACCGCAGGGCAAAACCAAGGGAACTCTCAAAACCAGGGATCCGGCCACGATTCTCACCAGGATGGTCGTCCCCCCAGAGGCCACCGTCGAGCTGTCGGCACAAGGGCAGGGATCGGCGTCCCCGATCTTCTTCCACCGAACGAGAAACTTAAGGCCAAGGGGAAAGAGCAGCAACAGCAGAAGCAGCTATCCACACCCGAGGGGCCCCGTGGACCACGACCCGGACCACCCCCTCGTCCACAGGGCGATCCCCACCGTCGGAAGCCTCACCACCCTGGTGGTCCGCGTGGTGGGCCCGAGCGGGATCGCCCCGGTCGACGACATCGAGGCTACCCGGAACAACGTCTTTCAGGACGCCGTCTGCCTCAAGAGCCAGATCGAGGCCTGCTCCAAGGGCCAGCTGGTCATTGATCCCTTCTCGGGAACCACCCAGGCCGGGAAAGTCGTAGAGGGGGGCGTTGTGGACGTGGCCATCGACGTCGATCCGGCCCCCGGCAACCGGGACATCCTCAAGCACCGGGCCAACTGGATGGCGACGCGGGTGCTGGGGAACCTGGAGGAACAGTTCGACCTGGTCCTCTTCTGCCTGCCGCCGGGAACCGGGAGGGACTGGATCGGTTTTGCCAGCGTGGGGAGGTTCGATTCATACTACAACAACCAGTGGTGCGGCCGGGTGTCGATCCAGCTCCACGAGGTCGGCCACTCCCTCAACCTGGCCCACTCGGGGGAGAAGAAGGCGGGGACCAGCGACTACGACGACCAGTCGGGCATGATGGGCTTTTCCTACCCGAGAGACGACTGGCCCCGCATGTGCTTCAACCCCGCCAAGAGCTACCAGCTGGGATGGTACAAGAGGCAGCAGCTCGCCATCGATCCCACGAAGATGCTGCTGGCCGACCACCAAGGCTACGGAGTCGAGGGCGAAGGCGAAGGCGAGAGCGAAAGCTATGGCATTGGGTACGATACGGACGACGATACGGACGACGATACGGTAAGCACGGCGAAACCCATCTCCACAACCACCACAGAGACCTCCGCGACGAGCGTCTTTGTCTTCAACGGGGTGGCCGATTACCGGGCCACCGACGACTATTACGACGACTACATCGGCGACGACGACGACGACTCGAACCACCACAACGCCACCGCGGTTTTTCCCGCAAGCGCCGATGCCGACGCCGACGCTGGCGACAACGACCACACCGACGACCGCGCCGTCGTGGTCCTGCGGCTGAGGGAAACCGGGAGCGGGACCGACTACTTTGTGGGCTTCAACCGGGCCTCCGGGGCCAACCAGGAAACCCAGGAGGACGCCAACGAGATCGTGGTCGTCGAGAAGCCCTCGGGAGGGTCCTACGGGTACGGCCAGTCCTGGAAGGTGGCGGCCCTGGGGACCAAGGGCCAGTCCATTGTGGTACCCTTTCGGGGAAGCCTTGTTTCCGCCTTTGTGGAAATCAAGCTGCTCGCCGACACAACCACCGGCTACAGCGGAAGCAACACCAACACCAACCAGGCACCCATCAACGCCCCCGTGGCCATCACCAGCTACAGGCGGGCCGATCCCTGCGGAAACGGCGAGCGGACCCTCCTCTTCGAGGCCAGGGGCATGACGGACGGTTTGGGCGGCCGCGAGGCCTCCTGGAGCCTCAGGGTGGACCCCGACAAGAAGGCAAGCGGGAACAACGCCGACGAGAACGCCGCCAGCGCAAGCGGTGCAAGGGGGGGATACCTCGGCTTTGGGTCCGGCTACGGCCCGAGGGAAAGCTTCCGGAGGGATTTCGAGGTCTGCCAGAACACGTGCTACATATTTGCCATTAGCGAAACAGGGGGGGACGACCCAAGCGGAAGCGAAGGCGAAGCGGCCTGGGGCGGCGTCGTTGAGGGCTTTCTCAACGGGGAAAAGGTCTTTGACACCCGCGACGAACCCAAACAGAACCAGAAACAAAACCACGAACCCCCGGAGCACGATTTGCACTCGCACTCGCATTCGTACTCCTTCTGCATCGACCCCCTCCCGCTGTGCCGGGACTCGCCGACCTTCAGGATCCGGACCGGAAAGGGCAAGAACAAAAAGACCCGGAAGGGCTGCAAGTGGGTCCGCGAGAACCCCAAGAAGCGGTGCCGGAGGCAGTGGAAAGGTAAACCCCTGTCCAAGCGATGCCCCGTGTCCTGCGACCTGTGCTGACCAAGACAGACTCGAGGCGAAACGAAGCGAAGCGAAACGACGCGAAGAGTCGGAAGCGGGGCAACCGCCAAAGCAAAGGCAAACGCAAAGGCAAAGATTGCGATGCGATGTTGCATCCCGCTGCACACACGGTGCGAACCGTTTTGGTGATGTGTGTGTACTACTTCTTCTACTACTGCGGTTGCTAGTTACTGTACCAGCGAACAGCAATTGAAACTTTGTGTCCGGGTTTCGAACGCCTTGGTGTTTGTTCCCCCGCTTTGATCGCGATACTACAAATACTATTATACTAATAATGCTAGTACCAATACTATGTTTGTGCTACTCATATGACTAGTAGGTAGCATTAGTAAAAAAGGTAGGTTCTTGTTCGGGTCGTACTAGTAGGATGATGGTAGTGATGATGATGATGATAATGATCTGCGTTTTTTGGGAGGTACGAGTCCTACTGAATGTAATTCAATGAAAAAAAGTTGCATTGGTTCTAGTAGTAATAATGCGAAATACGAGTATCCAACGGATGGAAACGGACTCTGAAAAGTATTGTGTTGCGACTCATTGGCGGATCCATTGGATTGTGTGGCGGAGAATACGGATGATTCGATGAAATATGGAATAGTTTGTCTTTGTCGTTCGAAATTGTTTCTTGTATTCGAGGGCATCTTGAATATATGAATACGGTGATTGATTGATTGATTGATTCAGTCAGTCAGTCGATCATTGATTCTTTGTGATCATGGCTCCGTCGTTTGTTACCGCGCTAATATATGTTTCTCGTTGATGCACATTGCTTTAAATATTTATTTTACTCACTATTTTCTTTGGTCGAGTTCGTTGCCAATGTTTGTGAGGAAATGCATCCCAAAAGGATCGTCCCTGTTGCGTTGGTGTGGTGCGGTGCGGTGCGGTGCTGTGTTGTCTTGCCTTCCTCGGCACTTTTCTGCGGCAGTACCAGGGCTTTCCGCATTCTGCCATTCCGTTCGGGTTCTGGGTGTCTCTGGGAACGCGCTCTATAGCCGTTTCGTTTCGTTTCGTTTCGTTTCGTTTCGGAAGCCGCTCCCGGGGGAAACCGCGAGGCGGCGAGCGCCGTTCGGCCCGTGGTGCTTGCCCGTTCCGACCGCTCGTTCCGACGTGTCACGGCGGGGGAGTCGGCGGGGACGACCGCATCAGCCAGTAGCGAAAGGCGATCCAGACGCTAAACCCCTTGGTCCAGATCCTCCGGAGGGACCTCCCCAGGGGCGTTGCAAAGAACCGCCCCCGCAGGGACCCTTCCGTGTCCATTTCGGTTTCGCTCCCCGGGCCTCCGGTTTGTTCCCACCGCTCCGCCCGCTCCCTCCGCAGCCGGCGGCCCTCTTCCCGGGCCTCCCTCCGCAGGTCGGCCCCGTACCGCTTGGGACGGTCCCCTGCGCTTCCCCCGCGTTTGGCTTGCAAACGCAGGGAACCGGGGGGGAGGCCAAGGGGAAAAGGCCTGCCTCCGAGGGGTGCGGAAAAGGCCGCCGCCACCGGCCACCCTTGCGCAAGGGCGATCGCCGCCAGAACGGCAGCGGCGAGGATCCAGGGGGTGCCGAACCCCCGACGCATCGGCCGCGGGGCCGAAAAGTGTCGGTTCATTGGAATGTCGGGATTGGATTGGATTGGATTGAAAATGCCAAGGATTCTGCCGATCGTACTGCTCCGTCAATCTATGGTTTGTCGCCGCGGGAGTTTCTGTTTCTGTCTCTGTCTCTGTCCGCCGAACGAGTTTCTGTTTGGATTTCTGTTTCTGCTTCCTTTTTGTGTTTGTTTTGTCCTCTTTCGATTCGGAGCGTTGTTTTGTGTCCTGCTCTGGGTTCCTTCCTGCTGTGCGGCCCGCTTGCTACGGGAGGCGTTGGGCAGTGGTGGGCGAGTAGGAATGCCGGAGAAGCTTTGTGTACAGTACCGTACGGTAGTTGTTCCGAAAGGTGTGCTCCATTCTGTACCGTCGAACGAGTTCGATGCTTACTCGTACCTTGCGAACTGCTGGGATGACACGACATGACACGATACGACACATCACGAGACGACACATGACACATGACACGAAGCGACGTATTTGTTTCCTTTCTTCGGAGGGAGAACGAGCCTAAATACAACGGTACCGGCCGGTACGATGGAGCGTACGATTGTTACAAGGAAGAGTCTACAGGTACGTAATGTACGTACCAGGTACCGTACGGTTCTCGTATCCAAAAGCAGGCCGGTGTGGGTCGTGTCTGGTCTATCTGACGTCGGACTGACTCACTTACGTGCACCGACTTGCACGCCCACCCATCACCGAACGTCTGTCTTCTTCCGGAATGGGGGCGTCGGCGCAAACAATGCATCAAACGAAAACCCCAAACTCAAAACCCAATACAGCAAGTCATAGTACCGTACATAACATACATACTATGTGATACCTAACTAGGTAAGATATCGTTCTTGGGTTTGCTATTTGCTACCTTACTTAATATATCTTCATAAAATATGTACATATGACATATACATATGATGGACCCCAGACGCAAACCGCAACGCACGGCGCCAGATACTACTGAATGTCTCGCACAGTATCAATACGTACCGTACGGTACCGTACCGTATGGTAGTACTCGTACGCTCTGTACGGTTTTCGTTTATAACGGTAGCACTCGCAGTCGTACTCGTGGTAGTATTTCGATTCGTTGGAATCCTCGTCCTCCCACTGCACGGCATTGTGCCTGTCGTGCGGCTTTCGTCTCCCACCGGCACCATGCGATACACCAAGCATAGAATACGAAGTGTCGCTCGGTTATAACCAAGGGGCAACACAGACCGTATCCTAGACAAATCGAAAAAGCAAACCGAAAGCAAATCGGTCCGGATTGGATCGGACCCACACCGAAAACACGTTTACGAAAGGAGCGGAACCATGGGATTGAGAAGGGATCCTCTCGAGTACATTTGGTAAGCCATGCGGCTGGATTCGGTTGGTGTCTTGGTGTCTTGGTGTTGATTCCTTCTGGTCACTGGTGCTGGTGCTTCTTCTGGTGCTCTTGCTCAACGCATTGCGTTTTTGTTTTTGTTTTCGTTTTATTCCCCTCCGCCAGCATGGCCTCGGAGGTCCACCTGGGAACCTCCCCCAACAGGGACGCGGTGGAGATCTTTTTGGAAACCGCCCGGGCCGAGCAGGAGGCCCCCTCGGCTTCGGCTTCCACAGGCAGCGGGAGCGGGGTCACCTGCCTCTTTGTCTGGATCGAGGGAGGCACCGGCAAGTGCCGGATCGGCGAAACCCTCCCGGAGCGGTACGAGGCCGGGGTGGCCTTTGTCGGGAGCCCCGGCAAGGGGGGAGGCGTCGAAGCGGAGGAGAAGGAGGACGGGAGCAGCGCCGAAGGGGGGGCCGGGGTCGAAGGCCAAGGCGAAGGCGAGGCCGCCCCGGTGGTGAGGCCCCGGATCCCCCTCCAGTGCGTCACGCTGCAGCCCTCCACATCGGTGGCCGAAAGCGAGGCGGAATACAAGTCGAGGGACGAGGAAGAAGGAGACCAAGACGGAGACCAAGCGAGGGGAGGCGCAAGGGGAAGCAAGGCCTTTGGGATGGAAGCCCCCAGCAGCCAGGCGACGCTTCTCTCGGCCCTCCAGCTCTACACGAGGCACCTCTTCCTCCCGGCCATTTCGTCGGCGGCGGTGTCCTCCGAGGCAGCGGAAGCCAAGGACGAACCGGAGGCGTCCAAGGGCAAAACGAAAACCAAGGCCAAGAGCGCCAGCAACACGGCCATTCTTCAGGACAAGATCCGCGAGCTCGACGTGGCGATCCACCAGTCCCAGAGGTCGGCCAAGCTGCCGAGCGTCCAGCTGGGGATCGATCCGCTCCTCTCGAGGGTGGTGGAATCCTCGCAGCTCACCGAGGTCTCGGGAAACGTCGACTGGGCCAGGCTGGGCCTGGAGGACAAGCTCCAGGACGATTCCTACCTCAACGACCTGCAGTCGGGAGTCAGCGGCTGGATCGGACAGATCCGAAAGCTCACCGTCCTGCCCCGGACGACGCCCTTTCCGATGATCTCGGACGGACCCGAGGCTTCCAGCGGGGCGGGGGCCGACCTGGAGGAAATGGCCTTTTGGAACCAGCTCCACGGAGAGCTGGGCCGCGTCAAGCTGCAGCTCAAGTCGCCGGGCGTCGAGCTCACCCTGGCCATGCTCCGGGAGGCCAAGCGCTTCGTCGCCACGCTGGCCCTGGAGCAGAACACGGGCCTCGACTCGGCGACGGCCTACGCCAGGGACGTCGAGCACTTTCTCAAGCCCTACCCGGTGGCGGACTTTGCCTCGGCGAGGGACTTTGACAAGATCGGCCTGGTACTCAACGGGGCCTTTGACCACCTGCCCAAGATCCGACAGTCGCGCTACTACTCCCTCGAGCGGACCGCGCAGCTCCTCTCGGCCACCACCCTCACGATGCGGAGGGCGATGGAGCGCATCCTCCGGGAGAAGCACTCCAACACCCTGCTCTTTATGGACTACAAGGACTACGAGGCGAGCGTCCGCTACCCGACCCAGGACGTTTTTGTCCAGTTCGACGACCGCATGGAGGAGTTCCGGGAGTTCTTTCTGGAACAGGGAAGGAGGCGCAACAAGCTCGGGGCGGGCAGCGGTCCCGGCGCCGGAAGCGCCGCCACCGCGACCCCGTCCAAGATCCTGGAGCGGCTGACCCTCTACCAGAAACCCCTGGAGGCCCGCCTCGACCAGATCCACGAGTTCCGCTCGGGCCACGAGCGGTTGCGGCAGGTCGTCCTGCAGGTCCTCAAGCGGGAGGGCAGCGAAACGGCCATCGAGGAACTCGTCGTCGCGGCCGAGCCGTCCTCCGAGGACGGGGAGGAGGGAGCCGCCTCCATCGACGAGACGGCCAACGCCATCCAGACGGTGGAAAACGCCCCCCGTCTCTTGTTCTCCTCGCTCGACGTCCTGGACCTCTCGCCCGGCGGGACCAAGGCCCTCGAATCGGCGCTCGAGGAATACGACCTCCGGATGGACGCGATGGAGGAGCGACTCGCCAAGCTACTCCGCGACAAGCTCACGGCCTGCGTCGACGCCGAGGACATGTTCCGGGTCTTTCGCCGCTTCAACCCGCTCCTGGCCAGGACCCGGGTGCGGATCGCCGTCAAGGAATTCCAGGTGCAGCTCATCGCCACCGTTTCCAAGGCCGTGGAAAAACTCCAGTCCAAGTTTGTCCTCAAGTACGAGTCCTCCTCGGCGGCACGGATCTCCAAGCTCAAGGGGATCCCGCCGGTCTCGGGAAAGATCCTCTGGGCCAAGCAGATGGAGCGGCAGGTCCACGCGCTGATGGAGCGCTGCTCCCAGGTCCTCGGACCCAACTGGGGGGCCCAGCTCGAGGGCCGCCAGCTGCGCAAATCCGGGGACGAGCTCCTGGCCAAGCTGGACGCCAGGGCCTTTTTCCGGAACTGGGTGACGGCCTGGGAAAAGGAGCTCACCGTACAGGCCAGCTCGCGCCTCAACTCCTACCCGATCGTCGTCGAAAAGGACGTCCGGACCAGCGAGCTGGTGGCCACGGTCAACTTTCCAGAAAAATCCGAGACCCTCGCCAAGGAAATCCGCCAGCTCAAGTGGCTCGGCTTTGGCAAGGAAATCCCCCGGTCCGTCCTGGCGGCCTGCGACGAGGCCAAGCAGAAGTACCCCTTTGCGATCGCCATCAAGACGGCGCTCCGGTCCTACCAGTCCGTGAGGGGCCTCGTCTCTCCGGCGCTGGAACCACTCGTGATGCCACAGCTCCTGGACGTTCGCGAAATCGTCGCGGAGGGATTCGAGGTCAAGCTCGACACCTCCAAGGCCGTCTCCAAGAAGCGGCGCATCCGCTGGGATTCCACCCCCAAGGAGCTCTCGGAGTGGGTCACCCGCCTGTCGGACGCCGTCACGAAGCTCGAGGAACGCGTCGAGGAGCTCCTCATCACCTGCGACAAGGTCGACCACGCCATTTCCAGGCTCGAAACGATCGACTACGACGCGAAGAAATTCGGCGCCATTGTCGCGGCCATCCAGAAACACATCGACGACATGTCCCTCGGTGGATACCCGCAGCTCGCCGGATGGGTCAGGGTTCTCGACGACCGGCTGGCGGTGGTCCTTGCCGACCGATTGTCGCAGGCGCTGGAGCGCTGGAACCACACCTTCCGTACCATCCAATACGACAACGACGGGAAGGAGATTGTTGCCGGGGGAGACGAAGCCGAGAAGAGCGATTCCGAGAAAAAAGCCCCGGTCCACGTCCCGACCATTTCGATCGAGATCTTGCTCCGCAACCAAGAAATCTCCTCGGTTCCGGCCGTTCCCACCTGCCGGAGCCTGGTCCTCAACCGGCTCCACGCCTTTATCGGTATCGTCTGCAACCTTCCCCGTCCCAAGAGCGGTCGCTACGAAGTCTTTGGCGATGGATCGACCGGGGAGCAGTCGGCGGCCGAAACCTTTGACCGCGTCATCTCCATGGTTCCCCCCGCCATCACGGCCAGGGCCTACGAATTGGCGGAGGCCCGGGTCATCGACATGGCCGCCTTTGTCGACCAGTGGCTTGCCTACCAGACCCTCTGGGACACCCAGGTCGCCGACGTCGCCACCTCTGTCGGGAACGACATTGAGCAGTGGCAGCGGCTCCTCCTGGAATCCGCGGAAGCGCGATCGGCGGTGGACATGTCGGCCACCTCGTCGGAATTCGGACCGGTAGTCGTGAACTACAACAAGGTCCAGTCCCAGATCACCCTCAAGTACGATTCGTGGCAGAAGGAGCTGCAGTCCTCCTTTGCGGGAATCCTGGGCCAGTGCATCCAGGCATCCCATGCGAAGATGGTGGACGCCAAGCTGCGGCTCGAGGCGGCCACCCTCGAATCGTCCAGTGGAACGGAGAACATTGTGCTGGGGGTCACGTTCATCCAAGAAATGAAAAAGAACGTTGACTCGTGGACACAGGAACTGGACCAGCTGGAGGCATCGGAACGATTGATCAAGAGACAGCGCTTCCATTTCGGCAGCGACTGGATGGAATCTACCGTGGTCAGGGGACAGTTCGATCTCGTCAAGCAGATCCTGGGTCGGAGGATTACCTCAATGGAGCAGCAATTCCCCTTGCTGCAGGCTCGCGTTTCCGCCGAGGAAAAATCGGCCGCCAAGAGATCCGTCGACCTGGTCGCCGACTGGGGCAGGGACAAACCGCTCCGGGGCAACATGTCACCGGCGGATGCCATGAACCTCTTGGCCAAGTTCGAGACGGATCTGAAAAAGGCCCAGACGCACCAAGAAAATCTCGTCAAGGCCAAGGACGCCCTCGGACTGGAACACACCGCCGAGAGCAATGCCGTCTCGGAATGCGTTGAGGAGCTGACGGACTTGAAGGAAGTATGGGGTGCGGTGAGCAAACCCCACGACCAACTCCAAACCATCAAGGACATGGTGTGGTCTTCCGCGGTGATGCGAAAGGTCCGCCGGGCCTTGGACGATCTCTTGGCGGAAATGAGATCGATGCCGAACCGCATTCGGCAATACGAACCATACATTGCGCTCCACGACGAAGTCAAGGGCTACATCGGTGGACACGGTTTGCTATCGGAGCTGAAGACCGAGGCACTCAAGGAACGCCACTGGAAGAAAATCCTGAAGACGCTTGGCATCACGCTAGTGTATTCTCAGCTGAGCATTGGAGTGCTGTGGGACAAGGGGATCCTTACCCGCAAGAAGGAAGTGGGAGAGATCTTGACGGTTGCGCAGTAAGTACAAAAAAGTCGTTGTTGCGATGCGGAGTAGCATTCTGTACATTCGAACGAGTAGTGCCCCTGGACCAGTGCGTGATTTGTTGTCCGCCCGTGAACCATGGAAGATTACTCTCCTTGCACTATTCGAATACACTAAACAGTTTCTTCTGATTTGTTGCTTCATTCCCGCACCGCAACACACCACAACAATCAAAGAGGCGAGATGGCGCTCGAACAATTTCTCGGACAGGTCCGTGATCGCTGGATGAAGCAGGAACTGGAACTGGTCCTATTCCAAAACCGAGTTCGGTTGATTCGAGGATGGGACGATTTGTTTGATAGCCTCGACGATCACATTAGTGGATTGGCTCTTATGAAGAGCTCTCCGTATTACAGAGCCGTGAGAGAATTCCAGGAGGAAGGAAAATTATGGGAAGGCCGCTTGACGCAGCTTCGAGCTGCTTTTGATGTTTGGATCGACGTCCAGAGAAGATGGGTTTACTTGGAGGGTATTCTTTTCGGAAGCTCCGATATCAAGGCCCAGCTACCATCGGAGTGGTCCCGATTCAAGAGTGTCGACACAGAATTCATTGCTCTCATGCGTCGCATCGCCGCCCGCCCGTTTGCGATGGAGGTTTTGAGCATCGAAAACGTACAGCGGACGCTTGAACGCCTCGGAAACTTGATGACGGTGATTCAAAAGGCTCTGGGAGAATACTTGGAGAAACAACGACGTGAATTCGCCCGTTTCTATTTCCTTGGTGACGACGATCTGCTCGAGATCTTGGGAAATTCCAGCGAACCTGGAAAAGTCCTCGGTCACGTTTCGAAAATGTTTGCTGGAATCAATTCAGCGAGAATTTCGACTACCGATCTACCCGAAGATACGCTTGCTGTTCTGGATGCGATGGTGAGCAAAGATGGAGAAGTAGTTCCGTTCCACGAGCCAATTACGATCATGCACAGCACCAATGTAAAAGAATGGCTGAAAGAGATGGAAAGCAAAATGAAGAACACTCTTGCTCTTCTTCTCGAGCAAGCCATCTCAGAAGACAAGGCTGAGGCAACAGACAAAGATGCTTTCGTAAATTGGGCAACGAAGTTTCCCGCCCAAGTCATGATCCTCGCCACCCAGATCAACTGGAGTATGGGCGTGGACGAAGCTCTAAAAAGCGATGATACCCAAGCTGCATTGAATGAACGCCTCAAGTCGCTTGAAGCGAAGCTTTCGGTAATGGCAGAAACCGTTCTTTTGGAACTTCCAGCCGATAATCGAAAGAAATTCGAGCAAATGATCACAGAACTGGTACACCAGAGGGATGTCGTTAGGGATTTGATGAAGGAAAATGTTTGCAGCGCGACTGATTTCCGTTGGCTGTACCATCTCCGTTACACTTACAACCCAGATGCTCCTGAATTGACGGAAAAGTTGAAGATCTCGCTTTCGAACGCAGACTTTTATTACGGCTTCGAGTACCTAGGTATTGGCGAACGTTTGGTTCAGACTCCTCTGACGGACAAGGCTTACCTTACCTTAACACAGGCCCTGCATTACAGAATGGGAGGATCTCCGTTTGGCCCAGCCGGTACAGGAAAAACAGAAACGGTCAAGGCACTAGGGGCCCAACTCGGTAGATTTGTTCTGGTGTTCAATTGTGACGAAGCCTTTGATTTTAGCGCTATGGGACGTATTTTTGCCGGTCTTTGCCAGGTGGGAGCTTGGGGATGTTTTGATGAATTCAATCGTCTCGAAGAAGGAATTCTGAGTGCTGTTAGTCAGCAAATTCTCGGTATTCAGCAAGGATTGTTAAACAATTCGCCTCATATTGACTTGCTCGGTCGAAGTGTCCGATTGGATCAAAACATGGCAACTTTCATTACAATGAATCCAGGATACGCAGGTCGTAGCAACCTGCCTGACAACCTGAAGACGTTGTTCCGATCGGTGGCCATGGTTGTACCCGACCGCAAACTCATTGCTCAGGTGATGCTTTACAGCCAAGGAATCGTAACAGCGGAGCAGCTAGCCCCCAATGTCGTCGATTTGTTCTTACAATGCGAAGCCCGAATGACCAAGCAACGGCACTACGATTTTGGACTTCGTGCATTGAAAACTTTGCTCGTTAGTGCGGGTGGTCTCAAGCGAAAGGCAATCGAAGGAAAAGAGGACTTCGATTTGGCCTTGGAAGAGAAAGAGGCCCTCATCATGGGGGCATGCAACAACATTGTTCCGAAACTTGTGGCGGAAGATGTTTCCACATTCTCGGAAATACTCAAGGATGTTTTCCCAGGAGCCGAGGTCTCATCCATGGAAGATGACGCGCTAAGAGAACAAATGGTGAACATTTGCGAGGAAAGAGGTCTTGTCGCCGATGAAAGATTTTTGCAGAAGATGTTACAACTTAATCAAGTCATCGCATCGAGACATGGTATTATGGTAGTAGGAAAGAGCTGTGTCGGGAAGGTAAGATATTCATGGGATTCTCAATTGTAACACGAATTGTTTTTGTTTTGGATCTTTCTCTAATGTTAACACTTCTTCGCTTTCTGCTTCAATCTAAAGTCTACCGCACTAAGTGTTCTACTTGAGAGTATGGAGAAGGTGGACGGTGTCAAAGGAGAAATTTATAATATTGATCCAAAGGCGATCGAAAAGGAGAAACTATATGGAGATCTTGATGGAACAACGCTCGAGTGGACCGATGGTATTTTCACAAGCCTCCTTCGAAAGATTTTGGATAACCAGAAGGGAGAATCGGAAAGACGGCATTGGATTGTCTTTGACGGTGATGTAGATCCAGAATGTAAGTTGACGAATTTATCGGAGATGAGATGTAATGACACAAATTGAATTTGCTGATTATGGAATATTCAACTTCTCTTCTTTCCGTTTTTGACAGGGGCCGAAAATCTCAACTCTGTATTGGATGATAACAAAATGTTGACCCTTCCGAGCGGTGAGCGTCTAGGTATTCCGAAGAATATTCGAATTATTCTCGAGGTCGATAGTCTGAATTTTGCAACTCCGGCGACGGTTTCGAGATGCGGGATGGTATTCTTCAACGAAAATACTATTTCGACTGAAATGAATCTTGAGTATATGATGTCGTCGTTAAAGAATGCAGACCTAGGGAGAGGCGGCGGTACTTCGACTCAAATCCTTTTCTTACAGAGCATTCAATCACTAGTCATCTCTGATAGAACATCTTCTCTTGTCATGGATGCCCTCGAGTTCGCGATGCAAGAAACCCACATTATGGATGCGAGTAGTGGCCGATCTTTGCACACGCTGAAGACACTTCTTCTGCAAGGCATAGGACAGGCTGTTGAATACGATGAAAACCATCCTGACTTCCCAATGACTGGTGAACATATGGAAAAATTCGCTCGGCGATGGCTGTTGCACTCTCTAATGTGGTCATTTGTCAGTGGTGCCTCGTGGGATGTCCGCAAGAAGTTTGGGGATATGCTTTTAAGAACGAGTGGGATTGATCTTCCATCATCAGAGAAATCAGTTGTAGATTACCGAGTTCGGGTCCAAGATGGAGAATACGAGCTTTGGAGTGATAGTGTTCCTAGAATGGAGATTGAGAGTCATAGAGTGAATGCGACAGATCTTGTGATCACAACTACCGACACAGTCCGTCACACCGATGTCCTAGGAGCGTGGATGAACAGTCGAACGCCTTTGATCCTTTGTGGTCCCCCTGGTAGTGGTAAAACCATGACTCTTACCAGTGTTCTTCAGTCGATGCAAGGCGTTGTGTTCACCAGCCTGAACTTTTCGAGTCATACAACACCAGATATTATATTGAAATCGTTCCAGCAATATTGCAAATATGTGCGTCGTGGTCGAGAGCTTTTTCTGGAACCAGCAGAGAGTTTGGGCTCCGATGTATGGCTTGTTGTCTTTTGTGACGAGATCAATCTTCCTCAAGAAGATACGTATGGCACGCAACGCGTCATCATGTTCATGCGCCAACTTGTTGAGCAAGGTGGCTTTTGGAGGGAGGACAACGTTTGGATCAAAATCAACCGTATTCAATTCGTGGGTGCGTGCAATCCTCCATCTGATGCCGGTCGTGTCGAGATGTCCCATCGTTTCCTAAGGCACGTTCCCTTGCTTCTGGTTGACTTCCCGGAGACTGATTCTTTGATGCAAATTTATCATACCTTCAATGGCGGGATGATGAAACTCTTTCCCAATTTACGTGGAGAAACCGACTCTATGACCGAAGCTATGATCGAAGTCTACTCAGAGAATCAGAAACGATTCACAGCACAGCAGCAGCCACAATACATTTATTCGCCTCGTGAGCTATCACGATGGGTCCGAGGTATCTACGAAGCTGTTGTTCACATGGACGCCGGCCTCTCAAAAGAAGAACTTTGTCGAATTTGGGCCCACGAAGGCCTGCGTCTTTTCTGTGATCGATTGGTTGAGGACGAAGATAGGAAGTGGTGTCACGATAAGATCGATGAAGTCGCCCGCAAATGGTTTGCCGGAGTAGACTTCGACATCGCTTTGAAACGGCCTATCTTCTACACTACGTGGCTCAGTAAAGAAACGAAGAAGGTCGAACGAGAAGAACTAAAGGAATTCCTTGCTGCTCGTTTGAGGGTTTTCTACGAAGAGATGTTGGACGTAAAGTTAGTCATTTTTGATGAAGTCTTGGAGCACATTCTTCGAATCGATCGGGTGCTTCGACAGCCAATGGGGCATCTTTTACTTTGCGGAGATGCAGGTGCTGGAAAAACTGTCTTGACAAAATTCGTTAGGTGAGAATCGAATCTTGGTGCTGCTTTTGTTTTCTTTGCTCCCGCGTATTTACCTTTGGTTGTTGGAATTCACTTCCTCAATCATTGAATTTCTTTTCAAATTAAAGTTGGATGAACGGTTTAAGTGTTTTTCAAATCAAGGCGCATTCAAAATATGGATTGGCTGATTTTTATGAAGACCTCCGGGATGTTATGAAACGCGTTGCGTTGAAGGGAGAGAAAATCTGCTTTATCTTCGATGAAGCAAATTGTCTGAACACATCCTTCATCGAAGCCATGAATGCTTTGCTGGCTAGTGGAGAAGTACCTGGTCTTTTTGAAGGCGATGAATACAATGCGCTTATGAATTCATGCAGAGATAGTGCGCTAAAAGAAGGTATCATTCTTGACAGCGAAGAAGAGCTATGGAATCGATTCACTAATCTTGTGCAGCGAAATCTTCACGTTGTTTTCACTATGAATCCAAGTGGTGGCGATTGGAAGAACCGTTCTACCACGAGTCCAGCTTTGTTCAACCGTTGTGTCGTTGACTGGTTTGGCACTTGGGGAAGCAAGGCAATGGCCGAAGTGGGAAAAGAGTTTACAATCAAAATCGATATGGGTGATCTAGGCGGTTACTCATATGGCCTCGGCGAAGGTGCTGCCCTTATGGAGCGTGTGTCGGAAGTTTTCGATGGAAACAGTGGTTTACGACAAGCAGTGGTAGCAGCTCTTGTGGATTTGCATCTCATCGCAAAGCAAACTGCCGAAGATGCCTCAAACCAACCAAGTAGTGTTAGTAGGACCTTCCTATCTCCAAGAGATTATCTTACGTTGATTCAAAATTTTGTTTCTTGCTTGAATAAGCGACGCGAAGAGGTGGAAGATGAGCAGCTTCACGTCAACGCCGGTTTGCAAAAACTAGTTCAGACGCAGGAAAATGTTGCTGAGCTCAAGAAGAGTCTTGGAGAAAAAACCCACGTTCTTCGCGAAAAGGAAAAACAAGCCAACGAGAAGCTCCAGCAGATGGTTGCAGATCAAAATGTGGCCGAGAAACGGAAGGAGGAAGCTGAAAAAATGAGCGAAGCTGTTCAAAAGCAGCAGGCGCGAATCAACGAACGAAAGGATGAGGCACAGCGCGATCTTGACGAGGCTGAACCAGCTCTCCGAGCTGCGCAAGCAAGTGTTCAGGGAATCAAGAAACGAGACCTCGATGAGATTAAGGCGTTGGCTCGTCCTCCAGACAATGTCCGATTGACTTTGGAATGCGTTGCAATTATGCTTGGCGAGACCAAGGTGGAATGGGGACATGTGCGCAAACTCTTGGCAAAATCTGAATTCATTCCAAGTATTTTGAATTTCAATGCCAACTCACTTTCTCCCAGGCAAACTAAGCTCGTTCGTGAAAAGTATCTAGACGGCAATCCGGATCTTTCCGTGGAAAAGGTTAGGAAGAGTAGTGTAGCGTGTGGCCCCCTTTATTCATGGGCAGAGTCTTTGGTTAAGTATTCAACCGTCTACAACCGCATCCAACCGCTTCGTGACGAAGTAGAACAGCTCGAGAAGGATTCTTCTGAGGTGAAAGAAAAGCTAGAGGAAGTCACTAGTGAAGTTGAATCTCTTGAAAACTCGATTGCTCAATACAAAGATGATTACGCAACGCTAATCCGAGATGTGGAAGCCCTGAAGAGTGAAATGCAGTCGGTTTCGACAAAAGTTGATCGCGCTGAGAGCCTTTTGAAATCACTGGGTCACGAGAGCGAGCGCTGGGAAAAGAGTGCAGAAGGATTTCAATCCATTTTGCGTAGTCTTGTTGGTGATAGTCTGGTACTCGCCGCGTTCCTCACTTATTCCGGTTTCTTCGACTTCAAGAATAGATTGGTCATGATGGAGAAGTGGAAGCACACACTCGAAATTCTTGGAATTGAGTGTCACGATGACCTAGGAATTGTCGAATCACTGAGCACTGGAAAGCAACGAGTCGAATGGCAATCCCAGGGTTTACTCAGCGATCAACTCAGTATGGAAAACGGAGTTATTCTCGATCACGCTGTTCGATTTCCTCTGTTGATCGATCCCTCGGGAGATGCCATTAACTTCCTGATGAAAAAGCTCGAGGCGAAAAAGATTCAGAAGACAAGTTTCCTTGATAAAGCATTCGTCAAAACCCTTGCAGGTGCCGTTCGTTTTGGAACGGCATTGCTCGTTGAAAATGTTGAACAAATCGACCCCATTCTCAATCCATTGTTGAATAAGGAACTTCAAAGAACTGGAGGTCGTACACTAGTCCGAATTGGTACAGAAGATATTGATTACAGTCCCGACTTTATGATTGTACTCAGCACTAAGAATCCAGCGGTGCACCTCACTCCGGATGTTTGTTCTCGTGTTACTTTGGCAAACTTCACCGTCACTCCAGCTAGTCTACAAAGCCAGAGTCTTAGCAAGGTACTCAGCTACGAGAAACCTGAATTGGAAACGAAACGCGCTGCTGTCTTGAAACTCCAAGGGGAACAGAACGTTAAACTCCGTGAGCTTGAAGACCAGATGTTGGCGAAAATCAGTGCGTGCGAGGGCAGTATTTTGGAAGATGATGAGGTTGTGACTGGTATGGAAGTATTGATGAAGGAGGGTGCACAAGTGGAAGAACAAATCGCAGAGAGTGACAAGGTGATGGCCCAAGTGCATCTAGCCGTTGGTGAATTCGAACCGTTTGCTGCAATTTGCCGAAAAGTATTTGTTTTGTTAGGTGCACTTCGTGGAATTAGTTTCCTCTACGAGTTCTCTTCAAACACTTTCATGACCATTTTGACGCACGTCCTTGAGGAAAATAAACCGGGTAAGGATGAAACAGCATCTTCGGAAACCCAACGACTTGCGGCATTGAAAAAATCTCTTTTCAACGAACTCGTCGCTCGGGTAGCTCGCGGTCTGAAGTCCAACGACAAGGTAGCTTTCTCTGTCCTTTTGGCCCGCCTGTTCACGTCCGACGATTCTATTGGTTCTGCGGAGGGTGGATCGACCGATGAGTACATTTCTGCTTTCACGCATGTTTTTGGCGACAAATTTCAATGGCAAGGCCGCGACGAACTCCATGCAGTTGTCGAAGAGATTGATGCTATCTCTCCGCTGTTGATTTGCAGCGCACCGGGATACGATGTTTCCGGACGAGTAGAGAGCATGGCACGCGAAATGAAAAAGGAACTGAAATCCGTTGCCATGGGAAGTTCGGAAGGATTTGAAATTGCGGAATCTTTGGTAACAGCTGCGGCAAAGAGAGGAACGTGGGTGATGTTGAAGAATGTGCATTTGTGCACAGATTGGTTGAGCGAGACCTTTGTGAAGAAGCTTCAAACATTTGGCCAGTCGACTAACAACGATTTTAGGCTTTTTATCACGAGTGAAATCAGTCCGAAACTCCCTACTGCATTGTTGCGACTGAGTGATGTCATCGTAGCCGAAGCCAGTAGTGGTATCAGGGCATCGATGACAAGATTCATGTCTACGTTTTCGAAAAACCGCCTTGATGAGAGTCTGATTCGAAACCGATTGTATTTGTTGGTTGCTTGGACGCATGCTGTTCTTGAAGAACGAGTTCGATACGGTTGGACTTACGAGCTTGCTGAAGCCGATTCTTTCAATGCTCTCAAGGTTATCGACAATTTTATTGATACCCAAATGAAGAATCCCGATCAAATTCCCTTCGATGCTTTGTGCACCACTTTGAAGCTCGACGTATTTGGTTCCAGAATTGCGGTTACCGAGGACCAAGAAATCTTGAGTACCATGATTGATTCCATTTTCAAAAAGGACGCGTTCGATTTGCAATTCCCATTGGTTCCCGCCATCGGCGCTGACAGCCCTGTTCTCCCCGATTCGTGTTCCCAAGAAGACATGGCTTCGTGGATTTCAGGCTTGCCTTCGCACACTCTGCCCACATGGGTTGGATTGGGAGAAGAGGCAGAAGCTGGACTCGAAAAGATCAAGGCAAATTACATCCACTCGGCAATAGAGAAAGTCTCGACTGCAATTGCCGCAACGAGTGGCAAGTAAGTTGCAAGTGTGAGTGCAAAGTTAGTAACACGATGTTGATAAATTAAACCAAAGAATTCACCAAATGACTCTAGGACTTCGTATCAGTAGTATCATCGTCCACAAACCTTTTGTGGCATATCAGATGCGATGCCATTATGGTCACGAAGTACACAAATTAAACATTACCGGCATTGTATTGGAACATTAACAAAATACAACTAGAAGAAACAATGGACATAGACTCATAGAAGCTGCATGTGTTTTGGATCAGCTTGTTTGTGGATCTTGAACTCTGTCCAAATGCTCGACCTATGTTATCTATTCGATGAAAAGCTATAAAATACACTACTACCACTATCATTCCAGCCGTACTGATACTTAGGATTACAAATACTACTAATGGCAGTAGCTAGTGCATCTTTAGTACTACTAGTAGTAGTGTAAATGAGAAACAGAAGAGAACTCCTTAAATAATAAGTTTAAAAAGAGTTCTTTCTTCCTCATTGTATTTCTCAGTACTAGTAGTAGGAGTATCCAGAATCTTGAAGAACATGATATTCAGTGGTCTTGACCAAAATGGAAAAAAATGCAGTCGTTATGACCATAGGCAAAAAGTACTCCTGGGTGGAATCGAACCACCGATCTTCTCCGTGTAAAGGAGACGTCATCACCCCTAGACCACAGGAGCTTTCAACTTCTGTGCATACATCCTCCGTACATTTACTATACAATACCGTATTCAAAGTAGTGTCAATATTCTGCTGAATCTGGTGAAATGCCGTACCGGTACTCGTAGTATCCGTTTCCATCGGTCAGAGAGCTGCTTCGAACTAGAATGAAGTACCATGCCATAACATACCGGTACAGCAAGTGAGCCCATCACATGCCGCCGCCACGCTGTCGAAACATGCCCGAAGAACACTTCAATACAGACGCATGCGTAGACGTGCAGAGATGCAGGGGCGTGAGAGACCGAGGAAGGGAGGGAATGAAACGAGGAAATGAAAATGCCAGAAACGCAGAATCGTCCTAATGGAATGACAGCGTAGGCGATGAAAAGAGGAAACGACGTCTCGCAAAGTTGCCTCTTGTTCCCTCGGTTCGCAAACACAGTGGGCATCGCAGCGCAGCACATCACAGGGGAGCGGAGCGTATCGCATCGAAAGTGGGGTATGTGGAGGGAACGAACGGAGCATCGAAGGAGACAAGATCTTGGGCAGGCATCCAGCACGACAACCTGCAACGAACGACAGCAATTCAATAGGTGAAGCAGCACGTACCGTACGTCGTTTGCCCTTCAAGTTAACAAGCATCATGATGAATCGGATCGCTGTGCTGTTCCTGCTATCGATAGACCGCATGGATAAATGTCCGTCGAAGAGAGTGTCAGACCGAAGTGCCTCGCTGCTTTGGATGGGTTTGAGAAGTTACTATTAGACTTTTGTAACTCCCAATAGAGGAATGGCGTGCTCTGCAAGGTTTCTATGATTTTGTTCATCATTGCCTAAGAACCAAGACCTGACTAGTTCACTTCTGGATGTATGTATGCAAGAATCTGTGAAGAGTGCAACAATAAAATGATTATCTGCTGGCTGGCATGTAGTGAGAATTTTTTCATACATTAATGAGGTAGTTTCCCAAGCCAATACTAAAATAATATTGATAGTGGTAGCCAATAGTAGCACTGGTTATAGTAATACTAGCAGTACAGAGATACCAATTCTAAATATGATGCAACCACCAGTAGCAGCAGTATGAAAGAAATTTGGTTTTGATTTGGTGCTATTACTTGGTGCCTCTTGTTATGACTTGAGGAATAGCAAAAGTCCTGTGGTAGATGATGAGATGAATGTGGTATCTACTAGTAGTGTGCTAATCAATGAGGAGTTGCCAGATTACCTGGTTCTCCTCCAATTGATAAAAACATACATCTATCAAATCACACTGCTGCTTCAACATTTTTTGGACATCAACAATACTACTACCACCAGCTGTTGTTGTATTAGTATTATAGATTATACTAGTAGTACTGTCAGTATTGTACTAGTAGGAGGAGGGGGGGGGAGCTTCTTCATGATGGACAAAGAGTGGTGACAGTTGATACTGTGGCAAGCAAGAAGGAGCATTATGATGGCATGTTCTTGCTTGTTTGGTGAACTTGGTGGCTTTAAATTGCCACCAGTAATAGTCATCACACTTTTCAGTTGCTACTGACAAGTAGTAGTACTACTAGTATGACATGACATTGTGGAAATAATATGGTGGTGTAGTCTTAGTAAAAGTAGTATAAATGTTGCAAAGAGGAAGCATATTGATATCACTAGAATAGATTGATGTAACAGTGATGATAGGACAAACAAATCTTCTTCAATTTGGTATTGATGATGACAGATTATATAATCCAATCAACTAGTAGTAGTAGATGAGAGAAAGTTACTACTAAATGATTTCAGTAGGAGTACTATGCAACAACCTTCCATCATCATTACAGACAAGAATTTTGATTTGATGCTGGTGTAAGTGTCTGTTACCACTAGTAGTGCAAATTTTCTTAGTACTACTCCTACTGGTGCTGACCTAAGTGTTGGGTAAAGTAATCTTTTGTATAAACCATTACGTGATATGTTCCTAGAAATATTCCTAACCAAAAAGTAAGCTAAAACATTGGAAAAGTGTTAGTGTGAAAAAAGCTAAACCCTGCTTATTTCTTACCAAGAACTACTACTAGGATGTGCACTATCCAATCTAAGACACACATGCATGATTTGACACCATAAAACAACTTCTTAACCCTTGGCAAATAAAGTCTTTGTTCCTCCTTTTGGATCTTTGCTCATCATGAGCATCCTCACTATCTGCTTCAGCCATCTCAATCTCTGTCAAATTAACCTGTTTCTCAAACCACTCCCAGTGTTTAGATACAAAGTATGTTTTTCCCACATACTCTAGATCCAAGTAGGAGCCCCTTGCTGAGAGGAGTCTGGAAGCTTGACTGAAGACACACTCAGATGGGGCTGAAGTGGGTTGCACGAAGATAGATCTTGGCCAGCCTTGTAAGAATTGGATAACTTACATGGTGCTTTTTCCAACCCTGGAGTGGATCATTCTAAACTGTCTTACTTCCAATTTTCTTGACTAAGGCCAAGCGCTCAGAACATATGTAAAGCTCAAGTTCAGGTTTACAAGCATGATCAATATTGACTTCTGCACCATTGTTAAATTGATGGCAATTATCCTCTTCAGCTTTTGCCTCTTCTCCCTCCATCAGCTAAAACATTTTCATGTCAGCATCATCAACACCAGTATCAAGACCAGTATCTCCTTCTTTGTCAACTTGTTGTTCCATGATAGCAAGTTTTCCTCCACTACTAGTATCACCACGTTGTTCACATTATAAGTGTCTCTTGATTTTTTCACTGCTCCACACAACACACTTGCACTGACATACTTGTCTCCCTCTAGGGCTTTCTGGGCTATTTTGAATGGCTCCAACAAAAGCATAATATCATTCAGACGTTTCCAATCATCACCTATAAATTTCTTCACTTTTTCCATTTTTGACACTGATTGCATTGCTTCTATTGCTTTTCTAAGAGAAATGAGAGGGTGAAATGCATCATTCATTGACCACCATATTGTCACAACATCATCAACAACACCAACAGGTTTTCTTTCCTTTGTAGGTTTTAACCTCTAATTCCTGAGCCCTCGTGAGCATTTCTGTGGCTTGGGTGGAATAATTGAAGTGGTGAATGTGTGCTTTTGCTTTTTTGTAGCTCTCAGCATGGCGAACACCAAATGTTTTCTTTTGGTCTTTGGTACAAGCCTGCTTGCAAATATATGGGCTGCATTTCATGTCAGCACAATAAATATGGTGAGTACCCTTGTCCTCCAGCACAATCCCAACATGGTTCATATTTGCAGCGGTGTCAGTTGTTACTGCTGTTAAATAAGTACCTTCCAACTTGACCTTCTCCAGTATCATTTTCTCAAAATCATCACTCAAATTTTTGCCTGTTGCTCCTTCTTCATGCATAAAGAAACCAACAGTCTCAAAGGAACTCATAGCCCAATGCTCATCAATGAAATGAGCTGTGGCACCAGTATAGTTCTGGTTTGCTTTAGATGTCCAATGATCAAGGGCAACTGAGATAGTAGCCTGTCCTTTCAGTTCTTCAACCATTATTCCAAGCATTCAATATTCATTGCGAGATATCATTGGTTGAACCTTCTTTTGGTTCATTGGTTTTCCATTATGGTTATGGAACTGAATTAGATCACAAAAAGGTTTTGTTTCAACAGTACTGAGTGGAAGAAAGTTGCTACACAGAAACTTCACAGTCACAAGATCTTGATATTTCTGCATCTCCTTAGCAGTTGCCTTGGATGCTTTTTGCTGTTGCAAATTGACTTAGTGAAGTCTGGATGACCTTTCATTTTTTGCTTTCATCTTGGGCCTGGGCAGCATCCAATTCTTCCATTCTTAAGACATCAATGCCCTTCTTGTCATGTACTTTTGAATTGAAGTGGTGGGTCATGCTTGCATAAGATTGTTTTGAAATCATTCCATTACCATTCCACCAGATCCCCATCCTGATCACACTGCCATGCATGTTCCAACACACAAGTGCTGTGTTCCCAGAAGCTTTAGGTTTCCAGTTTCTAGTAGGGAAATCTGATATATCAACATCATTTTTCAATCCTTGGACTTAATGGTAAAAATTCCAACAATGTGACTTCTTTTTAACTGGCTTGAGAAGGCAAAAGATGGCTTCAAATTTTGGGTTGAGCTTCAACCAGTCCACAGCTGTCTTTTGGTTGGAAAGAGTAGAGCTGTTGTCATTAGATATTTTGGATTTAGGGCCAGCAATAAGCCTTGGAAGAGATGCCTGAGATATGACATTGCTGACACAAAGTTTTTTGTTAGAATCACAAAGACTGCAAAGTGAGTCATTCTTTGGCAGCATAGTATCTACTAATACTGGTATTTTGAGTATACTGCTCGTGGTACTATTTCTCAAGGAATATCATTACTTAACTTCATAAAATAACACAGGCATGTTTGCCAATGAGAAGAGACAAGAATAGTATTTATTAGGCATACTCTCAAATAGTGTGATTAACATTAGGAATGTTGGGTTGTAAATGTTTGTGCGTTTTGAGTGTTAGTCAAATGCAAACACTTGACTCAAATGCTGTGTTCCTATGTTGAGCGCTCCCAACACTAGGTATGTTGAGCGCTCACAACACTAGGTAATCTACCATTACCACTAGTACCATTGTTTTTCATATTTTGATTGGTACAACATATTCTGTAAATGAATCACCAAGAATTGGTCAAAGCACTCTTGTTCAGTAATTAATTCCCTAAAATATTTGTACCTTGTAGTAGTACTCATACTAACAGTAGTAGTAATGTGAAGAATTGGGTAATATTTTTGCAGTAGTAGATATCATTGTGGCCATTGCAGTTTTATGATTTTATCACTTCTTCTTGCTTTGCTTTCTAGTACCACTGCCATCCTCATTTTGTCTAACAGGCAGCAACAGTGGCAGAGAAATTAAACAGTAGTAGAACTCCAACAAGAATTTAGAACCCACAAATGATTGGAAGAGATAACCCCTCAAAATGTAGGATCACTATCAGCCAGTAATTATGGGTCTACTGAGTGCAAGTAGTAGGTTTTCTTAGTATCCTTTTATTCTAGTAGTAGCCATCATTCAAATTTGTAGCAGACATGATGATAGCCCCATCCAGTACTCTAGTAAGTGACTCCTAGAACGACCAACATCATCTGCAAAAGAGTAAGAAGTAATGCCGGAAGAGTCTGGTGAGGTTTTAAGGATCAATCAGCAGATCTTGTTCTTGAGATCTGTGAAGAGCTTCAGACACAGGAGAGAATATATAGTAGTACAGTATTTCTACCTAGAGGAAAACTGTTCATTAAAACTCATTACTATCAGCTGGGATTCCAGCTTTTCAGAATCAAATAAAGCAAGTCAAGAAGAGGATGCTGATACTACTTTGTACTACTATAGGCTAGTGAGAGTGCGGCATGTTGAGTTATTAGTACCACCAGCAAGCATGACTACTGATGAGGAGCAGTTTAAGTTGAGAATGAAATAAGAATGCTGAATTACTACAAGAAGAAGAGAGAGGAGATCAGATCAGATCAGATCATCTTCTTTCTGTGAACTTGGAATGCATGAAACTTTTATGCTGCTGATGATATCCTAATAACTGCCATGGAAAAACTACAGTAGTACTAGTAGCTGTAACAACAGAAGGAATATCAATGCTGGTGGTGGTTCAACAACTGTGTATGTCAGCAGCTGCTGGTCTTGTCAGGGCCTTCCATTTCATTTTGAAGAAGCTTTTTATTTATAAAAATGGTTTCCCTAAAATGATTTGAAAGATGACAAAAACAACAAGGAGAAATATCAAGATTTTTGTGTGTACAGTATTCATTTTAATTCAGTTTGCATCAGCACTTGCAGTAGTAGTATCACACTACTACTATGTTTTATGTGCACTAGGCACGCTCTCCTCTGCAAATAAGAGATTATTTTCACCATGATACAAAATACCACTTTTGTCTTCCTTTTTCAAACAAGACAAATATTAGTTGGGTCATGTTGTTCTCTAATAGTAGTATGTTTCTCATTACTAACATTAAATCTATCATGATCTGGCAGCGGATCATGATAGTACTAGTAGTAGGTTTGCTTTTGTGGCCATATGTTTCTTGTTGTAACATTGTGTATACTACAAGCATTGGTGCTGGACATATCATTATTTTTATTAGTAGTACTACTAGTAGCAGCAGAAACAGAAATAGATTTGTAAAGATAGGATGAATCAACAAGATGAGGTTGTGGCTGTGGGGGAGAGTAGTAGTATGGGGCGGGGCAGTCAGGGTGACAGTGTTCATGCAAAGAAAGTACTACTCTTATCACCACCACTACTATCATCAATAGTAGTAGTTAATCTCCCCTTCATTGTTATAAATAGAAATTAAAGGGGAATTGTCGCGCCAGAGACGTCTTTGGCTCCTCCTGTCAATTCTTCCAGTTTACTTCAAACCAAGCTCAGTCAATACTTTTAATTCCWGTGAAACMAACCCCTGGTCGCACTTCCACTAACACTCCTCGGAGGGAAGTGCCGCCCCTCGGAGCAGCTAGGAGCATTCTTTCTAACGAAAGCTGTGGTTCTGGCCATATAGTGCCTCTTCTAGCTCACGAGGTTAAAAATAATATTAAGATTTTTTTTTTAGAAATTAAAGGGGAATGATTAAGAAGTTCCTCTTTTTGTTTGGGAAAAATGGAAGAAAACAAATTGAAGTAGCCATGGTACTATGTTAGGATACTCATCCACTGTCCATTTATTTGTTTTATTCAAAATAAACAACAAGCAAAATGTTCTCTTACGGCGATTCGAACGCCGGATGCTTGATTCAAAGTCAAGAGTGATAACCACTTCACTATAAGAGACCACACCGAATGAGGGGATCGAACCCTCGACCACACGATTAAGAGTCGTGCGCTCTGCCAACTGAGCTAATTCGGCTGGTTGTTATTATACCGGTATGATTCATGATATAAAAAATTGCTCTCACGGTTTTCCTTTCATCTTTGTCCTGGCCAGCACCTTTTCTGCTGGTTTAGTACGTACCTAGAGTGCTACTGTATTGCAAAAACTAAAGAGCATTAGAGACGTTGCCGTGATAGATCACACCAACCAGGAGAGATCGTTCAAAAGTGGCGGAGGGAAGAACAAGCAGACCCAGAGGGAATCACATTTTCTTTTGCTGCAGAAGCGAAATCCCCCCAGAATCAGCATGATTCATTTTCGGAAGCGAATCGAGTATACGTAGTATTTGGCATAATCATTAATGGTAATTTTCAACTATAGATTTATTGTATGTGTCGTACTACTTGCTCGTCTCGTCTCGTCTTGCAAAAGTGCTACGTGTACACAAAAAGGTGTATCACTAAAAGAACATGTCCTCTTCCACGCCGTCGTCGTCGATCCCGCCCAAAAACTCGCCCAGGCTACCCGCCACGGTTCCACCCGTGTACGCCATGGGGGTAGGATCCATGAGAGGCGCCTCCATCATCAGATCGAGCATGCTCTTCGAGGCGTTCGGGTTCTTGGAGACCTTGACCAGGGCCTGCAGGAGTTCCTCGACCTCGGAAACATCCTGCAGGTAGTTGGCGGCCGCGCTAGGTTTCTTCCCGACAGTACAGGTGAAGATTTCCGCATCGCTCGAAATGTTCGGATCACAGACCGAAACATCGACGAGGCGCATGGTTTTGGGCAGATCCGAGGCCCGGCCTCCACGGGCCCGGTGGCCGATCTGCCGCATCACCGACAGCATGGGCTCGTCGCAGTGATCGTCTCCCAGGACCAGAGCAAAATCAACCTGGCCATCGGGCTTGGCCGTGAGCTTGTGAAAGTTGCAAATGGCCTTCATTGCAAAGACACCCTTGTTGACTCCCTTGGGCCTCACCTCGACGTATCCTCCCTCTTCGACTCCACCGTGCAAAATATCTACGGGGTAGCTTCGGAGAACATTGGACAAGTGATCCTCGAGCTCGCGGGCCTGGAGGTATCCAAACTCCAGATCGGCGTCGCGGTACTGCCACAGAACCTTCATTTCCGTCTCTTCGATGTAGGATCCGTGCGTGCGACTGGCATAAACTTCCATGATGCTCATGGTAAGGGACCTCCAGGTTCGATCCGAAATGGGAACCAGCGTTTCCCAGTGCCGCTTATTGCGGTGACGGTTTTTCTTCGGGCCGCGAGGGGGAGTCCCTAGGCGTCCACCATGGGAGGAGAACATTCCACCTCCACCGCTGGAGTTGCCGCTATCTACTTCCGGCCAGGAAATGTACATTCCGTGCTCAGCCGCAAGCCCAAGATTGGGGATGTGGCCGAGCGTCTTGATGAGTGAGTGTCGTTCTTTTCCACTCACGACGAAAACCGTGTTTTTCTTGTCGCTGCACAGGTCCTGAATGGTTTGGATCATCTCTGCTGTTGGTTCGGAATGGTGGCTGCGGGTTTTGACCATTCGGAACCGCGACAAGTTGTCCAGGTTTTCATTTGACGTGATGGTTCCTCCATAATCGAAAAGAATCAGGCGGTTGCTGGCCATTTTGTAGCCCTTTGCAACGGCCTTGAAGTTTAGCGACTCAAAGCCAACGTCCATGCCCAGCAAGCGAAATCCTAGACCCAAGCCGGCTCCGGAATACTGGACCGGATTCACGCTCTTGTGGACACCCTTGAGGTCCAGCATGACAGCCAGTGCCCACCGCTGGGTGGTCACCCGGGTCACGAATTCGCTCGCGCACGTGACCCGCCTGAGGCGTTCCTCCTCCGTCATGGTCAGTGCCTGCTGAAAGGCCTGGGCAATCTCGGAGATTTTCCAGGGGTTCACGTGAAGGGCTCCGCGCATCACACGGGTGCACGAGGCAAACTCACTCAGGACCACCAGTCCCCTGCGGCGTCCCCCGTCGGCCTGTCGAACAGCCGGATTGAGAGCCTCCTGGTGGGCAATGGTAAACTCGAGGGGGATGAGATTGAGACCGTCTCGAATCGGCGTCACGAGGCAAACGTCCGAGCCCTTCATCAGCGCCATGCGCTGCTGCAACCTCATCCTCCAATCGGGTGTTTCCTGGAACTGTATGGTGCCCGGCCACATTTTGTTGATCCGCTGGACCTGGTCCGTGACCTCGTTGCGGGTTTTGACGTAGTCGTCCCCACGTTCCCAAGCCGTGATGCCGACCTGGATCAAGACGATCTTGCCAATCCATTCGGGGCACCGCTTGAGAAATAGTTCGATTGCCAGCAACTTCAGTGGGATTCCCTTCAGGCTCTCCAGTCGATCGATGGAGCAGAAAATCGTCTTTCCTGGGTGGCGGGCACGAATCATGGCGGCCTCTCGCGCCACGCGGTCGTGCCGAAGGATCTGGTTGAGGACGGGGGGTTCGATTCCTGCGTGGATGCTGGTCACGGCAACGTGTCTTCCGTTGGTATCGATGGCCAGTGTGTATCCGCCGTTCCCCGAGGCGTCGGGGATCATTCCGTAGTTGAGGCCCAGCAGACGGCGGCAGCAGGTGAGGAAATGGCGGGCGTACTCGAACAAATGAAATCCGACCTGGTCGGCATTGAGCATGCCCCTAAGGAGATCCTCGCGGCACCAGAGCGTTCGAAAGATTTCCGAGCTTGGAAAGGGCGTGTGCAAGAAGATTCCGATCTTGGCCATGGAAATTCTTCTGGTGAGGTACGATGGCAGAATGAGCAGATGGAATCCGTGTATCCAAACCAGGTCTCCCTCGTTGAAACACTGGACGACGACTTCTGAAAACTTGCGATTAACCTGGTTGTAGGCAGACCACAACTCCTTCTCGCGTCCCCGTCCACCGTGAATGGGTCCCTGTTCGACGTCGTCTCGGCAGACTTCCGAAAATTGTTCCCCGTCCTGGTTGGGGTCGCCGATGCAGGCATCCGCGTCGTCCTTTGCGGCGTGGGAAGCATAGACGGAGGTGACGTTGTGGAGGACCGGCCACAAGATTCCCTTGCAGAATCCATTGTACCTGGCAAACGTGAATCGTACGTTCGTTGCGTTGTATTGCATTGCATGGAAACAAGGGGGCAGGGGATTTCATGTTTGGACGTAAGAGAGAGAGAGGGAGAGATTGCAGACCAAAAAAACCATCGAAGGAAACAAAGAAACGTGAGAATCCTTGCGTTTCACCCTATTTCCGCACTGCAGACCGAAGGATCCGACCTCGCATTCCGTGTCGTTCCATCGATTCGATTCGATTCGATTCGATTCGATTGTTTTCCGTTGAAGACAATGCACACTCACATTTCACCAAAGATCAGCGGATCGATCCAGACCGGGACGCAGTGAAAGGGCCGTAGGCACTCCTCTACGAGGTGCCGCTCGTCGATGGGCACCCCGTAGTGCTCCGACGCCTGGTGGCCGCTTCCGTCTTCCTCCGATCGCGCGGTCTGCTGCTGCTGCCGGTAGTTTCCGTGCCAGCCCTTCCACTTGACGACTCCCACCCTTGTTACCCTGAGGTGGGTCTGCATGCTGAGTAGGGCTTCGTAGTCCCAGTCGGCCGTCCACTTGGGGACGGCGCTTGTTTCGTCCCGGTGGACGACCACCGGCAGGAAGGCGCTGACCACCACCAGGCCGTCCGTCGCGTTGAGCTGGACGGGTTCCCCAAGGCGGTTGCGTCGTTCTTTCGAGGGGCTGCCCGCCGCTCCCGCCTCGGCCGAGAGCGGCTGGGTGGGACGCCGAAAGGGGGACGGCATCTCGGCAAAGCCGACCGTCTTTTTCTTGGGAGTCGTGCCGCCCGGCGGGTTGGCGGGTTTGTGTGGTTCTCCGGAGGCTCCTGTTTCCAGGCCCGCCCGCTCTCCGGTGCAGGCCCCACTCCCTTCCACACCGACGTACCGGGACGCCGAAGAGGAGGAGGAGGATCCCCATTCCGAGGTGGTGGGCCGCTTGTGGTAAATGTCGGGCTTCTGCCCCTTGCGCTTTCCCAGGACGTCGTTTACGACGTAGGTTTCCCCCGGCAGCAAGAACTTGAGGGGGAGCGCGTGGTAGTTGTTGGTTTCGGGGGATGCACAGGCGCTTCCATCGGTGGCGGGGGACGGATCCGGTTCGGATTCGGGCTCTACCTCCATGGCCGCGTTTGCGTTTGCGTTCGGGTTTGCGTTCGGGTTTGCGCTCACGCTCGCGTTGGTGTTGCTCGAGGTGTTCTGGCAGGTGATCTGGTCCTCCGTGTTGCTGGTCGAGACAAAGTTTTCGTCGTCCGCGCATTCCCAGCGGTGAAAGACACCGGCTCGAAAGATGGCGTACCGGTAGCGGAATTCCCCCCGGTTGGTGCTGTCGATCATGTTGGTGCTGGCCGCGCCGCTCCCAAAGAGGCTGGCCTGGCCGCCGAGCGAGAGGGGCTTCGGCCTCACCACCGTCATGGCCAGGGATTGGAGCGTGCTGTACCAGGGAAAGCTAGTAGCCGTTGTGTAGAGAGGAATCATCTGTGTTTTGTTTTGTCGGTATTGCATCAAAGAGTACAAACACACAACGCACAGAAAGCGTAGAGAAGAGAAACAAAAACAAATCAATTTGAGAGGAATCAAGGCCACTGTAGCGTCACGAAACACAGAGCAGCACAGCACAGCACAGCACAGCACAGCAGAAACAACATACGCGTCGAAAAAGATCGATTCAAATGTGTTTCGTGTTTGGGTTGCGTTTCTCTTTCTGGGTCGGAACTTCACCACAGGGTTCTGTTTCTTTGTCTGTGTCGTACACAAAAGGATCCAAACCATGGAATCGACCAACCGATTGACCAGTGGACGGACGAATTCAATCGACCAACTGACCAATCGATCAATCTGTGAATGAATCCACCAATCGACCAATCCACAAATCGCTGAATCTCAAAAAAAAAAACCAACCAGTGAATCGAGACGCACGCACCTTGTTGCGGCTCGTCGGAGAGGGGGGCGGGGGAGAAGACGACGAGGCAGCGGGGCTCGCACCGCAAGCATCGTCCTCCTCGAGGGGGACCAGGTAGACGTCTTCTCCGTGTCCCAATCGCTCGCACCGCGCCTTGAAGTGCACGGATGCCACGGAAACAGCCGCGCTGTTGGCGGGAGGGGCTTTCGAGGAGGACAAATGGCCACCGCGCGGGGTGGTTCCGATGCTTCCGCTCATGGTGGGTCCTTGCTTTGCGTTTGCGTCTGCGTTTGCGTTTGCAATTGCGTTGCGTTGGATCGTCACCCGTTGCTTCTTCGTCGGGTTCTTCTTTCTTCCTCCTGGCTGCTGAACACTGTATCTACCGCTTTTCAGTGACAAAGAAGCCGGGTGGTTGGTGTTGCCCAATAGTATGGTTGATTCAGGTGTCGGGCGTGTGTCGCTGTGTGTCGCTGTGCGTCTCTGTGCGTCTCTGTGTGCTTTCTCGCAATCACTGCTGCATTGCATGCAACGCCTGCGTTCTCGTCTTTGGTCTTCACTTCTCTGCGAACACTTGTGATTCGAGTTGCAACAAGAATGGGAGTAACTATAATAGACACCCTTTCAACAAACAACGACAACAACAACAAAAATTCGGAGGGACTGTTTTTATGGTCTAACGGGTTGACGCAACATTCTTTGGACCGATCCGAAACAATCTCATCTGATCTGATTTCCTCTGATTTCCTCTGATTTCATCTGATCTCATCTCGACCAATCTGAAACGAGACCAGGCGAGACATGGTTGCGTCAACCCGGGTGAAGTCACGGCGAGCTTTTCCATCACCACGCACGATGACACAGTACCTCGTATCGATCGTGTCGCACCGTACCGTACGTACGGTATGGTACGAACTGATACAACTTGCGAGAATCGCACGATAGAACAGAATCCTCTGTAATTCTACAAGGGATCGACTCGTTTGACTTGATTCTTCTTCTTCTTTCGTGTCGTTCTTTTTTCTTTTTCTTCTCCGCCTTGGTCGAATTGAATTGAATTGAATTGAATTCAATCGAATGTCATGGCGTGGTTCTCCAAGGAACGAACGAAACACGAAACGCGACCTGATCTGACTTGCTACTTGCTATCACAACATAATACGGTACTCGTAGGTACGTACGTACCTTCAGAAAAAAGTACGTAATAAGATGCTTGATGCTTGCACTTGAAACCGTACGAGTACTGTACCTACGTGCGAAGGTACCGTATGCTAATGCTCGCGGGTTCGAAACTCAAACCGGAAGAACTACGTACCGCTCCGTACAGTAGGTACTTGGTACTCGTTACTCCTAGTTTTAGCATGTACTACTACGTACGGTACGTACTAAGCATATGAATGTCGTGGCGAACAACAGACGACGGACACGGACAGACCGGGATGGCCCCAGGTTGCGGCGGACGGACATGACACCACACATCATCGTTTCATGGATTGTTGATTGAAGGACGGGAACGAAAGGAAAGAAGAAAGACGTCAAGAATCCATCCATCACCATGAAGCAAAACAAAAACCTGTCTCAAACTCCGGAATCCATCATAAACCTCGCCTGCCGACCGAATACCGAATGCGTACCCCAATACCAAGCTTGTCGTCAATGGATCAGGAGCGCAAGCAAGAACAGTCTAAAACAACTACAACTACAGGCCCAAGTGTTACTAGTAGCAGCTTGTTCTACCACAGACAAACCACAACATCAGAGATGACAAGTAGCAGCATTACTACTAATATATACTAATACCAGTAGCATTATAATCATGCTACTAGCAGCACCAGCAAATACAACCGCGTTGGTAGTTCATGGCTGGAACCGCACTGCAGCAATCGATACCGCAATGACCATGCTGTTGAGCAGCCGTCCCGGTCCCAGCCAGCAACAGCTATCGAGAGATGGCAGCAGGACAACAATGCTGTTGCAAGAGCAGTTGCGCACTCTGTGTCGTTCGTCGAATGGTTGCCACCGGCACTCCAAATTGTTTGTTCGTTCGTTCGTTCCCGGAAGCAGGATAAGAGCCAACCATGCCGCATCGATGCGGCGGATCCAAAAAATCCACTCTGGCAACCCAGCCAAATCCAACCCAACCCAACCCAATCCGATTCGGTGTAGCAGCAGCTACTGCGTACCGTTCGTTCTGTTCCGTGCGCCGATCCGATTCCGATCCGATCCGCTCGTTGGTGGATCCTTGCGGGTTGCTTTCGTCGGATCGGCTCGGTAGCATGCGTTGCACGAAGCAAGCAACCCAAAGCAAAGCAACACAAGACGACCCAACACAAGCCTCCAGCCCCTCCACCGTTGCATTTCCCGGTTGCCACACCGCCATCCACCGAAACTAAATTGTGTTGCGTTGATTTGTGCTGCGGTTTGGTGTGGTTTGCTATGCCCCGAGCAAAACGCGCACAAGTGTCACGCCCATGGCCACTCCCACCCCCGCGAGCCCGTACGAAACCAGGCTCGATCCGACCGATTCCTGGTTCTGGTCGGTCGGCCGAAAGGGAAGCGGTGGGGGGCTTGGTTGTGGTTGTGCCTGTTCTTGTCGTTGTTGCAGCTGGAATTGTTGTTGCTGTTGCTGTTGCTGTTGCTGTTGCTGCCATTGCCGCTCGGTCTCGCTCGCCACCGGAACCACCGGGTGGCCGCCCTTCGCCTTGCGGGCGGTTCTCGGATCTCTCACCACCGTCCGCGGTTTGGGGGTTTTGGTCCGGGCAGCGGTCCCGGCAGCTCCCGGCGGTGGCAACCCGGACATCAGCGCCCGCGTGCGGCGAATCATGGCGTGAGTGTGTTGTGTTGTGTTGTGTTTGTGTTGTGTTTGTGTGCACGGTCTGCAAAACTGCAGCAGGGAACGCAATGCAACGCTACGCAATGCAACAACAACCTCCTCCCGTGTGGCAATGCCGGGTCGGGTCTCTGGAATTCTGGCTGTGCCGACGGCCCTGATGGAAGGGAGACATCTGCTCTTCGTTTCGAAGTTTCGGTGCTTTTTGCAAGGCTTGACATCAGAAATACCGGTAGGAAACAGGACGTGATCCACGTGTAATGTCATGATCAATTGAAAAACATCAGTAACGGTATTGCAGTCAACGCATTTGTGCCCGAGCTGGTCTAAGGGGTTCGACTCAAGTTCGAATATATTCGTATGCGCGGGTTCGAATCCCGTCGAATGCACTCGTCCTTTTTGGATCTCGCATCTACTGAAGGGGTTGGGCTTTAACACACCCAAGATGAATACTAGTACTAGTAGTTGTCACTTTTTCTTTCTTTCGGACGGGCATGGTACCATATTATGATTGGTGCACTTGTTTTCTCTCGAATGATTGTATTCTTACAAAACGAAAGAGGGACCGAGAGAAGTAAAAAGGACACTCGGAACGAAAGGCACAAGAGAAATTCAATTTCTCGACAATACATACCGTACGGTATCTTTCCTTCGGGTGGCGAATCATCTTAAATCTCAAACCCCTTCTCACGGTCTTTTCTCTTCGCGGCCAAAAGCCCTTCTGTCACATCTTCTGCCCATGTATTGGCGGTCCTGCCAAACTATTGTACGCCCCGCAACTAAAAATTACTTTACTAGATTACTATTGTGTTCTATTTATTGCATTCTACAGTAGTATTTTCACAACATTCTCCATCGGCAACATGAAAATAATAAATACGATTCGATACACACACAGTCGCTTTCCCGGTTTGCAACGTGCCGCTCCGTTCCACTCCTAAAACAGCTTTTTCTGCGGCGACGGTTCCTTCGAGTCGCCCATGACCCTTGCAAAGAAAGATTTCGTTGGTTTCTGGCTGTTCTTCTTTTCTTCACCGTCGTCGTTGTCGTGGTCTCTCTGGGAAAGCGATTTTACGGTCTTGAAGGGAGAATTCGAGAGGGCTCCCAGGCCGGAAATCGCGTCGAACTCGTCGGGTGCAATGATCAGCGAGTTTCCGTTGTTGGGTGGCGGGGGGTGGTTCATGGTGTTGGCAACGCCGTGGGCTGTATCCGAAAGATCGGCCCCCACCGCCAGGTCTCCCAGCTGCTGGTTCGAGTCCTCTCCGCAGACCCTCCCATCGTGGTCGTGGTCAAAGGCGAACCGGTTTTCGTCGCCCGTCTTTTCGTCAAAGGCCCGAAAGAGCATGCTCGGTGCCGGAGAGTACGGGACCGTGAAATTCGTGCTCGTGCCCTCGTTGCCTCCCTTGAGCAGGAGCCCGCTTTGGCTGCCGTGGTTGGGAGCCGGCGAAAACGGAACCGTGAGGCTCGTGCTTCCGATTCCGTCGTTCTTGAGCAGGGCACTGGCGCCCAGGGATCGCAGTCCAGGGGACAGACCCAGGGGGGTTCCGCTGGTCGAATAAAAGCCGTTCGTCGAGGACGGATCCCTCTGGGGGGTCTCTGGGGCAGCAGTTGCCAGAGGCCCGTGGCCAGGAAACGAACCGGCTTGTCTCTTCTTCGGACTTGCGAATGGTTTCGGATAGTCAGAAACAGAAGACGACGAGAGGTTCTTCGATGGACCATCGCTTGTTGTTTCCACCCCGGCCTGTTTTCGTTTGGGGTTGCTCGAGGAATTTCCCAGCACCCTGGCCATGATGCTAAGGCCCGACGTGGTCGAGACTTCCCTCGGACTCGACGGCGGCTGTTTGGAAGGACTCGAAAGAAGATTCGAAAATCCGCGGCCGGGACTCTTTGCCAGGTGGCTGACAATCGCGTTCGCGGCCTCGTTCTCGTCTTCGTTCTCCATCATTTTCTTCAGCTTGGACATCTGCGTGTCCTCGTTCCCACCGCCGATTCCTTCGATCAGCTTCTCGTACGCAAGCCGCGAGGCGTCCCCATCGCCGCTGAAGGCCGCAAGATGCTCTCCCACCATCTTTGGTATGCTTGCCATGAACGACTTGTTGTTCGGTGTATTCAGTTCTTTTGGTGGCCGAGCACCACCACTCGGCTTCGGCGACGCGAGGTTGAGCCTTTTCCCTTCTGCGGAAAAACTCGGTTTTGGATAGTAATTCTTCGGGGTCGACGGCGGATGAGGGGGTGTGCCGTTCTGCGCCGTCGATGGATGTTGTCCCTTGTTTTTCTCATTCGAAGGGTGGCCGGGATGCGGAGGATACGGATAGTGCGGATGATAATACCCAGGATAATAATGGTAGGGATAGTGGGGATGGGGAGGATGCTGGTGCTGTGGTGTGTTCTTGCTGCCAACCGGATGTGCAGGATGAGGTGGCGAGGAAAATTTTGAAGGCGTGCCACCCGCTTCAACTTGCGCCTGCCCCTTCGGTTGTGGATACGACGCAGGTTTGGTTTGCTGCTTCGGAGCATATGGGGACCCTGACGCCGTGGTTACTTTTGAAAGAATGGCACGCTTCGGAGCCAAAGTTGGGGTCGCCGATGGTTTCGGCGCCGCGATTTTATTCACTTGCATGCCTGCAAGCGAAGCGGCGGCACTTTCGAGCGACATCACTGCGTTTTTCTCGATAGATCCGGCTTTCGAAGCAATCGCCCGAACGCCGGGACTCGGATTCGTGGAAGCCGCTTTGGATTTTGTCTTTGACGGGGATTTGGCTGGTAAGGGAGCTTTCTTTGCACTCCGACCGGGAGATGCCCGCACTTTCGAAGCTGATGTAGGCGGTGGGCTTGGCTTGGGTGCAATCATCGTTTTCGAAGCAGCTGCGCCAATTGTTGGCTTTGCTATTGTCTTTGATGCTGCCTTTGCCGGTGTTTTGCTTCTCGCTTTGGAAGCACTTGCACGGCAAGTGGATCTCGACGCGGTTTTTGTCCCGTTTTTGGCTTTCGCGGCCGTCTTGAACCCACGCGTAATCGCAGCTTTGACTCGTCTTTCCAAGACTTGATAGCGTTTTCGCAAGTGCCCCCTGTCTCGATGAGGAATAAGTCTAGCTCCCAACTCCGCCCACCTTTAAAAATCGAAGTACGCAATGAAACCATGTCGTAACGAGTGCTTGAGACAAATGGGCGAAAATAAACATTCAAAGCTGAAATCTCGAAAGACGAAGCCATACACTAAAGCAAAAACAACCATTAATACGTACATGTGTCCCATGATGGGAACCGCTTTCAAAATTGTCAGGTCCTCTTCCATCGACCACCGATGGACATTCAATATGGCGGGCGGTTCCACCAATTTCAGCCCCGCAGCCTTTACTTTCGTTTCGTCGATATCGTCGACTGATTCCAATTTGGGAGGTTCTACAAGGTTTCCCTTTGCGTCAACGTAAATCCCGTGCGCTTTATAGAGCATAACACAGAGTTTCGAATACCTCTGGGAAATTATGTTGATGGACCGATCTGGAAGGTATCGATCGCCAATTAATATCCATTGCTTTTCACCATATAGATTGACTCCCCGCAAGACCAGATTGTCCTCTCCGGAGGTGAATAGGTTGCGGTTCTTGCGCAGAAATTGCTCTTGTTCCGGCGTACAGGGGGGCCGAAAGTCGTCTCCGAGGTGCTCCTGAAGCTGCGAAAAGTTCTCGGACAGATCCATGATCCCAGGCAACAATTCTTCGTCGACGTTTGCGCCAACATCCTTTAGTGCATCTCGGCATGCCTGGGCATGGGTTACCGCTTCCAGAATGTTTACTTTTTTGGTTTTCTTCTTGTCCTTGTTTTCGTCACTTTTGTTGTTGCCATCTGTGGACGAAAGGTTTCGATTTGCTTCGATGTTGACGCTGTCATCGATAGTAGCAAAGGTTTCGTCAAGCTTCAACAACCCCGGAATGTCAAAGGCCGTTCGTCTTGACCCCGCGATAGGCTGTGCCTGCAATCTCCGAAAGGCGGCACGGGTCAGCCGTCCCTGGTTCGAAATAGGAGCCAGCTGGGAAGACACGGAGAATGAGTTCGGATTGCGGTGTTGATTGTCTTGCGACTGCTGCTTCTTGTGGCTCTTGCCATTGTCCTCCCCTTCGTCGAATTGCGACATGAGTGATCGCCTGGCCCCCGTGCTTGCAACCCCATTGCCACTGCTATTTCCACCATTCTCGACGCTGGCCTTTCCCGAGCTAGCATTGTGCTTCCCCTTGTCAAAATTGCAACCTAACCCGCAACCACCACTCTTCTCATTGGCATTGACTGCCTCGCTGGTACTGGTCTTCGGTTCGTGGGCATTCGTAATGGAATTTGCATTCCCATTGCTATTGTTGTTATTACTGGTAAGGGCCAACTGGATCGATGTTCGAATCGAATCTTTTCGGTTTTGGTCCAGGTCTTGCAGCATGCCCACTGCTAGGTCTAGGATTTCCGTCAGATCCGTTTCGTTTTCCCCGCTCAAAAAATCGCCACCCCCACTTCCGCTCTTGTTCTTCGCTTTTTCAGGAGACGTTGTGGCAGTAGAGGGAGTAGTCGCTTTTGCCGCCGGTGGGTTTGCAGAACTCTTGGTTTTAGCGCCGGACGGATGGTTCGAAGCGGTGCTGCCTCCAGACCCCGTCTTGAGATATTGGGCGGCCCGGACGCTCAGGATGGCCTGCTGAGTCAACAGCTGGTAGTGCTTGCGCAGGAGTGTCCGAAGCTGCTGGGATTGCTTGTAGGTCACAGCGGCCCTCGAATGCCTGGCAGCATCCCGGAGCGGTGTCTCGGGAGTGTCTGGTGGCGATTTGGCGCCGGGGTTTCCCCCGGTACGAACCTGGTTATGGTTCTTGGGGCCCGCGGCACCGGCTTGCTTGGAAGCCTCCTCCGCCTTTCGCTTTGCTTCCGCGGCAAGGATTGCCGCCGTAACGGGGGTGTTGGCCCCACCCGGAGCGGTACCCACGGTGGTGGCAACAAAGGCGGCGGTGGAAGCCTGGTTCTGCTGAGTAGGCAGCTGCAATTGGTTGTTTCGTGCTTGCTTCTGTTGCTGCTGCTGCTTTTTGGAGGAAGAGACCGCTGCTCCCCCCGCCGCTCCTTTTCGTCCCTTTTTTTTCTTGCCGCTATCCTCACCAGATGCTGCCGCAGAGGTGGTATACAGAGACTGGACGGCCGCCTCCAAGTCTTCCTCCAGTAGGCCTCCGAGTTCCTCCTCTAGGTTTCGGTACAGCTCGTCGTCGTTGTCCTTGTCCTTGCCTCCCCAGCCGCTGAGGATAGGCAGCGAGGGGGAGGACAAAATATCCGCGCTTCCGTCTCCATTGGAGTTATTGTGGCCGGACAACGCCCCGCAGGGAGTCTTGGCTTCGGCTACTGCTCTGTTTTCCACGGTAGGAGAGGACGGTGCCGTAACGGAAACGGGCCCATGTACTCCGGATTGCGCGCCAGTTCCAGGAATGGGCTTCCCACTCCTCGACGATGCTTCCGGCAATGGCGTGGGAGCTCCCGCCATGCGTTCCGGCCGAACTGGCACGCTTTTCTCGTCTTCGTCCATCTCAATGTCCATGTCGAAGTCGTCCTCCTCGTCATCGTCGAACTCGTCGCCCTCCGAATCGCTCAAACGAAAATCCACGTCTTCGACGTCAGAAAGGTTGTCCCAGATGGAGAAGTCATCGAGTTCGCCGAGGGATTGGATCATCTTGAGGTATTCCGGATCGTACTTGTCGTTGTAGTTCTTGATGTTGGGATTCGCGGATTTGACGGAAGTCGCCGTCTTGGGATTGGTTGTTGGTTGGCTCGCTCCCGGTGCAAAATTGGTGGTGGATGGCTTGGGTTTCGATGCCGAAACCTTTGTAGTTGTTGATGATGGAACCCCGACCGCTGCCGGAATTGCAGTCACCTTGGATCGCTGGGGCATTCTAGAGGATGCGGGAATGGTCAGCGCGTGTTGTGGATTTGACATTGCTTTGATTTTTGAACTGTTTGCCACAAATGCTTGGGTTGCCGGCGGCAATGGAAGCTTAACCTGCTGTCGCTTTGCTTGGAGCGGAGCGGTGGAATAATATGTTGGAGTGGCGTTCTTTGTGGCAGAACGCTTCGGTATTCCCGCTACTGGTTTGGTGGACGTTGCGCTTTTCACTGCTCCCGTGATCTTCGCTCTCTTCTTGTCTGGTTGAGTGACTCTGTGTACTGCTGGCAAATAATGGGGCTGTGGACGTTCCGCTGTCGTTGCGGGAGCACGCGGAGCAGCAGTGTTCGTCTTTCCAACTGGGAGCGGCAGCTTTCGTTTTGTTTTCGAGGTTTTCTCTCTGGTTTCTCCGCTCAGGGCATAGGCCCTTGCTTCGGCTTTTAGCTTCGCTTCTCGCTCGGCTGTGGACTGTGTTGTCGGTTGCGACGCCTCCGATGATTTTGACTGCGACGCCTGTGGCATTCGACTATGGTGTTGTTCGGTGGGCTTCTGCCTCGCAGGAATCGCGTTGGCCTCCGTTGTTGGTGGTGTTTGGGGTAGGCTACCCGGGGTGGCGCATGCCTCGGTGGGCTTCGTCGGAGAGCAGGATGACGACGAAGAAGAATCGACTTGAGCCATGGTTTCTGGGATCTGGGTCCGGATTGTTCTTCTCGCTTCCGTGGTATTGCTTGGTTTGAATTTGGCTTCGCCTGCAAAAAAGCTATCGCAGTTTCTTTTCGTTTCGTTTTTTTTTCTGTCGATCGATTCCTCTAGAGTGGGATACCAACCGGGCTGTGTTTGATTCTCAGAAGCGTCTCTTCCACGTCTCTTTCGGTAGAACCAAATCGGGAGTGAAAGGAAAGGATATGATCGGATAGAAGCTAACGTATGTCATATAATTTGTGATTTTCCCCTTGTGGTCCTTGTACAGAATTGTTGGCCAAAACACACCAGTGAAAAACCAACGAAGGGGAAATGGCGCGCCGTTTTCACCGCTTCGTAGGATGTGGTAGACTGGCTACGATGAGATGTTTAGTGCGACGGAAATTCCGGGAGGCGTTGGCAGGCTTTCGTTATTGTGTCGTCCCCGCGGTGAGGGAGTTGTTGGTGCTTTTTGTGCTGGATGGTGTTGATGTTGCTGCACTTGGCTGCCAAAGTTGGTGACTGGCTTCGTTTCGTGGAAGGTTCCAAAGAACAATTTCCAAAGAAGAGCCCCGCCAAGGCAAAGGTATATGGTATGCTGAGTGTCGCAGTAGTAGCGCAATGAGCGGTAAGTGCGAAATTCAGTACGTGCTGTAGTGAAAAAATAACGGCAGGCTTTCGTTTTCGGTGTTTTGCACCGAAATAATGGTGTCCACTGCTGTAGAAGACTTTGGCGCGCCAAAAAGAGCAAGGACGCTTTTGCTGTCGTGTTACTTTTGTACAGCTCGTACAGTATGGTAATGAACACAATCTGCAGTATGCACCCAGCGATTCAGCCAAATCTTCTGTACCAGTAATACTCGTACCGTTACGTTCAACGAACAGTGCCGTATTTCATACGGTACGGTATCGTCAGTCGTTGGTCGGGTAGAGCAGCTGATTCATATGCTACTTTACCGTACGGACGTGCAATGCAAGCACACCACTCCGACCAGTTGCGGTACTAGTACGAAGATGCGATAAGGCTACGAAGTCTATTTTTCTGTTCGTTGAAAATGTACGCAGCATTGCTCAAACAACAAGGTACCGTACGGTAGCGTAGTAGTCGTTCAGTTTAGTATGTTCCTACTCCACAAATAGAGACAAGTATGTTGCTATCCACAAAAATACCTCCATCATTCCTATCTACAAAGGTACTTACGTACGTACCGATGCGAGTATGGTAACCGTCTGGTTACTCAGTTTTTGCCGAGTAACCGCGCGCTAGATTACTGCGGGTTACCAAAAAAATCGAGTAATCAGTTGCTAAGAAACACGTGTTATTTTTTTGCAATATTTTTTGCACCTCAACAGGCTGCTTGGTTACTCGACAAAATTAGTAATCAAATTGGTAATTAGGAAAGCAGCCGTAGAAAAACTACTGAGTTTCTTTTTAGACCAATATCCGCACCTTTGGAGGAGTAATCAAAATCAATTGCTATTTTCGCGCTATTACTAAAGTGCAGCAGTACTCGCACTCAACAATAAACGTCAAAAGCAACAAAAAATTAGCAGTGCATTGCCTTGATTGCCAATTTTGCCGTAGAATTCTACTAAAAATTTGTACCAGAATGATAATTTTGCATCGAAGAAGCAAGAATCGCCTCCGTATCGAGCGTCCTCCTTATCAGCAACGTTCCTCCGTATCAGCAATGCACGCTCCTCCATATCGAGTGTATGGCGGAGGCAGTGCTTGTAGTTTGTTCGCCGTATCCAGAGGGACCGGGGAGGGAAAAGAGCCCATTCCCCTATATCGCGGAGGCAGTGCTTGTAGTTTGTTTGCTGACTTGTATCAGCGGACACCGCATCAGCGGACACTGCAGTATCAGCGAAACGTATCAGCGTCTCGTCCGTATCAGCAAGCATCTCCGTATCAGTCAGTGCTCGTAGTTCATTTTCCGGATCCAGGGAGGGAAAAAAGCCCGTTCCCCTGCTTGTAGTTCATTTGCCAGCAGTGCCGCAGTTACTCGGCAAAAACTGAGTAACCAGTCTGTTACGTCAATAATCGTCGAGTCAATTAGTCTTCAGCGCGTAAAGTAACTCACTTCAGTTGTGTCTTCATTCCTCGTCCCTCGGATTCAGACACAACTTCAGTGAGTTACTAGAGTAATCAACATCGGTCTCATCCTCCTCGTCCCTCGGGGATTCGGCCTCTTGTTGATTACTCGGTAATCATCTGGTAATCAGGACGGTAATCAGGCCAGTAATCAGGCCATGCAGAAAAAATAATTTAAAATGTGCGCATGGGTTCTTCTCCTAAGGGATTCGTGCTCGTACCTCGCTCTCACCCTAGGAGAAGAACCCATGCGCACATTTTAAATTATTTTTTCTGCATGGCCTGATTACTGGCCTGATTACCGTCCTGATTACCAGATGATTACCGGCGCGCGACTAATTACTCGACGATTATTAGACATACATTCCTATCCCCAAAGGTACGGTACGTTCATGGTTTATGGCATCTTTAGTCGGTCTGTCCGTTTATCCCGTCAGTGACTGTGTGTTACTACTCCATTTTCCTTTAGCGTACGGTACGTACCCGTACTCTAGAGCAGTGAAATAAGTCGTTGTACGGTACCTTACGCTAGAATTCAAATTCGCGCTCGTTTGGATCTCGTAACAAGACCCATGTCGTTGTGCACGTAGCATGTAAGTTTGTGACGGTTTTACTGTATTTTGTGATTCAACCTGAACAAAACCTCCGCGATAAAAAACAGGCGCGCATCTAAGGCTTAAGTCGTAAATGCCAACTACTCTTGCGGGCTGCATCGGACAGGTAGTACCAGTAGCAAGACTACGGACGTATTATCCAATGTACATTAGGTTTGTGTGGTGTTTGAAAGAAAAAATCAAGGTGAAAAATGAAAAACTACGAAGTCGTTCGAGAACGTTGACGGATTGGAGAGGGCGCGCGCTAAAAATTGGGCTATTTCCTCGAGTCCCATTTCCGAAAGGTAAACGCGGGAAATACGGCATGTTTCCTAAGAAAGTTGTACTGTACATACATACGTACTCGTACCCCTACGTCGATAAAATTGTTTGTGCTATCTATTATCCGTGTTGTTCATACAATCGTGATACAACAGGAACCATATTGTTCGTGTCGTCCCGAGGAAGTTTCCCAAAAATCAGAGAAGAATACGGATCGTTCCGACTTTTTGACAATATCGATTGGCGCCGGAAAGGGCATGATACGGTATCGGTAACAAACACCAACTTCCTATTTCGGTATGGAATTTGCGATGCGATACGACACGACACGATACTATACAAGTTCGGCTAAACACAAAACCGCACTCGCGTCCCATTCGATTCCAGCCGAAAGTTGATAGACAGGACCACTCGTCAGCACGGATTGCAACACGCATAGAAGGGAACTGCGATCTAGCATATCAACCCGCAATAGATCAGCCGAGACTAACAGGTTCATCAACTGCATTGCACATACTGCATTTCACATATTGCATTGCACATACTGCATTGCACATACTGCATTGCCCATCGACAGCGAAGAGTAGAAACACAATGACGGGGTGGAAAAAACCGCCGCTGCTTCCATCCAGCCGTCGACGACAGCGAATCCAAGCACGACACCTGGAGGAGGAGCAACAGGTAGGATCCATTCTCTACAATAATGCATACGAATGGCAGATGGAATTTTGTCCGGTCGCGATGGCTCTGGGTCGCACAACAACAACCACAGCAATTCTCTCTGATGACAGCCAAAACAGAAACGGTCGGGAACGAGACGGAGGTCTCACAAATTCGAACACGAACTTAACCGGGATCAACAACAACGACGACGACGATTTTGGCGTATATCTGGAGGGTGTATTCGACTCGGTGGCAATCGCCGCAGCCAAAGCTACCGCAAAAGATGCCACTAGCATCAATTCGCACCACTACGATCCGACGACAACAATCTCTCCGCGATCGGCCACCGACTCCCGAGGCGACGAAACGGAAATCGAGAACAATCACGACGACAACTACAACAATGATCGCAGACGCCGTGCCACTCCCGAGACGAGGACGGACGAACAGGGGTTCGGGAATACCACCGAAAGAGGCAGCAACAGTTCGTTCTCGGACGTCCGTTGGCGGCTCTTTCACCCTGTAGAGGAATCAACCCAAACCAGCACGTCGAAGCAAGGCGACGAGCTATTTCGAAACACACTCGCCATCACACTCGGGCACGGATTGGTGGGTACCAAGCGGTTTGGTCACCCCAAAACAATTGAGTTCTTTCACGACAACCACACCACCACCCAACAATACGGTGCTTCTGGCAGCAGCAGCACCACCAACAATTTTGAGGAGTACCGCTCGGGGCTGGTGTCGATCGCTGCTGTTCCGATCGCGGTGGTGACAGGCTGGTTGCTGGTCCTCCTGGCCGTGGTCGTAAACTCAAAACGAACGAATGCTGCTGACCAAAACTATGGGGACGAGGTCAGCAGCAGCAAATACCGAGCCGGACCGCGGGACAAAATATCGCTGCTGTCTTCATCGGTGCCGACCACCAACCGTATTACTTCGACCGAATTCGATCACCGGAACAACATCTCCGCAAACGACGAGGAGCACGAGAACAAAAACCTTATTGTAATGGAGTGCGCCTCGGCTGCATCCCCCAGGTGGCTGTCCTTTCCGAAATCGAAATCAAAACCGGCAGCGATCGCGATGCGTACCGTGGCTTCCTTCTTTACCAACACGTCCCTGGCGTCCTTGGCCTCATCGTCTTCGTCCGAAGGCGATGGGGTTGGTTACGACGACGAAAACCGCGACTCCGACCAACCTTCTGCTTTGGTTTCGCACCCATCCCCGAACGACTCCTCGGAACACGGTGTTAAAAATGTGTACAAGATTGGGGTGGTAAAGGGGGGGAAGCTCGATGTCAGTAGTTCCTCCGACCAACTCGGTGGCAATGTTGTTCTGGCTTGTGACGCAGAATCTGCCCTGACAGGCATCACGAGTGGCGTCACGAGCAGTATCGGTGGCGGCGTTGTGTTCCCCTTGGAAGGAATGCTGCTTGATCTTTACGACTTGGTGACCGGTGGCGAATACGAGGAACACCACATTGGAGACAAAAGCGCGATGGACCCCACTGTCTACACCGAATATACCGGGGCCAGCGGCTGCATCGAGCGGCATTCGTCCTCGCGCTACGCATGTAGCACCGACGCATCAATAACACCAGAAGAAGACGAGATTCTTCGCGATTTGCAGCAGCTGGAGGATGAACGATATCACGGGAATGATTCTCTGCACACCCTACAAGTCAATGGTGTTCCTGTGACTGCTTCGATGATATCCTCCATGCTCACCACGGCGATGCAGCAACAAAACCAAAACCTCGAAGAAGGGGTTGAAATCTGGTACAATGCCCAAGCGGGAACATTCTTTGCCAGCAGCAACGGCAAAGACGACAGCAGTGGTGACGACAACAAGGACGACAACGGTGGCCACGAAACCGACAAGAGCTTCAACGAATCCTCCAGCGATCCTAAAAAGCCCAAAAGCAACCGTTTGAGATCCCTTTGGCATCGCAGAAGCAAGGTGCAAACACAGACGCGGACCCAAAATGAAAACCGACCCGAAACCACGAGCCGTGGCAAGGAACGAGTCGGTCATTTCGGCAAAGGAACTCAGCTATATGGTACCGCAAACCAGGAATCGTCTTCCTCAGTCCACGAACACGAACATCGCGCCGAAACGAAGGCCGCTGGAGGGTGTAGAGATCTGTTACAACCGAACCATGTTAAGAACCCAAGCCTGGTGGCAGCTTCGCAGCGGTGCAGCCGAATCGTATTTCTTGTAGCGGGGTTCTGCGTAGTTGCGAGTTCTTTTTCCATGACTGTGTTCGGTGCCAATGTTCTCGCTGAGGCAGTCTCCAAGAGCACCGATGCACTTGAAGAAATCCAGGGACTTTCTCTCGAAGGAATCGAGATCGTGGATAACTTTTTCAGGGGATCCCTTCCCTCTCCCCTCAAAATGCTACAGGATAGTGGTATGCAAAGTACTCTATACAATGTGATGGAAGAGGCAGTATCGAAACTCTTGCAAACGACAAACGAGGCTTGCAATTTGAGTGAATCGAGTGTCGGGGATCATCCATTTGGGGAGGCACTGGAACGAGTTACAGATCTATGGAATGAGCATCTCGTAGCACAAGACACTTTCATGGAGACGAACAACGGCGGAGGGTGGGGGATACTTCAGCAACTGGAGAGCCTACCTGAAGGCCTTCGGCAGGTGCTGGATCCCGCGATGAATCTCCTCGAAGTGATTGCGGTGAATCAATGGATCGTTCCGTTCCTCCGCGCCCTCAATGCGTTGCTGGCTGCGTTGTCGCTCTTGCTGATGACCGATGCCACGATGTGTGGACAGAAATACCGGCGGTGGATCGTACCACTATACGCAGCGTTGGTGGTGCTTGCGTTCGTCTCATGGGTCGCCTTTCTACTTGGATCCGCAGCCTTCGCCGATGTCTGCAAGGACAGCCCGGACGGGGAAGCCTTGCAATTTCTATTGGCGGAGAAGGAAAGGGTACTGCGCAATCGAAGCACCGACAGTGCGTCGTGGGAAGGACTTTCGTCACCTCTTTTGTACGACATGGCCGCGTACTATGTAGAGAAATGCCCATTCGGGGAGGAACCTGCAGAATGGAAAAAAATAATGGGAATTAGTTGGGAATTCACCGAAGCACTATGGGAGGTAGCACAAATACTGGATGACCCCGTTAGTCATTCACTCCTCGACGTTTGTGGTATCGACTCCGCTGTGTTGGATTCTGCTACCAGTTCCATCGTCGACAGTGGTAAAGATTTGTCGGACTTATCTTGCAATTTCTCCACAATGATGCTGGACGTTGCCGATTTCTTTCGATGCGAGAACTGGTGTGTACCGGGCGGCAGATCCGATTTTTATTCCGAAAATCTTGAACTGAGTCATTTTGAAACAGTTGGCACTCACGTCTTCGTTCCTTTTCACAATCTTTTGATATTTTTTCTTTCCAGGTATCCATTGTACAAAAAAGGTAAGCAGGCAACGGCCAACAGCAATCCAAGCAAACCTTTTCTGTATTTACCGCATTCGTTTTGTTTTCGTTTCCAACGCTCAATCATGAGGCTACGACTTTGTTTTCGTTTCTTTTTTTCTTCCCTTCGACTACTAAGGGGTGCACGATGCCTTGTGCCACTCGGGGGTATCTGGATTCATGTGGACGGCCATTACGCAGTCCATCGTCGTTATCATGTCCCTTCTGATGCTGACCTTTCGGGCGGGATACTTCGATGTGGCAGACGCCATTTCCGGCAGTACCATCGGCAACGAAGAAGAAGATCTCAATCATCACGATACCACCATGATCATGGATCATTGCGATTGCGAGTCTGTCTCGCCGGAGAAACAACATTGTGCTCCTACGGATTGGGACGAGGATGAAGCATTGCAGTGGGGAAACGGTGTAATTGAAGGAGATGGAGGAGCCGACAATTGGAAAAGAACCGACGACAGCAGCAGCCGCAACAGTTTTCGCATCGGAATCGACACGCACACCACACAGATGTTTGAGGGGGAACTCGATAGCATGGTGTCACGGGTGACCCCCTCACTACCGACACTGCCAAGGGGGGGCAACAATCAATCATTCCAATCTCCTTCCAGATCTCGGCGGCTGTTGCTGCAAAATTGCGAATCCTCCTCCTCCAGGCCCCGCCGTTCTGGTTCCAGCAACGTGGATCACACCGGGAGGATTCGCGGCAGCACGGGTTGGCAGTATGCAGAAACGGCATCATCGGAAGCCTCGTCGTCCTCGGTGTTTGCCACCATCGCCCCGTCACCGGAATGGAACAAGAACGCAACCACCTCCATGGCTGGGATGTTCCGTATCGATGAACCGATTCTTCCACCAGCCCCGAGGCGCAACTATTTTCGCCATCACAAATCCGAAATTTCCGAACAGCACACACGTCGAGTAGACCACGGGAAAACATCAGCGTCGCGTACCGGCGGGACCTTTGATGATCCGGAGGCATCGGATGCCATAAATGCCTCGGAGGAACTTTCTGAAGAAGTGGTCCGCGTTCAAAAACGATTGCAGGGAATCAAAGAGCGACGCGCTAGGCTTGCCGGGCGGTGAACGTCCCACCTGTCGGGATGGACCAGGACAGAGCCTGGTACCGAACCAAGCGTGTCGCTTGACACTAAAGTATTACTTCGTACCGGATCCAAAATGAGTGCTGCGTGTCCAAGCTTAACTAGAGCATGCTTTCACAGAAGGATATTGAATTCACCAAACCAAAAAGAAACATAACTTGCCACAAAGATTCCTCTGGAATTTCAAGAACAACAAAAATCCATGCATTTTGAATTTGAATTTGTCTTGACGAAAAAATCTTGGGGTGCCGGAAAACACGAAGCATCCAACGCGGTCTGTGCGTTGCTCCGCTGTCCCGGCTTCCGACGGAACAAGAACATTCACTCCCTGCGCTTTTTGCGTCCGCGCGGTTCAACCGTCGGATCTTTTGCCACCTTCGTCCTCCGGAACAGCGTTTCGGACGAAAAGAACGAACCAATTCAATAGTCTCCCGGAGTACCCCGATGAAAAACAATTCCGGGAAGAACATTAGAGAAGGCTACTGTAACAAGAAAGGTTATGTTGGGAAGAGGGGTGTCCGATCAATTTTGTCTTCGGTGTCCAACTTCTCGTCGTTTTGCCGAAGAATCATCGTGCCAACACGCACGCCGAGAACTATCTTTGCACACGCCTCGTACCTTTAGGTACGGTACGGTACGGTACTCGTACGTACCCGTAGCCAGCCCGTAGCTACTCGTACGATCTCTAACTCGTACCGTAGCATCTTCCAATAAGCATGATTGATGCCCATGAATAGTTCCTATTTTACCGTAAGAACTCGTACGACCAGTACTACAGCACCTGGTAAACAACACGAGACATCGTAACTTTATTCCTACTGATAGACATTGGAACAAAAACAACTTACCGGTAACTTCATATCTTCGAGAGGAGAGGGAGCTGGTAACAGAAACCATCACGGATAACAGTATTCGCACGGGTACAAGTATCCCAGTGCAACCAGCGATCGTGAATTCCATCTGGAATACCGGACGAACATACTACCGAATACCATACTACCATACTGTTTATTTAACTCTCCAGTGGCCAGATGCGTTTTTTTCTCTTGCTGGTCGGAATCCTTTGTTCGCTTTCCACTCCGTCCTGGTTGGTGGAAGGGTTTGGGCAGCAACAGCGGCTTCCGCAAACAACGCTGGCTCGAAGCAGCGTCGGAAACACGCAGGTCTTTCTGGGCCCCCCCAAGATCGATGAGTGGGAAATCCTTAGATCGGGCGCCGTTCGGGGAACCGTTTCCAACCACCCGGAACTCCCCGATGGATACGAAATCACGACGTCGCCGCTGGAGACCAAGCCAGTGGCCATCAAGGACAACACCGTAGTGGTGACCCTGTCCGGAAGCAAGTACCGGCTGCTAAAGGGGATCAAAACAGCTGCATCCAAGGATGCGAAAGCGGCACCAGCCACACCGAGGTCCACGATGTCTCTGTTTGGTGGGACAGCGAAGAAGGAACCCAAGCCGGCACCCGCGGCGGCCAAGGCAAAACCAAAACCAAAACCCAGGGCAGCGAAGCCCGCACCGGTGGCCAAGGCAAAGCCGAAACCAACACCCAAAGCCAAGCCGGCACCGAAGGCTCCCGTGAAACAAGCGCCAAAGGCGAAGGCCGCTCCGGCAGTCGACTACAACCTGAACGGCAAAGTCGTCGGCGGAAAGGGAAAGTGTGCCTACCTGCTCGTCGGAACCCAGATCCGTTCCTCCTCTAAGCGCAGCCAGATTTTCTACGCCTACGAGGCCGACTCCGACGGGGTCACCCCCACCGGACCCCGTCTGACGGTAAAATTGGCAAACAGCAGGGAACGACTCGCTGCCGAGAGCAGAAACTACGACCGTGTCTTTTCGAGGGGCCGCGTGGCCTTTTCCCTGCAGGGAAGCGCGTCTTGCTTCGTGAAAAAGGTCGCCCTCATCGAGAATGCCGACGACTCCCCCCTCACCAAGGGCATCCCCCGCGGATCTTCGGCCCTGGTCCTGGAATCGGGCGACCAGAACCTCCGGACCCGCGCGCTCGAATCCGGGGGGGGCCTCAAGGGCGGGGACCTGCGAAAGGCGGCCGTCAACGTTTGCCGGTGCGTCGAGTCGATGCACTCGAGCGGGCTGGTCTGGACCGACCTCAAGGCGGAGAACTTTGTCGTCCTGGCCGGCAGCGGCGAGGTGAGGGGCATCGACCTGGAATCCGCCGTCGACGTCCGATCGGCCCCGGCGGACTACTCCCCCGAGGCGTGCCCACCGGAATTCGCCGCCGCCGAAAAGGCCAACCGGGGGTACGAATTCGAGTGCCTCAAGAACTACGACACGTGGTCGCTGGGGATGCTCCTGTACGAGCTCGCCACCGGGAACAACTACTTTATGGGGAAATCGGAGGACCTGATCACGAGGAACCTGGCGACGCTGGAGCTGGTCGACGAATCGACCGGAAGGGTAAAGGGCCTCGATGCGATCCCCGACAAAAACCTGCAAGACCTGGTAGACCAGTGCCTGAGCGTCGACCCGGGGAAGCGCCCGTCGATTGGACAGATTTTGTTGCACCCCTACTTTTTGACGACGGGGTTCGGGCCGATCACCTTTTGAAGCAAGGACGAAAACGAAATAATCAGTCGAGTCGTGTGGTGCGGTGCGGTGTGGTGCGGTGCGGTGTTGTGTTTTGTGGTGTGTTGCCGGGCGGGGCGGTCCGGATGGTTCGAATCGAGTCAATCGGGAGGAACGGATTGGAACCAACCAACGAAGCCAAGAAGGAAAGTAAGAGCAGCACTGTTTTTACAAACCAAGTATGTCCTGTGATAGAACCCGATCCAACGGAGGCGACGAAAGCAGCAACGTTCTGGAAATAAGGCTTCCGAGTGAAACGAAACCAAAGACCAAAGGACATGGTTTGTGAACGGACTTGATTGTGTAATCTAATGGCATGCAATTGGACGAGTTTTCAGCCATCGGCACGGAATGCAATGGAATGGTGCGCCCCCTTGGTGCATCGAAATACTGCGCAAGCCACTGATTAGAATTTTGTTTTGCTAGAATCACAATGCTCTCTTTGCTCAAGCTGTTGCCGAGGCAATCGAATTCGTGTGTGCTCGTGATGGTTTTGGTTTGGGGTTTTGAGCGAGCACGGCGGCATCGGCATGTCACTGCGAAGTGCGTGCGTCTGTACGATGCAGAAGTACGAGAACCTTCGTACGATCTTTGTAGTCGATGTTTTTTGTTTCACATACCGTACGTACAGTTCGTACTTGGCTACCCAAGTACGTACTACGTACGCACGGTTTGAAAAAATGCTCCCTGGTACTGGAAACAGATAACAGATGCGAGTAACTCTTACTGTACGTAGTCCGAGTATCGTACGTACCATGTCATGGCATACACCGTACACTAATATAGTATCACCTCGTACGTAAGCGTACGATACTCGTACCTTCCGGTATGTCCCGGTGGGTCTGTCTTTTGTCTTCGAAGTTTGACAACGAACCACGAATTGTGAACGAACAGAAAGAGATTCGTTTGATTTTCCTCGGAGAACTTCTCGGATTCTGGATTCTTCATTCATTCCTTGATCTCTGTGGTCGTTCGTCGTCGGGTCAAGTTCGTATGGTACATGGTACGGATTCTTTCTCCGTACGTACCGTAGGGTCCGAGGATGTTTGTTCAAGAGAACGAACGAGTCGCGGTGTCAAAGTCAAAAAGTTGAAAACACATACCGGTGGTACAAGTACCAGGTACGAGTACTACTAATATTTTATATTTTTCTATCAATCCATTCTCTAACGCAACGCAACACAACGCAACCCGTGCACACTTCATATTCATACCCTGCGTGAAACTTCGATCAATCCAGTACTGTAGTACCGTACAAATTGAAAACGTCGCTCGCTTCCGAGAAGAACAAGATGCTACGAGAACGAGAACGAGGACGAGAGCCAGCGTCCATCGCACCTCCACTGACGGCGCAGAGGCCGACCACCCCGCCTCCGAACGCAGGGGCAAGAACCACCCCCACCGTCCCGGCAACCCCGACAGCAACAGCAACAGCAACAGCAACCCCAACAGCAAGAACACCAACGACGGCCGCTGTGACGCCAACCACCGCGAGAACAGTCACTAGGAAATCCTTTTCCATGGAGAAAGAGTGCTCCGCCTTTATGGAGGAGTCCTTTCTCTCGGCGGGCGTCTTTGCCTTTGCGAACCAGGAGGTTGACTTTGGTGCCTGCATTCGCCCGAAGCGACCGGCTTCTTCCTAGGAAGGAACGGGAGTGGAGTGGAATGCAGTGGAGTGGACGCCGAGGCCGCTGCAGCGGACGAGGCGAGGCGAGGCGAGGCGACGCAAACCAAACCAAACCAAACCAACCATGCACCGGCGATCTTGTTGTGCCTCCTCGAGTCCCTTGTCTTTCCGAAACAGAATGGTCGTCGTCGTGTTTCCGGTGGGCTGTGACAATGCGCGGCGTTTGCACCTTGAGTTGTGTTTGAGAGGTGTGGACGCCATGGACGGGAATCGACTTTTGCTGGATGTCGTCCCAGCGACGTCTCGTTGCCGATTCCAAACATCAGGCCAAACCAGATTTGGAGCAAACAGAGAGTGAAAAGGAGGAAAAAGATGACGACGACGACGACGACGACGACGACGCTGATGATGATGATGATGCTGATGGAGAAGTTTTCGCCTTCCCAGAAGATCCATTGGACAAACTCATTCATGTCGAAGACCATGGATTTCGCGGCTGTAGGACAAAGAGTAGGTTCCTTCTTTGCCCAGGTGTCGAGCCACAAGCAGACCACACAATATTTTATGTTTTCGGTTTGTGGGAGAACATTCGGATAGGATAGCGTCTTTGTTTGAGTGGATGATATTGAATAATAATTAATTCTATAGACAAACGAAATATTCCAGGTACGATTATAGGTTGACACGTCCAATTTTTATTGCTGTCATGCTTTCATGCTTCAATTCGTGGTTTTGAATCCATCTTACAAGCAGCAACTCTTGATGCGTGCATTGACACCGAGCTCGCAAGGCTCGTCAGGATTCGGCATGACCGCACCCTTTCACAACTTGGCAAATCATAGCAATGGGCCAGTCGTCTCAATCACGCTGAATATCGAAAAAAAAATCCAACGAAACATCCGCTCATCGTCTATCAATGGCTCATCACGGAGAAGTCTTTGACTCAGCGCGCCATTCGATGGTTCTATTGGCAACGGCATTTGCATCAACACGATTTTCTTTCAACAATTGATGAACCACTGCCAAGAAGCCTAGCAAGTTGAATTGCATAGTTCTCAAGGGCGCTTGCGTTTACGGTCAACTGCATCAATGTGCGCTCTCAACAGGTCAACCACTTTAGGGTGGCCATTTTGACTAGCAAGCCGAATTGCTGCGTTATCATTTGCTGTTGCGTCAGCACCTGCTCTCAACAGTGAATCAACTACTTCAATGTGGCCATTTTCACTAGCAATCTGAATTGCTGCGTTGTCATTTGCTGTTGCGTCAACACCTGCTTCCAATAGTCGTCGAACTACGACTTTCGTGACGATGGAATGGAATGGAATGGAATGGAATGGGCTGCACCGCACCGACACCCGAGCAAAGACCAACCAGCCAGGGAGGGAGACGTCCATCGAATCACACCCGGACACCCTTCCTCTTGCTGCGTAGTGTGGTGAGGTGTGGTGTGGTGTGGTGTGGTGTGGTGTGGTCTGATATGGTATGGTTTGATGCCAAGGTCTATTCTTCGGCCCCCTGGGAGAGCACGGTCCGGTCCGTATTGGAGAAGCCATTTGTTCCGGCTTTCTCCCCGACGCGAATCGAAGATCTGCGCTGCGCTTTGGCGTTGGAGGGGGCGTCCGGGTTCTCGTTGTCCTTGTCGTTCTCGTCGACGCCGTGGCCGTCGTGATCGTCGTCGACTATCACCTCCCGGCCGTTCGGGATGGCCAGAATCTTTTTGTCGGCGTCGTTTCGCCCGAACATTTCGGAGCTTCGGTTGCTGCTGCTTCCTCCGTGGAGTCCGTCCGAAGAGCCCCGGATAAAACCGGCACTCTCGCACGAGGAGGCCCGGAAATCGAACCGCAGGCTCGACCTCGGCTGCTGCATGAAGCTGCCAAAGTCGGCGCCCGATATGGAGGAAATGGATCCCCTGTAATCGTCTTGTTTTCTTGCCGAAACAAGCTTCGGGTAGAAGTACACGGCGAGGATGATCAGGATGTTGGCGCTCAGCAGATAACTCTTAATGGCCGCGGCGTCGTTCGCCGTCAGGGTACGCAGATGGTCCGGCCCGAGAATCCAGACCAGCACCAGGAGCAGTTCGATGAGGAAGTGCGTATACACGACGTGTCCGAGCCGGATGGACTCGTTGAATTCTTGCTTCACCTTTCGGGTCTGGACGGCGAGCACCGTTGCGGCTATGATGAGCAAGAACACGTAAACAAAAAGGATGATTTGCCAAATGGGCTTCTTGCTGGAACAGGTGAAATACATTTCGACGATCTCGCCGCCGTGTGTATTGGTTTCGCCGGTAAGGTACTTCCTCGACGTCTTTGTAAACGGATCAACGATGCTCCATATCGTAAGAAAAACGACCACCAAGCCAATGATGGCACCAATGGTTTTGTACAACTTTTTGTGGGCAATCTGTACTCGTTTGAATTTTGCCGCGCTCTGAAACAGCACATTGATCGCGGCAACCTTCACAATGAGCGGAACGAGAACAAAGGAGTAACCCACCATGACGAACCATTCTTCGAGGATGCATGTTGCAGCGGATGGTGGCAACGAACTCAAGAAGGCACCGATGCTGAGCGACAGAGCACCAAAAAGGAGCATGTAAAGAAAGACGGGTTGGGCATAAACCATCACCCTCTTGTGGCGGTAATGGAATGTCATGAGAGAGGTGGTGACCACCAAAACAATGGCAATCGCAGCAACCGCCGATGCCGTTATCAGGATCGGCGAACCATACTCGCTCTTGCGAATCGATCGAGGAAACGTGTCGGGAATAAAATCCTTCAGAATATCGATGTTATCACCCACCCACGAGCACACGGCTTCTCGGTTGTCGTAATTCCAGCGATCGATCCCCTTTGCATACCAGCGCCGGTAGATAAACTCCAGCTGAAGATCGCTCAAACGGAACCCCTTGATGAATCTATAGGCAGGACTGCGTGAGGCTTTGTCGTTGCCGTACGTCCGATTGTACATATTCGACACAACTAGCTTCTGAACCGCAAAACTCTCCGAATCACAAGAACCCGCTTCTTCCCCGATCCAATCGTCTGGATTCTTGGAGCACCGCTGCTTTTCGGTGATGCGGTTTTCTGTACATTCTACTGTAGCCTGGGGAAGAAAAATGGGCGTGAACTCGGCATCGGTGCCCATGTACTCCTGCACTGTTGGATCGGGTGTGTACCAGTACAAAAGGACGTTGCTTCTGGTATAGTTGGCTGCGTGATAAATCCCTACCATCTCCCCATACTCTGTTTTTGGGCGGATTGTTTCCGTGGTCGAAGCGACAAAGAACAGACAAAGAGATCAGAATTGGTGGCTCGACTCCGTTGTGGTTAGGATTCGAGTCGGCACGGTTCACTTACTGTAGTTTCCTGCAGCCGTTGAAGTGCCGCTGGACCAAACGGGGATTCCGAGATAGTGCAGCTGTGGAACCACGTAGTTTGTCCACGTGCACGGAGGACTCGCAATGTGCCCGGTGCAAGTGGTTGGGTTTGCATCGCAATCGTTCTCCTCGGACGCCGAAAAATGACCGTGGTAGAGCCCCGCCTTGAAAAACAGGCCCTCTTCCGACTCGTCTTCCGGGGCGCGTGCCGCAATGAGACGACCCTCTTCGTCGTAGAACGGGGAAGCACAGTTGTCCGGGGAGACCTCGTCGCAAAAAAATTTCCATTTTCGCGGGCGAAGGAACAATTCTGCCAGGCGGCGTCGCACCTCGAGGTCCGTTCCTTCCTTCATTCCATAATGCGACAAAACGTAGAAATGTTTTTCGGCCGCAAATTTTGGAATGTACCACGAGAATTTTGCAACTCCACCTGTTGACGTTTTCCGGGGGTCCATGACAAAGTGGGCGAATTAGTGAAATCATATCCTCATCGTCATTGTCATTGTCATCATCATCATCATCAATAGCGATGGCAACGAGTTGCAAAACCACACGGTGCTTGCAACACCCGACACTTTCATTATCTCGACATGAGGACAAAATTCCTTACCTGATCCAGTGGAAGGTTCAATGATACCATCCTTGACATATTCTTCTATGTTAGAGTTCTGGCCGTTCCAAGCCTCCGGCATGACGTCCGCGCAAGACCTGTACCAACCTTGTTTTTCGTTTTTTTTTCGGATGTCTGCACAGCTCCCGTGCTCGATAGAAGTGCGAATAGCGTCGTAGTCCTGACGTCGGGCATCGATGTTGATCAATTTTTTTCGTGAACGGACACAATTGTCGTTAGCGATGAAAGAGTTACAGAAACGGCAAACACAAGAGTATTTCGTGGTGATCCAAAAGGGTGGGAAAGGCAAACGCGGAATCAGGCATTCAACTCACGTATGTGTCGTTGCTGTACGAGAAGCGCAAATCGGGATCGTAGAAATTCATAGATGCCTCCGAGTTGGGTTGGCTCGTTTCCAGGGTGGTTGGCACGCCAAGCACCTCGGACAGAATGATTTGCATGATCCAGCTGGTCATCATTGGGGCCTCCCAGTCCTGGGAAAGCATTCGAATTTCCTCGTAATCTCCAGCCACGCATTCGCCCCTGTCTTCGGCACCGGGATCATCGTCGCTGTTGCACGCTCGGAGCCGGACGAAGCTCTCGTCCGAGGAGAGAACCTGGCGGAGACAACCGCTCCGGAACGGATTGGAGCAAAATCCGTTCTCGTTGCAAACCGACCCGCTGCGGTATGCCTGGACGCATTGCTGGTTGCCCAGGACTGGATCGCCGAAGGTGCAGTCGATTAGTGCCGAAACGAAGAACCTGTTGTTGGACAAGCTCCCGATCACGAACAAGACGATAAGGACGGAGAGGAACATTGGTCGCCTCGTGGTTTTCACCATCTGATATTGGATAGTTGAGGTGATTTGTACAGCTGCATAGGTGGTGGCTTTCTGTTGAGGTCTCAACTACTTCCTACGTAGTAGTTCGTAGTTCCGAAGGAAACAAATGTGTTACTAATCGAAGGGATTTTCCAAAATCTAGAACCAACTAGTAGTCGTCGAGTACGACACTCGCACGAGTACCAGCAAGTTCGTATGGTTTAGCAACATACTCGTACCTGCACAAACCGGTACCGCTTTTCTACCTCGTAACAGTACAGTACGCACATTAGTATTTTGTAGTTTCTCGGGAGACTTCAACTCCTTGTTTCCCTAGGCAATTGTTGCCTCTGTCGAACCACAAATCCACATCTTCCAATAATCTTGCATTAAGTGCTAGAATTTATTGCCTTTTGGGAACTAAATTCTCTCTTTTCAGAACGATCCACGAACATTTGCGTTAAAAATTTTCTATCGTCCAAAATGTTTCCCAGCAAGGCATTATACTGAATCTCATTTTTGAGTACCTAAAATTTTATCAATTCTCCCTATTATTTAGACCATTCGTCTTGTGTGTTTGGTATTGAACAACAAACATTCTTCAGTACCTGAGAACAGATTTCTTATGCATCTTCGTAGGTTTGAGGCAGAGGTTCTTCTTAATATTGTATGCAATATTATTTTCGATGGTGAGCTTATCCCACAAGTTAATCAATCGGAGAGAACTCCAAGAGGAAGAAGTTATTACGGTTTCAGAAATTGAAATCTGTGTTGGTCTCCGGTTTTCTGCAATTCTGAAGAAATATCAACAGGCATCCAGCTATTATCGAAAACAAAAAACGGGATTGATAGGACGTACTATTGGTAAGTACGAAGGATCCAACCAGAATTCCGTAGTTTGCCTGACAAAAGAAATAATTGTATCGTGGTCCTTCCCGCGTGCATGGTATGCGCACTACGACACATCACCTTCGCCAAGAATATACCGGTACGAACGTACCACCAGAACTGAGTTGAGCGGAATGATTGTAACAAAGTACCAAGTGCGAGTACGTATTTCACGTACGTACGTACGTACGTACGTACTTATCGACTTCTGAAGCGGACTGTACGAGTATGAACTATGAACCGATCGGTAGTACTAATACCTACTACTACGTTAGTAGGGTAGAGAACGTTGTACAGTAAGTAGATAGTACGAAGTACTGTACGAAGTACTACAGAATCATGAGCGATTCATTCTGTTCTGGGTTCTGGGCTTCGCTACCGTCGCTTCCGTACGGTACGTACGAGTACGGTACACTACCGTCCGTACGATGTAAACACAACCAGATTCGCAGAGATTCGTTGTTTCCGGTGTGGGGAGTTGACCATAATAATGTGAATGTTCATGTTCAAATGATAACAAAAGAAAGTACCCTACTTCTACCACGGCCATGGCATCCTCAGACACAGAGACAAACCATACCCACGAAATGCACCCCGGGTCCGAACCGCAATCCTGCAGCGGCAGCAGTGGGCTGAACATCAACGACTTTATCAAGACCCACTACGGAGCCATCAGCGGAATGTCGAGCAACGGAGAAACAGCGCAGGAAGATACTGTTACTCTGTCGCTGCTGGCTGCCAATGCCAAGGACCATGCCAGGGCCCTTGGCGTAGCCTGCAGCGAAACGGCCTCCCTCAACAGCGGGTACTTCAGCGAGAACGACAGCAATAGCGGGGATCGGAACAAACAGCAGTGGACCCTGCGAAGGCTGGCCCTCGAGCTTTCTCTGTGGCTCAACGTGTTCATCACGCTCACGAAAGCCGTGGCCTATTTCCAGACCTTGTCCCTATCCGTTCTGGCTGCCCTGCTAGACTCTGTCCTGGACGTCGTCTCGCAGATGGTGCTCAACTACACCGAGAAGCACTCGAGTTTGCAGCGGTCCTCGGCCCTCTATCCTGCCGGAGCCTCCCGTTTGGAACCCATCGGGGTGCTGACCTGCGCCTCGCTCATGGGGATGGCCTCCTTTGAGGTTTTGAAAGAATCCTTTGAAACCCTCTACACCAAGGATTCCTCCCTGCAGGATCTGGATTGGACCGAGGGGGTCCGCTCGGCGGCCAGCATGGGGGCCATCGTCGTTTTAAAGCTCCTTCTTTTGTGGCTCTGCAACTACTCCTCCCGTACGTCGTGCCGAAACCGACAGGGAGGGGGTGCCGCTACCTCAAAGAGCCTGCGATACTCTGACCCGACCCTGGAGGCGGTAGCCCAGGATCACTGGAACGACGCGCTGAGCAACGGTGTGTCGGCGGTCTGCCTGCTGCTGGCCCTGTACACGAGCGATCTGTGGTGGTGCGACGGCGTCGGAGCCATTCTGATCTCCTTCTATATCATCTACAGCTGGTACGAGACCGGAAAGGAACAGATCGAGCACCTGACGGGGAAATCCGCTCCGGACGACTTTTTGGAAGAGCTCACGACGCTGGCCCAGCATTTTGATGACCGGTTGCTCGTCGATACCTGCCGGGCCTATCACTTTGGACCGAAGTTCTTGGTCGAGCTCGAGGTCGTCATGCCGATGGATACGCCTCTCAAGGAAAGCCACGACCTGGGCATGGAACTTCAGTACGAGATCGAGGCCCGGGGAGAGGTTGAGCGCTGCTTTGTCCACATCGATTACGAATCGCGAGAGTACGACGAGCACGTCGTGTCGAAGGTACCCGAGCTCAGGGAACACCTGCTGCGGCACCGGTCCTCGCGGAACAACGCCAGGGGCACGGCCCTCCAGACCTCGGCCTCGAGCGTGTGAATTTGGAATTTGGTGCAAACACGGAAGGACGACAGAAAAGGACAGAACAAACAAATTCCATTCCAAAGGGGAATGCCAAAGAAAATAACAATCACAATAATAATAATGCGAACACTAATTGTAGTACACATGCTTGACACAACGTCTCTGGCACGTTTTGGTTTCGAAACAACAAAAATCCAATCCAGAGGACAATCAAAAATAAATCAGGAATAAAGCAAGTTACAGTCCTATCTGCTGGAGAAATAGAAAGTAACATAAGCTAAATGTCATCACATTGATCCAGTATTGCATAAAATTGTGATCCTAAAACTTTTCGGACACAAGAGAACACTGTAGATCAAGGTGTGATAAGTATTTCCTGCAAAACGAACAAAAATAGCAGTGCTGCTAGAACCTACATAAGTCCTTGAAAAAAAAACACCATGTGGTTCAAAGTAAAATGAAAAGCAACATATCATTGAAAGCAGTGAGTGACATACTACTAGTTCACAAACATGACGATAACACTGCTGCACATAGACGTTGCTGTATTTGACACCAACACAAAGAGTAGTAGTGCTAATACTTCTAGTACTAGCATTACCAGGAATCAGGAATAAGAACTGTTCTACACAGCTTGTCAAAATTAGTACAAAGGGTTGGTTACTGATGATCAAAGACAACAATATGAGTGCTACTGTTCTCATGAGGAAACAATGACCTGGTTTCAGTAGTAGCAGGAAGTACTTAGTACTACTACTACTAGTATGAGCCAGCAGCACACACCACTGAATGTTTTTGCATACTTACAAATACTAATATTCCGTACTATTTCTTTCTGGTTGGGTGAAAGTTAACCACTGCATCATCACCACCATGGTGTGAGAGGTGTTGATCCCTTTTTGTGACATACTAGTACTAGTACTAGTATTAAGAATATCTCCTCCTGTTTGGTGAGCAGAAGGACCTCCTGGTTGAACAAGAAGTTTCACATGATCTTCACATTCTCATTGTTGTGCTGTGTCCTCAGAAATGCAACATGAAGAAGAACAAGGACCTGGTGGTTTTGCTAGTGTTCTTCTTTTGAGTTTTTCCAATTTGTAACAAGGGACCGCCAAGAGGAAGAAGCTCTTCTTATCAGCAGTGTGAACATTTCATTAGTGGTTTAGATCTTACTAGGACTAGTACTACTATGATTGCCACTATATTTGATGTACTAGTAATATTACCAGAGAAATCTGTAAGGACCTCTGAGGAGCAAAAACAGCCAAGTAGGATGTGGCGCTTCCAGAAACAGTAGCAACCACCACCGCACTATCTCCTTCTCCTGTTTGAGCTAAAGGAACCCCTGGTGGCTTAACAAGAATTTTCACATGAGCTTCACATGCTCATTGTTGTGCTGTGTCCTTAGAAATGCAACATGAAGAAGAAGGACCTGGTGGTTTTGCTCGTGTTCTTCTTGTGTGCCTTTCCAATCTGGTGTAACAAGGGAGTATTCTTCCTCATTAGTACTACTACTAGTACTAGTACTAGTGGTGGTGCTGCTGGTTTAGATCTTAGTAGTAGTACTAGTAGTACTACATGTGACGTACTAATAGTGCCAGAGCAACCAGTAAGGACCTCTGAGGAGCAAAAACAGCCAAGTATGATGTGGCGCTTCCAGAATCAGGGACGTGAGGTATTGACGATCTTACCACGCCAGGCATGCTACCAGGCAATACTGTGGTCATGGGACTAAAGCTCGCTGGCGCCCTGTAGAGAGTACGTAGTCAGTAGGAATGTTGATTCCAACGGACCTGAAAATTTGAGAGGGGGCTGGAAGAAATTAAAATTTATGAAAAATTTTCTGGTAGGAAAAACATGCTACCAGATTTTGACAATTAATGCTACCAGATGGAGACTAAAAATGCTACCATATGGTAGCAATTATGGTAGAATTTTTCGTCCAAATCTGGTAGCGTGTTTTTCCTACCAGAAAAAAAATCTACTATTACGAGGAGAGTCCCCCGCATACTCTGTACTCCTGGGACTGGGACTATCGCCGGCAAGCCTCCTCCATTTACCAGGACTGAAGTACTGTACTTCTTATAGTACGTACTAGTACTCATACTACGGTTGTTACGAGTAGTATGAGTGGTAGCTGATGTTAAACTCACTCTTTCAGAATTAGCAGCAATAAAAGAAGTGACCATGGTAATTGGCTCATTTCAAGCAATTCCAATTGGATTCAGACAATAAAACTAACATCAGTTTCTCAAACGTAGTAAACATCGATTCAGCGCTTGTCTCCAGGTATTGAACAGAGGAGTAGAACTGTAGTTTTGTTCTCGTCCTCCTCAGCAGTGTCGACGCCGGCCCTTSCGATGACACTCCTGACAAAAGAAGACTTTAATCTCATAGCGCAAGAGGTCCTCTGTTGGCCAGAGCGTAGATCATGGAGCAATGAAAAGGAAAGGAGATTCAAATCGTGTTTTGGAGCTTCAGCTGAAATAGTAGCAAACCTGTGGAATAGAATTACCGCTCACGGACCAGTAGATGGTGGAAAGCCAAAGCATTTRCTGTGGGCGCTTGTTTTCCTGAAGGTCTATTCAAGTGTAGAGATCCACTGCTCTATYGTTGGATGGCCCTGTCCAAAGACTTATCGGAAGTGGTCTTGGTACTTTGTGGAGAGGATTGCACAGCTAAAGGATGACGTAATTAGTCTTAATAATAGATTTGATGGTTACAGTGGAGACGTTCACACAAACTGTTTCATAAGTGTCGATGGAACAGACTGTCCTGTCTTTGAGCCTTATCCTTGGTCAAAAGAGATGTTTTCCCACAAGTTCAATGGACCGGCCCTCAAGTATGAAGTAGCTGTTTGCTTGAAGACTGGATGGATTGTCTGGGTGAATGGTCCTTTTGTTGGAAGTACTAACGATACGACAATATTCATTGAAGGATTAGGAACTCAAATATACGCCGAAGAAGCTGTAGAGGCTGACAGCGGATACACAAGAGATCCTAGACTCAAGCGTCCTGAGATGGGATTATCTAGTACATTCAGGAAGATGAAATCAAATGCTCGAGCACAGCAGGAAGCAATAAATGGCAGATTAAAGCAATTCAATGTGCTCACTGTTCATTTCCGACATATGACACCAAACAAGCAGATGATGATGGAACAGCATCAGCTGTGTTTCCATGCTGTTGCTGTTGTAGGGCAGCTACAAATCCAATCTGGATCAACTGTCTTTGCAGATGGGTTGAATTACAATGTTGCTTATTTCTAGTAGCTCCTCCTCTGGAGGAACAACAACATAGCACAGGTTCTCTGTAGCACCAAGAGCAGCTACATGCAGCTACTATTAACACTAGTAGTACCAGTAGTATTTTCTTCCTTCTGCAACCAGACCTGTTCTACGATTCCAAGTGGCAGCATGCTATAGACCAGCTTCAAACTGAGCGCTAGTAGTAGTACTAGTACTAGTAGTAGCAGTACTACTATGTAGTTGAACCAAGAAGCAGAGGAGCAAACTGGAGAGCAAAAATGGATCAAATTCAACTTTCCTGGTACAAGCTGTACAGCAATTTGCTGTAGAAATCCCTTTTGCAAGGGGGGAGCCTTGCAAGTTTGCTCATTTTCTTAGTATTGAATCTTGACCTCCTCCCTGGAGAGCAAACTTGATCTAGATTGAACTTTCCTGGTACAAACTGTACAGCAATTTGCTGTAGAAATTCCTTTTTCAAGGGGGTAGCCTTGCCAGTTTGCTCAATTTTAGTGAATCTTGACCTCCTTCGTAGCTAGTAGTAGAGTAGTCTACTGAGTCTCCTACTGCTGCATGAAACGSACTCCCCGGTKGGATTGAAAATACTAGTCCCCAGAGCAAGCATGCCAGCTTTGAATCCAGTCTTTGAAGGGTTACTCCAGTACATTAAAGCAACTACTACTGCTGCATCCAGTCTTGCTAGAGGAAAACATTGTTCATTTAAGCATGCTCTTACTAATGCTTTATTTTTGCGCCATGGAAATACTAAGCGCTACTACATCTAGTACTGTTCATTGAGATACTTCTCAATATCATCTAAATACGATTTTGCCTCGTGGAAAGTACTCACTGGATCTATTCCGGAGGAAACAATGGATGAATCAAAGGAGTGGAATGACTCAAATGAAATCTCCTGGTCTTCGGAACTGTTTAGTAATTGTCAAGAGGCACTATGTGGTGGTGACTTCAAACTGTCGTCATTGGTACCACCATTAGGAGGCGAAAGCAACGGTGGAGGCAAAAGAGGAGGTAAAGGATCACTGTTAGTTCTTGCTCTCTTCTTTTTGTGTTGGCGATCGATCTCCTCATTGGTTAGACCTCCTCCTCCTCCTCCTCCTCCTCCTCCTGCCGGAGAAGATGAAGGAGGTGTTGTGGGACGCTTTGGAACCGGCGGCGGAGGAGGAGAGACAGGAGCAGCAGACTTACCCAGGTTAACATTTCCTCCTCTCTTTGCTCGGATAGGGGACTGGAAGCAAGCTGCTTTCTTCATCTCCTCCTCCTCCTTTTCCTTGAATTGAATCTGAAGAATATTTCCTTCATTATCACTCCCATTTGCCCGGATAGTGATCCTTAGGAACTCAGCAACATAGATGGAAGTGTCCATATCATTCTTGAACCTGAAGAACCCTTCAGACCAGATGCATCCATCTTCATCTTTGAGCTTCTTTGCTGTCTTCCCCATGCTTGTGTACAATRMATGGCCCGGAGGGAAAGTTTGGTACACTCCRTCCTTTGTTGTCGTCATATCCAAGTYGGTTTGCATCATACATCTCTGCATGAAGCTGGGCCACTTGTATGCCACRCGGAACATCCTCTTGTTTATCCACTTCAGGCTGAMGTCTGATTCCTGAGCACCAGTATGAATGAGCATTCTAACCAAGCAAAGTGCATTGCTTGTGTCTGTATCRTGGTCAAATATTTCCCATCTTCCAGAAAGAATCGGGTAGGAGAGAGATCCTCCAACCCACTGGACTTGTTCCTGCTGGCATTGGCAGCAGTTTAAGTTGAGGCTGCTTTCAACAAGAGCTGAAAGCTCATCATCATCGATATTCTTGTTGCGTGGCATCTCTTCGTAGCAGTAGTTTTCTTCGTACTCCTCTTCTTCGTCGTCGTCTGGTGGGGGTTCCTCTGCCTTTTCCTCCTCCTTCTTTGCTATTGCTGCGAGCTTTTCTTGAACTTCCTTATACGGGTCCACTAGTCTGATTCCTCGGTTCTGTAGATCMATAGCAAGTGTTGCCATGCTCTGTGGTGGTGGTACAAAAAAGATGAGTCTACACCAAGAACAAGTCAGCAAATGAAATAGTACCGGCAACGCACCTTCCCAATCTTGGGCCAACTTGATTCCTTGATGTTTGCTCGGATGTAATCAGAACTTCTGTAATTGAAGACCGACGATGGCTTGTTATTTGGATCCCAACCTGTTGTCCCTTGAGTTCTCAAATGAGACCAAAAGTTGAAACAAGCAATCTTTTTYGATAGTTCTAGTTTGTTGTAGACCGGCTCAGGGTTCTTGCTTTGCTCTTGCTGTCTTCTTCCTTTCTTCGAMGCTGATGATCCAGCTCTTGCCATCATTGTAGAATTATGAGAACGCCTTCAAGGAGACCCTTGCTTTGTTGCTTGTGCGAGTTGCTTGTTACATTTTGCTGTTGGTGCTGTTACTGTGTTGCTACTACTAGTAGCAGTTGCCGGGGACGCTTGTTCTTGTTGCTGCTGTTGGTGCGGGCTGCTGTTTATGAGGAGTTAACTATCGAAAGCAATCCTGGTTGGAGTTTAAAGTAGTCCTGGGACCATCACCATTGTCAACAAAAATTTCAGACTATTGCTAAAAATATCCGTTACCAGAAACGTTACCATAATACCATAATGATTACCATGCTACCAGATTGCGACTAAAAATGCTACCAGATTGCGACTAAAAATGCTACCAGATTGCGACCATAAATGCTACCATGATATAGGCCACGCTACCAGAATTTTTTTTCAAAGTTCCCAGCCCCCCCTTAAGTATGAGTATAAATCTTAAYGYGACAGGACTGTTCAAACAGCTACCGGCCCTCTATTTAGCAGCGCCGACCAGGTTGATTCCTCTTGCGGGTCTAGTACACAGCTCCAGTAGGTAAAATCGTCAATACCTCACGTCCCAGTAGCAACCACTGCACTGTTCTATTTTGTACTACTACTGTTATTACTAGTAGTTTTTTCGTTCTGCCTGTCTGCCCGCCCGTCAATCTGTCCTCACGTCTGTCCTGAACCCGCTTCGAGGGCATTGCGCTTCGGAACCAACCACCATCGGATGTTCTTGGGCTGGAGGGACGATAGGATATTCAAAGATATACTATTACTATTTTTCATTCATTGGTGCAAGTGTACGATACGAGTAGTTCCGTACCGTACGCACGTAGTTCCATGGAGCGGCCAACATCCAACATCCATCATCGAACAACCAAACCAACATCGAACATGCATTGTGTTCATTGTCCAATATCTACTGGTATTATCCATCGCATCCTTTGCCTCACAATCCGAGCTCGACGCAACAGCATGCGTGTCTCGGGATGATGGATTCGAATGCCAAGGCAGGCAACGTAATCATCATCGATGGTTCCTTACGCGATGGGCGATCGCGTGCATTGGGCACCGCGTTGACCAACTGTGAGGGCTAACAGCAGGTACGGCGGGCTTTTCTCGCTGGCGTTGCGTGGTGTGTCTTTCTTGTATCGTGTCGTGTCGTGTCGTCTTGTATGTCTCGTGTTGTATTGTTGTATTGTCTCGTGTCCTCTGCGATTCAATGATCGATTATATTTATATTTGCTACTCTTGATTTAGCCTGGCTAATGACGACATTATATATCACCAAGATCGCTGAGAATTGCTTTGGTCGATGACACCAAACGGTACAACAAAAAACAAACGAGCCCCGCAATTTTCAAAATCGATGGACTCACCTCTGTGTGCTGCGTACCTTGCTGCTGTCTGGCTTCTGTCTTCTTCCTTTGCCCCACCAACGCACTTCGCCATGCCACACGTTTGTTCTTCTGTTCGTCTGTTCCTCGGGAATACTTTTACTAGATTTGGAAAGAACACATGTGTGCCACCGTGAATGCTAGCCGATCCTTCAAAAATTTGCGCCCACGGACGGGACTAAATTCCACGCCCATCGTGGATCCAAGATCTCTTTACTCGTCGCGTGGAACCAGGAAGCCCCTGGTGGTACACCGGTCGGTACATCGCACGATTGCACTGACGAGAAGCACGCCCTTGTGCCAATCAAGACAATGCCACGAAAGTTGCTTATCTGCGCTTCACCTGCGAACGATTGTGAACGGCATGCCACAGTGCGCAGTGAAGACGTTCCACCTTGTTCTGTATCCCAACAACCCAACGTGGATGGATGACTGGTTATGCGGTATGTACTTCATGCTTTGTTTGTATTGTGTTCTCGCTGCCGGTCGCACCGGAGCAAAAGTATTTCAAGCCCGGTGTCGTGCCATTCCCTGGAACGGATCCGATCCGATCCAATCCGATCAGATCTGATCCAGAACACTTTCAACCTTGTATCACTGCTGCTGCTGCTGCTGCTGTACCACACACGCGATGATCGATGTATTCCCATAAACGTTTCGCAGAACTCGCTGACCGAGGCGTGAGACCCTCAGGTAATGGAGCMAAATTCACTTCCTTGGATGTCTGAGCGTGAACAGAGCAGCCACAGCAAACAGCGACCGCGGCGTTGATCGTACCGTAACGGATCGGATCGGATCGAATTGCGTTGAATGAACTTTCGACAATCCATGGGAACGCAACGGGCTTGGAAAGGTCCGATTGATTGGATCCGTCGATTGGAAAGATCGAATCCATTCATTTGTTTCGTCCACTCACACACTTCACCAATCCGTGCTTCCACTGACTGGTTTGGTTTTGCAGTGAAAAATGGCATACGGCTGTGTGTACTCCATTGCATTGAAGTACAGTGCAATATAGTGCAGTGCAATAAAAGCACGAGATGGATAAATTGCATTCGACTTTTGGTTGGCTCCGCGACCGCAGGTGGCTCTTGTTCAGACCCAAAACACACAAACCAACAAACAAGCAAGCCATCTAGAAAATGTGAGTTCAGATGCTCTCCGCGCAGCCGTGTCCCGTTCTGTTGGTTCTCCGTTCCTTCCATACCGTGCGGATGACGAATATTTCTATTCCTGAGGGTCTGAATCACACGGCAAAACTATGTATATAGCGTCACCGTATATTGATGCGACAGTTGAAATTCGAGCTTTTTAACCCCGACGCAGGATGTGGTGTGGAAGGGATTGCGATTTGCCTTGATGGCACGGGACTGCTATCGGATGTGCTCTCTCCCTACTGTTTGTGGTTCGATTTTTTTCTCACACCAAGCACTCTGTCCTACGGTTCTTTGGTTGCGTTTGTTTTCTTGGTGCAGGCAGACAGGAAGTGTTTGGAAAGATACAGTAATGCGGTACAAAGATACTCTGGTGTGCGAGATTTAGAACACCTCGTGCAACGGTTGGATGGGATGATATGTGTTGATCTTCTTATCTACTGTTGTTTACATATGATCCTATCTACCCCTATCGATCAACTCTAGGTACAGTATAATGGCGTCAGTAAGGAAATTAATATCGTTACGACGTGATTCAGAATAGTTGAAGACAACAATATTATACTAGTTCGTGCGTTATTTGTTGTCGCAGCGCTCGAGATGCATCTTGTGTTGTGGATTTTGTTAACATTGGTGGTAGTTCCGGTCGCATGGAATGCCTCGTGTCACACGAGGAGTACCTCGTTGGATCGTCGATTGTTTTAGACACCGGGGTCGCAGACAGTGATATTCTTTCGCCTCGAACGGGCTTGTGCCGGAGGGGATGGTAACAGTTCTTGTTCTCGTTGGCCGTCCTGTGTAGTGCGTGTAGATGCACTCGAATTAGTTTTCGAAGCTGCGTCTGCATTCATAAGTGTGCTTGCAAGTGGGCCTAGCCGCAACGCACCGAGCCGTTCCTCCACCTCACCGTGGTTCCGGTCCTTGCTTGGTAGGGTTCTAATTTTTTCTCATCCGGATCTAAACCTGTTTGGGGTGCCATTGGTCGGTGGACAAGAGGTTGGTCGAGAGGGACAACCTGCTGATTGGCCGTGGTTTGCGGTTTTCATCTTTGCGACGGATGGCCGTTGGTGCTGCCGTCTTTGCGCCGCCTCGCATTGGAGCCGCCCTGGGTTGTGGAGGCGTCTTGGTTCCTATTTCGTTTCGTTTTCTTTTTCCTTGTTGCTCTTTCTATTCTCACTGTCTGCGCGATTGGGGTTGTTAGTGGCCGGTCGAGCAGTCGTCATTTTCATTTTCGTTTTGACCATGGCGAGGCGAACTGTGGCGGTTCTGGATTTGTGGCCCGGTCGCTTGCTCCTTTGTCGCCTAATATTGCCCGCCGAAAGGAAAGAACCGGAACACTTCTTGCACCGGAGAGCAACGACGACAGCGCCACGGCGGAGGAACGAGGAACAGGCACATCGCTGGGGTTTCTGTTTCGGTTTGTGTCGTTCTCCTTCTTGTGGTTGCTGCGCAGGAGCTCGGGACTGAGAATCCTTGCGATCGAGGTGCTTGGGTTTGGCTTTGGGGTTGAGAGGGGTTGGGGACGACGATTGATGCGAAGATTGGGTGGTGATACAGGCAGCCTCGGCGGCAATGAACACAAGCTTGCGTTCTACGTACCGTGTAGTGCACTCCATCCGGGGGAATCTAAACTACAATGCCATTATCATTGTTCACACTACGGAGATACTGCATATATGTTACTTCTCTATGTTACATGTGTTAGCTTCGTCGCGTTTGTGAATTCAAATGGATGAAATTGATTTGGATCGGATCGGATCGGATCGGATCGGATCGGATCGGATCGGATCGGATCGGATCGGATATAGAAGCTGAATTTGGAAGTACTCCTTACATCAAATGTTTTTCTAACATGTATTGACTCGCAGAATTGCGAATCCAGGCCAGAATCGGGGAAGCCGAAACATACGCCGAAGGAAGGAGGAACGGTGGATGGATTCCATTCTTGGTTGTTGAAAGAAAAGAAGATGAGTGACTCGCAAAAATGTACCAAAGGATCATATTCTCGCGGAAGCGATGTCGATTTCATTCATCGTTAACTATTCCGATCAACTTTTCGTTTATAACAAAAGAGGAACTATCGCAGCAGCTGTGGTTATAGCTGCCACTCCAACCTTCCGTCTAGACGCCGAACTATCTTCTGCTCCAGTCCCTGCTGAACCATCAAATGGTTCCGGGGGTTCAACATCGCCAGCGACTGTGGGTTGCATGCCTTCACCGGGCGGTGACGCAGAAGGAACATTACCACTCGCATCGCCATCTTCGGATGCACTTCCATTGTTGGTTCCGGACCCAGATCCACCACTGCTAGTGCCATTGCTACCACCGCCACTGTTGTTGTTGCTGCTGCTATTGCTGTTGCTAGTGCTGCTACCACCGCCGCCGCCACCGCCGGAATAGGAAGGCATGCTCATGGACATGTCATCGGATCCCATCAACACGCGAACCATTTCGGTGTCGACGTTTACGGAGTCTTCGACCTTGATCAAGTTTCGTTTCCGTTCCTTGAGAGTTTCCTTGCTCGTGCGAATGTGTTGTTTTCGGTCGGATGCCTCTGCGACATCGATGGCGGCTGCTGCAACCAGCACAGTACACAGAATGGCTGTTTGGGAGCAGAGTTTCATTGTCTAAATGGCAGATAACGTTGTGTAGCGACACGTCGATCGAGTAATCTTTGCTGTAGTGTGGTGTGGGTGAGGAACGAATACAATTGTGATATTGTAGAACGCAACACTTGACAATTCTATGGAGTCGCTGTTGTTCGGATCGATATTGGATATCTGCCATTGATTCGTGACGACAAGAATTTTTTTCACAATGTACTGTGGTACGAACTACACGATCCAAACCAGATTTTGGTGAATCGTCGTTTGATTTTTTGAGGATCATCTCCAAATTTCTCGACCATCTTTGGCCGAAGTTGTGCGCGGTAAATGGAAATTTGTCGATTTCTCGTCGTTATTGTCGACGTTGAGCGCAGCACGTTCAACCAATAACCTGTGAGGTTTTACTTACCATCACGATGCTCGACGATTGAATACTTAAATTTTGGCATGCTCGAGCGAATCTTACGATCTATTTTTAACATAAAGTGTTGGTCGCGACCTTCTGAGCATATATACATTATGTGATGTTTATGACGTTGGAGTTGCAGTCATGTAATTTTTTCCCTGATACGACTGTTTTTTGTGTTTTTGTCGCAGTGCACAACAGCGCAATTCGCCTGACAAGACTGAAACGACCTCATACCCCTCATACATACCAATCATATTCCCAAACATAATTTTCAGGTACCGTATTGTTCTCGTTTTAGTCTAGTGCAGTACGTACAGTATGGTAGTACATGAGCATGTTGTAAAACTGTAGCCTCGACAGCTCCGATAGAATGTTCTTTGAAAAAGTTTGCGAACAACTTAACGGATGTTTTTTTTTAAATGGAATGAATCCATTTGCGAGCGAGACGAGATCACGATCTCTTCATACTAGTACGTTCTCATATCGCAGACATCGCGCAAATAATTCGATTCGGCTATTTACATAGTTTTACTTAAGAAGAATTTTACGAGCACTGAGCCGTTGGAACGTTGACGGAAAAGAACGGAAGGTAAAAAACCTAAGTACCAAAAAATCGACGCGTTCAGTCGCGCCAGCTCCATCATCTACAGTAATATTGCGTACGTACGGCACATCCCGTCTTCCGACGAAGGCAATTTATTTCAGGACGATGTAGAAGCTACCCGCATGAAATTTGATCAATATTGGAAAAGGATGTAAGCTCGATCCAAGGTGCACGCAACCGTCAGATACGGTTTATCCCATAGAGATCAAAAGGATCACGCTTGAATACGAGCCCCTGGAGCAAAGATCATAAGTTGTAAATCGACAACGATGAATGCGATCCCTAATCCGTGGGATACAGACTTGTCCAAACGAAAGATCTTACCGAAAGTTCCAATTAACTTTGATTTTGCATCCGGATAATTCACACAATGTTTGTACGCGATGTTGTGGTCTCGCTGTACTTCTGTGCACTTTGCACACTCATAATGGATGGGTCTGTGGCTACGGAGCATCGGAGACGGAACTTGCGACATTTGACCAGTCAGTTTAAAAAGAGACAAAGAATAGGGAACGACAATCATCACGGAATGCAGAACAGTAAAAGGTCGCTCATTGTTGGCGGAAAGGATGCGACGCAATACCCGGGTTCTATCGTGTTCTTGTCAGATCGAATAGATGATTTAAGTTGCGGGGGTACACTTATTAGTCCAACGATCGTGTTGACATCAGGTCATTGTGAAGTATCACTGGTAACGCATGCTGTGTTTGGCCGTTACGATCATCCGGAAGATCGTCGAGATAGCACGGGAAAGTTCGCCAATTCGGACCGAGAAATACGAATTCCAATCAAACAAGAAATTTTGCATCCCGACTATGATGATATCTCTCTGACATTCGACGTCATGTTACTTGTCTTAGAAATCTCACCAAACGATCACTCCTTCGCTGAGGTTACTGAGAAGATACCTTATATGAGACTTCATAGTCCAAGCGATATATCAATCGATCACATTGCCGATTCTTTGGCATCGCCTAATGGGGGTGGTATTTGGAACGGCGCGGGACCAGAACAAACCAATCTACCACTGAAGGCTGTGGGATGGGGCTACAACGTCGACCCCACCGACGACGACATTCTTCCGACACCAAAATCAACCGAGACGCTTCAGGAAGTAACGCTCAATTACGTTAGGAACGAAGTATGCAGGAATGTAGAAGACAAAGTTGACAATAGCCAGAAATATAGGTACAGGATCACTGACGACATGATGTGTACTTATGCTAAAGACCGAGATACCTGCAACGGCGATAGCGGGGGACCCATCATGATACCGAATCCGAATCCAAATCCAAGCCCAGGAGAACACCGTTTTATTCAGGTTGGGATAATTTCATGGGGTGAAGATTGCGCGGACCATGCCTACCCGGGAGTCGGCTCAAGGATAGCCTCCTCTTACGACTGGATTCGAGACCGAGTGTGCTCTATTGACGGTGCAAGTGCTCCGAACGAGTTTGGATGTGTTCTCGGGGATGAACACACATTCTCTCCGGTGCCATCGGCAAGTCCTACCACAGACGAAGACAAACTAGTGGCCTCGGTGAATTTGGATGCGCTTTCCATGCTTGACTTTCGCAGCGGTGATCCTTCTGATGTCCAAGTGAAAGTCGCCATCGAAATATTCCTTGATGTCTTTGCCAAAGAAACCTCTTGGAGCCTAGTGGAAACCAATACCGGAATATCAGTGATGAGAATATCAGAAAAGACATATCAACACGAGGATAGAACCAAGCATGAAGTTGTGCTCACCGAGGGCATATCTTACACTTTCAATATTAAAGACGCATTTGGTGACGGGATCACACAGTTGGGATTTTATCGGATATATGTGATAGATGAAACGAAGGAAAACGACATCGGACGTCTTCTCGTCAAAGGATTGGGGAAAGATTTCGAGTTTGAGCGAAGCCATACGTTTGTAGTGAATTCCCCTGCAACCCCGAACCCAGCATCTTCCAGACCTTCGCCCTCGCCCTCGACCCCAACACCAACCGCAACGTTCGACGAAAATACACCAATAGAGAGTGGAAGCATTAGCAAGCGTCAATTCCACGAACGGTTTGGCATATTAAAAGATGTGCCATAGCTATCTGAAGACACCATTTGCAATTTCCAAGCACTGCGAAACGTACTGCACCAATGCTTTAGTGAAGGAACAATACTTGTAAATTGAACATGACAGTTGTACAAGTCTGGTATCTTGTGGCAGCGGTTCCTGTAATAGAATTAGTTCTTTGCGAAAACTATTAGAATCATAGATTAAACAAAATATTATATTTAACCTCGTGAACTAGAAGAGGCACTACGAAGGCCAGAACCATTGCTTTCGTGAGAAAGAATGCTTCTAGCTGCTCCSAGGGGCGGCGCATCCCTCCGAGGAGTTGTTATGGAGGCGCGACCAAGTTGTATGTACTCTGATAGGCCGTTGAAGGCCCAGGACTGGACTCAAAGGACATGTTTAAGTGAAGTATTGGTTCATAGTAGTTTGTATGGTACGGTTGAGTGTGTTAGAGATCGAAGAATTTGATGATGACGCAGGGGATTTGTGTCTTCGCTTCTTGAAGTATACATCAAAGACCAGTCCGTCTTGGGTGACGCTCTCCGGTGGTTGTTTACTATGAATCAATGGTTGAAAATACTGTGTAATGCGGCGGGTGTTGGAGACTGAAGCAGTTGTAGCTTGGGTGACACTCGCCAGAATTGATTTCTCATAGGCTCGATGATAATAAGATAGCATGGAGGTTGGTGTCTGCGATAAGAATGCTTCCATATCGTCAGGAAATAAATGTACATGAGATGGACAAGTTTGAGATTTTCATGCAAACAAGGTTCGAACTTTCATCACCACACGCTTCCGATACTGTGCTTGTTTCTGTGAAAGCGTATGGCCATGGAGATCTGCACGAGATTACGTGTACTCTCTTAGTAGGTGTTAAGTGTGTATGAAAATTGAATTATAAGATTAAGATTATCGAGCGCGTTCACGAGAATTCCGAAGTTCCGATCAGATCCTCATGTAGACCTGGTAGGGAATCTACATGGAGGTTCTTCTATTCA